GATGACAAATAAATTGGTCGAGTGCTGAAGAAGGCAGAAAATACACTCAATATACTGCTAATAGTCCCATTCAGAGTCGTCTCACGACTCAATTCAATACTCTTCCGCTGGATTGAGTGCAATAAAGTAATTGCAAAAATGTGAATAATCTACATATCAATTTCCCACCCATTTGGCTTCATCCAAAGACCGTCAAAGCGAAGATGCGATTTCCGATGTGGTGGAAAGTGAGAGTTTGCGAGGAAAGTGGGTCAGAGCTTTACTATATACATTTCCAATAAAATATATTATATATTATGGGCAAAAATTTTGCTCTGTAATACAAGCCTAAAAAGCTTTCAAAATGAGCATGAAATTAGATGGTTTTAAAAGAAAAACCATGCGATGAGAGACCCTCGACTTTTCCCGCTACTTTCAACAAGTGGCGACAGATATTAATGTTGGGGACAATTTTTCGGGTGGCAAACATCCGAGAGGAAGAGGAAATGGTTGGTGTAATCTTTGCATCCTGGGTACCAACAGCCAAATAGATGCTTTTGTATACACAATTCACTTCCTATTTCCCTTCCCAATTGTCCAGCCAACAAGCACCCAGAGTAATACGCTTATTTTGGCTGTTTCCTATATTCTTCTTGCCCCTGTCCAGCATCTCCTCTGGGGGCCACGCGAAGTATAACAATGCTTCATACCACAAGCGTGTAATCCCATGGAATTACACTCAGTGGAGCCTTTTTGGGCATTGCTGTTTATTTTAATTTCGCGCCACTGTTCCACCTGTGAGATGAATTTCAATTATCCCACGCGTTCTCCTCTCCACGACTCGATGACGGAGAGCAGAAGTTTGTCAGAAGTGCCCATGATTAGGACACGCTGTGATAAACTGCCCAATAAACGTGATGGATGCAGATATTGCTGTTAAATGGGCACCCTTGGGAGACATCCTCCTCGGCTGTGATTGAAAGATGTGACCAAATAAATAGACACTCATTACCCTCAACCTTTTCTGATGGCGTGACCGATAATGCCAAATGCTCCGCATTTTTGCATATGGCACAAATACAACACTATCTTTGCTATATCCCGTATTAATGTGACGCACATCTATTCGATAGTATGCTTTACGTGCATTCGAAATATTGGGTAATAGGAAATTGATATTCCTGGTAAAAAGCGATACTATTTGTGAGCATCGATGAAAAGTAGCTAAAGGAAAGGCTTTTCTGGTCATTCACCATCGGTGGCGTGGGAAATGGAGTGGCGAATGAGAAATATCTCCCCATTGCAACCCGTGTGTTATTAGAATTTTTTGCCATCGTGCTTTTAATTATTCTCTGTGTTATTTCAACCACCAACTGGGCGAGGAGTCCCCTTTTGCATGGTCACTTCATTACTCCTTTTTTTTCCTGGCTGTGTATTCACTACCAACTTCCTTCATGTGGGCACAAAATGAGTCGATTAGGGTGTTCTGCTCTCTGGGATGGTTTATGAGCTTTAGTGCGAAGCACATTGACCGCCACAGGCAGTGAATAGGCCGTAAATAGGGAGGAAAATGATATTTGATAATTTTTCACCCACTGCCCCGTGTGGTTGCGCTCACGGGGGAAAATAATTGTGTGTATCCTGATGAACAGCGGAAATTCATTTAATAAGAGGCCCATTGAGTGAATTATTCTCAACGACATCCCCTGTTCAGGCTCACAAGCATGATGATGATGAAAATGCCAACTCGGAGTGTGTCCATAATTAAGACACATAATTACTGGATAAATATAGTAAAGTATGTGGGCATGGAGAGGCTCTGGACTTTCTCACCGCGTTGATAGAGGGAATGCAGCAACAATATCGCACCCATTGTTCATTCCATGTTTATCAATAAGGCCTATAGGCTTCATCTGCATGACAAAGAAGGAATCCAAGTCAATTTTTTCACGCCACCCACGCGAAAGGGAAACAATGAGCGAACGTGAAGGTGGATTGTTATCTGAAATTGATGGAAGTTCTCTTTAATCACATATTCATCACAATTAATTTCATTACAATAGTTGGTGGTATCCTTTTGAAGGCGCACTGCGTGTCAACACGAGGAGAAAGAAGCCAATCCGAGGATGAAGTCTCGAAGGAGTTGGTGAATATTTATGGAATACTAAAGAGCTCTCAATCTACTTCTGTAATTGCCCCAATTTGCACCTATTCCCAGTACGAATAGCAATGTTATGAATTATACTGTTGAGTTCTAACGAAACTATTCAGCTCCAACAACATCCCAAATGATAACATTATTTAAGCATCCGACGAGAAGAATACTGACTATTCTTCAACTCCTAAGACAACTTGAGAGTCAAAGCAAGATATATAAAAGACTTTCTCAATGCGATTAAGAAACTTCCCTACACGATATCAAAGTTTCCTGTCGATAAATACTGTTTAGTTCACAGGGATTTTCCTGCAATTTAAATTAAGCCATGCCCAGTATATGGAGACCAACAGTGATTTTCCAATTACCATCTTGACTAACAGGATAGTAATGAAATGCATATTGCTCGATGATAGCGTGATCAAGAAGAGGAAATTGTGAAAACGATGCAAGATATGAAAGCCACCTTGTGTACATAAATGTTGTCTCTCACACATGAGAGACCTTCCATTCTAGGGCTGAGATTTTCTGCAAAATTCCTATCCGTACTGTGGAGTTGTTGGCATTACCATAGTTGATGAATTTTTCATCAAATTGACACACCGAAAGCTCTCCCGGCCATGAACCCTGCTGAATTCTGCAGCTCACGCGCTACCTGTTTCCAACCCTCCTGGTGTGTTCAATAAATCACACCGCATATTTTCATACAACATGTGTGAGAAATTCCCTTCAAGCTCAAAAAACTACAAAAGGGAAGATGTAAAAATTACTTCTTTCCGCCTCTTAGCACGCCCCAGAGAATCTCGAGTGGGAGTAAAAAGAGCACGGCAAGAGCAGAAAGGCTTCTTCACCACTTGGCCCTGCTCAAAATTGTGTGTCTTCGAGAGGCCCATCTTTAATTGAGATAATTTCGCCTGACAAATGACTCAATTCCTCAATTCCTGACCCGAAAAGCCAGAAGCTTTCCCTCTAACAAATTATCAATCCCTCCCTGGCGAAGGGACAATGAATGAAAATTCGATTAATTGCGAGCCTGAGGTTTCCACATCGTGGATCATCCAATATCCAATCGACCACAAAATGCCTCCCCATACGATTCGGCCCCATTGATTATTGCCAAGATCCCCCGCAGTGTGGATTTAGAGTGGATGATGCCACAGGACGACCTGACGGGCTCATGGGATAAAATTGGTGCTAAGATTGTGATGGGGTGGAGCATCTTCTTCTTCTATTTATAATAAAAACAATAAAATCGATTCGGCAAGAGCTAAAATTTGTCGCACTTTGGCCTCTTCACAGTTCACTGATCAATTCCCATTCGCCCCCAACTCTGGCTTTCTGTCACTCACATAATCAGCCATAAAACGCTCATGCTAATAAAGTGTCATAAAATCCATTCAAATGATTCGAACCATCAATGAAATTCATATGTATATGTAATTTTTCAAAATTATTCAATTCAAACAAATAAACCTCACCAGTAATTTCGCTTCCTTCATCATTTCAATGAGCGCCAGAGCAATAAACAAGCATATATACTTCCTGAAATCTATAAGTTTTCTCGCCATAAAACTTCTTATTGAGTTTCATTTAAGAATCATAACAAGAAAGAGTGTTATTCCGAGTGATGAAATTTTTATATCATTTCGAGTATCGTGGAGAGTAACTCGACACTTGAAAACCATTGAATAACGCACGGTTCAATTTCATTCAATTCATTCCCTATTCTTGTAAACTCCGAGAAAATGATGGTTTTCTTAAAAATTCAGTGACTTTTAACTCTTTTTGGTGTTATTGAAACATCTTGGAAACCATTCCATGAAGCCTGAGACTTCAGAGATAAGCAAAAACTTGAACAGAAATGTTTCGAACATGCTTTTTAATAATTATATTCTCAGAAGTCAATATTCTACAGTGTTAATGATGGGAAAAACTTCATGACTGCATTTTCTATTCATTCCTGTTATTGATATGAAAACTCTTTGTCAGATATTTGATTCAAGAAACGCAAAAAACAGACATGCAAATTGATGCAAATCATTTGTGTATTTGAGTGAAACATCCTGATTTCAGGATTGAAATTTCACCAGGAACTTCAACTTTATTCCAAATCAATTATGAAATCTTATCTTCAAAGAGCTCAAAAGATGGCGAAACATTAGTGAAAAGAAAGAAATAGTTCGACTTGGCAGCGTCTCACGAAAAACCTGAACTTTCTTTTTTCCAATCTTCCATATCAAGCTAATTAGCAAAGGTTTTATATTAGTGATTTAAATTTACCAGACCGAAAAACCCCGGTTTTCTCTACAACTCGTCGTATGGAGAAAGGAGAGTTTCTAAGCGTTGCTAAAGATACTTCAAATGCCTTTCTTCTCTAATTTAAAGCACTGTATATCTCACACAATTTAGGATATCTGTACATACATAATTCAGCCGCAAGTCTATTTGAGAACCACTTGAGTTAGAGTATTGAATAATAACTCAAAGTTAAATTGAATGCCACATGAAATAAAAGGCCTCTATTTGGTTTCTACCTTTCATGATGTAAATTAAATATGCATTAAAATTCATGAAAAGTGAACGTCAACGTCGTCAAATGTGTTCTATGCAAATTCAATCCTAGCTGAAGTGATCGGAGGCGAAATAAATTAATCAGTCGTGTTAAACGTCTTCCGTCGGTTTCACTTCATGGCAATGTCAGGCGTGCATTTGAGGGAAATTTCTCGTGGAATTAAACTTGTGCCTGACGGCGTGGAATCAAATCATTTTTTTGCATCTCAGCACCTTAAGACACTTCAGCTCAGTGCATTTGCGGCAAATCGATGAGTAATTGAGTTGCTCGATTGATTCAATTTCATGTACTCACCTTTGATTGCTTCTCGAGGGATGCGAAGTGACGGCAATAAAAACTCCGCCGCTGGTGCTGAAGAACTTTTCCTCCTCAACACGTGTTTGCTCAAATATTTAACGCGATATAACTTTTCGCACTGTTTCGCACAATACTTTGGAGTGTCCTCTGGGATTTTTCCTTCTCAATAACTTCGATGGTTGATGTCCTGCTCCTCCAGCAATTTTCACACACAAAATGTCAGGTGGGCTGATCAGAATTGACAAACGGCACAGTCTCCGAGATGCGGCACAGAACGAGAAGAGACTTGAACGCTCCTGGTCAAATTCACATTTCACCACTCCTGGGCCACAGTGGACTCACCTCTTCGTGCGACAGCGAAGAAGTAACGCGGACAGAGCGGGTTTGATGAGTGCGGAGCCAACGGTGGTTGGTTTTATAGGACAATCCATGCGCAGAACAGATAAAAGGACTGTTGAGCACACTTTCCGACGCACACAATTGAACGAGAGTGAGGATGGTATCTCGGCTCTTTTGGCGGCAATGTCGTCAATGGGACTTCCGTTTGATAGTTCCATTCGCATCGCCTGGGCTAAAATGGGAAAATCTGTGAATGGAGCCTTCAGAGCGAGGCGCGCCCCACCTCCACATCCTCGCTCGGGTCTTCGCAAGGCATCTCCGCAAAGTTGCAAAATTGCGAATCAGTCCGAAACTCATATGAGAGTCTTTTAATAGACCTTCTGTGGAAAAAAAACCAACCCCTTTTCCCTTGCATTTGTTCTTTGCGGCCCTTTTGGCCACCTCATCAGTGATAATGATGACGTCAGCACACGCCTCCACATCTTTCTCGGCCATCCATTCCGTCGGTGAATTTTACACAAGCAACAATTGTTAAAAGAATGCTCCACTTCATTATCCACTCTAATAAATTGATGGGATATGAAAAGCATCTATTTTACAATCCACTGTTTGGAGTTCAATTAATGATTCATTCTGCAAACTATCTAGTGTATTTGCGATTTTCCTAGGGGGTTTTCACCTGAAATCTATGGCAGGGTAAGTCAATTTATTGATAAATTGATAGGCAGTGTAGAAATGTTAAATGAATAATAACAGTTTGCAATGCTGTTTGCTCATGTGGCCAAATTCTACATGATTCATTGATGTCAGATGCTCTGAAGTCAATTTTTCCAGTTTCCTTGTGACGAGAGCTTCCCCAACTGGTTTCACCTCCTCAATGCAATTCAACTTGTTGCACTTCAGCAGCAGTCTGGAAATCGGTCAAGATCACCGAATTGAGTTCAGAGAGGTGAGAAGTATTTATAATGTCACTGAAAATGGTCTCGCAAGGAGTCGTTTTGATGCGATTTTGCATTTGTTTTCTACAGTCAGTCATCAATTAGGCAGTTCTCTGTACTGGAAGTAATCCAAAATGGGATCTCAGGAGTCTGAGCGGTGATGATAAATATGTCATGAGTGTATTTCGCAAGGTTTGGCAAAGTTTCTGTGATTTTATTCTAGAATTGGCGGGTGATTTCAGAGGCTGATAGTTTAGTCATGGGAGGTGCGATGACTATCAGCCAGCTCTTATCAATGCATGGGCGCAATCTGTTATCGCAGTCGCACGTATTGCGCCGCATTGGTGGGAAATGAAGAGAATTACAATAAATTAACGACACAATTATCATCCGCAAAGTCTGTGACATGAAATGTGAATTAACCTGCCATATGGCCGAGGTGTTTGAGAGTGTAAAAAGATACTATTTTAATAGATTTGGCGTGTTCCCTGTCCTCCATTCGCTCGATTGAGTGCGCCTTCCGCAGTGGAGGCGCCGGGTAGCGTGACATTTGCGGGGTTTCGCGAAAGCTTTTCTCTCGCTCTCTCTCTCGCTTTGCGAGACTTTTAATTCCCTCCCAATCGCCCAAGAGGCAATTTGCAGGCATATCGAGAATGTTATCATGTGAAATCAGAGACTTTTATCTCGTCCTCATGAGTTCTTAAAAGTCCACACAGAGAAGTCACTGGAAATGACACAAATCGTGAATTCCAATTAAATAGCGACCGAATACGTGAACTCCATGCCCAAATACCAATTCAATTGTGTCCCTCTCCTTAATGTTGTATTTATTTTATTTATTTGCCTCATTTCTGGCCCTATTAGCTGCCACAAGACAATTCCATTGAGTCACAAAGCGAAAACGTGGGCGAACAAGCGCCCAGGGAATTGTTTGTCATCCCTTTTGGAGATGTTCTTTGTCCACAGTTGCATTCGAAATAGCAATTACAGATTAAAATCTGCTTATCTACGAGCAGAAAAGAGAATTTTACATCAAAAACCACCTTATTGAGCCATATTCAAAAAGGGAAACAATTAATTCACTCGCCAAATCCTCAGTAAACAACCCAGATTACATCATGAGGCGAAGGAGATCTCAGATAATCTCTGACAAATCTGCGGCAATCTCGTTAAAGCCTCTCCACAAGTTTTTTCTTCGCGTGAACTTTCCCCTTTTCCTGTCCATCGAGCCATACAGCTGAAATGTGTGTTAATTGAATTGTTCGGAGGTCTTTTTCCAAAAACTCCGGCGGGCAATTGCGACTCGCTCCTGAACAGCCACAAGTGCGCTGCCATCAATTGGATTTCTCATTATTTATTCATAGGGCGATAATTAGACGGAGTGAACGCGGTTTTCCACCGCCGAAATGGCCAAGTGGGGCCTAAGTACGAATCAATTAAGTTCATATTGCGCTGAAATTACATCATTTCCACACGGAAGCCCAGGCAAATTTGGTCAGATTGGCTCATGTCACCCTCTGGGCGGTCATTTGCATATCAATTTTCTCGCTGGAGATGGAAATTGCCGGCCACGCAATCCCTTATGCGCTTCTTTCGGATGAGATGGCGAAGAGTGATGTGTGAAATGTGAAATTTAATTAAGCTCTCGGTCAAAGCCAATTCAGAGCTTTTCCTCTCTCCTGTTATCACTGCGGCTTTGATTCTTTTCTCCACGAATATTTAGTTGCTGCAAAGGCCAAATGGATGAGCAGTGAATTTGAATAACAAATTTCCCCCAAGTGCTATCTCAAATAATATATTCTCCTCCTACAAAATTATCAAACTAAATAAACACAGTTCATCATAAAACTAGGAGTTGCAATCTTACTTCATCTCTCAACAGTGAGACACACACGCGCGCACACTTCAGAGAAAGGGTTTTGAAAATGAGAAAGCTTTCAGCATCGGCGATGAACACAGGTCCCATGAGGGATGGTAAAATAAAAAAAATTGGGCCACTGACCTTAATCTCATATCATTTTGTGACAAACTTATCGCGTAGAGTAGGTAAATAAAGTCCTAAAATCATCACATTTGGAGCAAGAAAGGGTTCAGGGCATGGGCAGCACGCCCACGCCCACGCCGCCCCCGTGGGCGCACATGGGGGCATCGAAGACCCACGAGTCCTTCTCCGGGCAGTAGATCTCCATCGACATGAGGTTCGACTCCCCATTGTAGCCCCCGATAGCCCACAGCTTGCCCATGTTGGCACACAGCGCCACCCGGCTGCGCTTCATGTTCATCGACGCCACCGGCTTCCACGTGTCCTTGGCGGGATCATACACCTCCACGGAGCTGAGGAAGGTGTTGCCGTCATAGCCACCACACGCGTACAGCTTGTTGTTGAGCGTCGCGACGCCAAGGCGACACCGGCGATTCAGCATCGGCTTGACTCTGGTCCACGTATTCGTCGCCGGATCATAGCGCTCCACCGAGTCGAATATCGATAGACCATCGTGACCGCCCAGGGCGTAGATGTACTGTCCGAGTGGGGCCACGCCGCCCGCCGACCTGTACTTCATCATCGGCGCCACGGTGGTCCAAGTGTCGCTCTTCGGGTTGTAGCACTCAACTGGAAGGCAGAGGAAAGAAGGAAAATCAGTCTTTTAAAACACACAACTCTTGCATGGAAAATGTTCTAAACAGGATCCAGAAATGATAGGAAAGAGATGAGAACTCTGTAATTGCATCTAAGCTTTGTGCAACACACAACCTCCTTAAGAAATGCTCAATTAAATGGCTGAATTGTAGAGATGAGGGCCGTATTGTCGTGCCATGATCATTTCTCCCGTATTTGATGCCCTTATCTGTCCCTTTTCACTCGAGTATTGTCCAAAAGCCATCAAATTCAATTAAACTCTAATGTTTATGACACAATGTCGCGCCCCTCTCGCCGCTATTTTGAGGTCAAGGAGCTCGAAAATGATTTCCAGGCGGTAAATCAATTATGGCCAATTTCCAACGAATCATAAATAAAGAGCACTTTGGGACTTCCTCTTCTCCCCAAAAAATTGACCTCGCTCGGTGAGAAAATGTGGACTTTGAGTATTGATTTGAGCAGTTGCACCAGAATTTCAGAAAGTGTGCACGCGCAAAGGAAAGGGAGGGACCTTGGCGAGTGATGTTGCAGAAGTCTCTCACCTGTGTTGAGTGATGTAACGCCGTCATAGCCGCCGCACACGTACACCAAGTCATTGAGGGCAGCTACACCGACGGCGCTCCGTTTGCACAACATGGAGCGGCCTTGCGTCCACTTCTGCAGCTTCCGGTCGTAGATCTCCACCGTGGAGAGCCTCTCGGTGCCGTTGAAGCCCCCGAAGGCGTACAGCCTGCCGCCCGTCACGGCCACGCCGACCCGCGAGCGCAGCATCGACATGGGCTCGCCCATCGTCCACTCCTGCTTGATCGGGTTGTAGATTTCGCACGTGCTCACAGACTCCCCGGACTTCGTGAGGCCGCCCACGGCGTAGATGTGCCCCACGGCGCTGTAGTGGCGCTGCGTCGTTCTGTAGCTCTGCACCAGCGCCCGCCTCTCCGGCATCAGGTGGCAATCCTTCGCCTCATCCACCAGGTCGCGGCACTGGTGAGAGGTCTTGATTAGCTCCTCCGTGGCCACGTGGTCGGCGAGGAACTGGGGCGAGAGCAAAGGGAGACGCACGTTGGCCAGCACGCGCGGCAGATACCCCGTCCGGCCGCTGTCGTGCTTCACCCACCGCATGCACGCCTCGAAGATCTTCTCCTCCGAGGGCACGTTGAGCTCATCGCGACGCACCAGGTCGATCAGCTCCTCGAAGCTCAGCGTGAGGAACTCGTCGGAATCCGCCACGAGGTAGAAGTACTGATGAATGAACTTGTCCGCCGCGGAGAGCAGGTGCTGACAGCTGAGAGAGTCGGCGAAGTAGCGGATGCCCAGGACGTTGTGGGCGGAGAACTTGGAGATGAGGAAGTCCGCGCACGCGTCCCGGACTTTGTTCAGCTGCAGAAACGACGCGCCCACCATCAAGCCTTGCACGTTCTGGCTGTCGATCTTCACGGTGCCGCTGTAGGCGAAGTTGATCAGACTCTCGAGGGCCCTGAAAAGAGAAAGCAGCGCCTCGTACCGCAGCTCTCTCCGGGTGTCCCAATCCCCGTGACTACTCACTGTGGCTCGATTTCCTTCATCGTGATCTCCTTGATGCGACTCTCGGCCATGTTATTTGTGAACATGGCATAGAAGTAGGGAATCGTGGCACTCAAGACGATCCTGTGCGCCGAGAAGGAGTGATCCTCCACCTGAAAACGCCCACAGACAAGAGAAAAGAGTCAGTACATGGTAGGAAAACAGGGAAAACACCCACCTTCAGTGTCACATCGCAGAGCTTTCCTTGGCGCCGAATCTCTCGCATCAGAGGGAAACTCTCTGCAAACAAGTCGTCCTGTTTAAATAACACGTACTTGTCGTCCGCGCTCCTGCCCTCATTTCCGTCCATCCCCCTGCAGAAGTGCGTGAAAATCTCAGCTGAAAATGCACTGCTGCGAACTGAACACTACTGAATTGTTTAGTAGGATTTGACAGCCAATTTATAGGCGCACACTCAAGGGGTCTACTGCTCTCGGGGAAAATGCACTCGAATTTCTGCAACAAAATTCGTGCTTTATAGCTGAAATTTTAGTAGTAATTTTGGAAACTAAACCGCTTCAGTGATCGCGAATTAAGGTATCTTATTGCAATTAAGAAAAAGAACACAGAAAGAGAAAAAATCACAAGATTTCCAATAAATGATTGTCCCCTTGGTCACAGAGTTTATGGCGACATCTGTTGAGTGGGCTCTGAATATACTCCTAATATAGCGAGTGTGAGCCGAAGTCAAATGTAGTGGCTATTTTGCAAAACAACAAAAATCGCGGTTTTTCCTTTATGCAAAAATTTTCTAGAATGCTCTTTCCAACCACGTTCTATTGCAAGAAACCCAAGATACGCTCGACGATTTCTTCTTTTCTCCATGCAGAAGGAAAAGCATAGAAATCAAAAGACGCACAACTTCTTCAGCCGCGGCGGGTATGAGGAGCCGCCTAAAAAGGTCTCGACTCACACTCTTTCGACTGAACTGACAGGACGCCCATTCGTCGGCCAGAAAAAACAGTGGTGAAAGTAGCTGTTCAATTGATTTTTCTCCTCGCATTTCTCCCTGGTTCTTTGTGTCCGATCGTCGTGAAACCCGCTGTAAAAGGTAAAGTAGCTTTCGGACAATATTTTGCCCCTGAAATCCCATCGAATCTCGCAAGAAGACACCGCGAAAACTGAAGACGCCCGAACCACACCTTTTGTTTGATCTTCTTGCTCAATCTCTTCCATATTCGCCATAACAGGTGCAAGATGACATCAACAAACGTGACTGTTGGCTTCGGAGACCGCTCTTCGTCGCGCGTCCTCAAGCCCCCGGGCGGCCAGTCGGTGCTGGCTTTCGGCGGCGAGGAGCAGGTGCGCCCCAATCCGCCGCGCCCCAAGTACGATCAGCAGAACTCCTCCAACTTGTTCGGCTGCATGGGCGCTCCGGATCCGTCGGTGCGCGCTGAAGAGGCGCCATCGAAGGCTCCTGAGCCCGTGGCCGCGCCCATGGAGGCTCCTGCCGTGGCCGAGAGCGCCCCCGAGCCGGCGCCGGAGCCACAGAACCGCTCCGGCAGAGCGGCTCCAGCCGAGCCAGCGCCGCAGCAATCGACGAGGGGCAGAGTCCCGCCGGGAGGCTTCTCCGCCGGCTTCTGGTAACGCCCAGACAGACCAAAAAACAACTCGGCACCAAAAGAGTTCCCATGCACCCACATTTTGCCATGGGAACGCTCTTTGTGAACCAAACGCAGCTCCTAACTGTTTGCTTCCCTCCTCTTTGAGATTGTGAGCCTCTTTCTGTATTGTAAAGAATTGTTACAATTCATTTCCATGACCGTGAGACGTGTGTTTGATAAGCACGAAAATATTGTAATCAATTCTGTTTGTTGCATTTTTGCCAAGCGACACTTAAACATTGTTAACGTATCTCCACGAAGGGAGATAACATTTCGTTTTTGATAGTAAATCGCTCCCTTCGCCTGTCTTTGTACTATCATTCATCAAATGAAGAGTGAAAAAAGAGAAGAAAAACACTAGAGAACGATAATTCCTCAATATTGTTTCGCGTATTTATACTACCAAATAAATATACATGGATTGACTCAATAAAATTGATTGGAGATAATTTAGGAGGGCTTTTAATTGGAAAGTGCGCAACAAGATTCCCACTGTGACCAGATTCTGTTCATCTGCAGGACCGCGAAGAGCCACAAATTCATCCAATTTTTCAGAGCTTGTCAGCCTTGATCGAATACTTCCGAGCGACACGAATTCCCAATCAAATCAGTCACGCAACGTCGAAGAACATTGCAGGAAATGGTCATTCGACTATAATTGCTCAAACAATAAAGTTTGTGCATTTGCATTAATGAAAGAGATAAGATTTATTTACTACACGGAATCAAGATAGTAAAATTTGACCTATTTTTTGTCTGCTGGTGCTTTATTAGTCAATAAAATTATCACATTGCTGAGTACAGAGACTTTTGGCGCATTTTACACTGTCGTTTTTGTCCAAGAAATGCCACTGGCCTCAGATATCCAAATCAACTTGTTAGTTTTGAAAAATTGGTAGGGAAATATCAAGATTTAAACTCTGCATTTTAATATTCATTTAATTGCGAGACATCGTTTTCATGCTTGGAAAGACACAAATCCTCAGTCAAAGGCTCTAAACTCTTAGAGACCGAAAAGCACACAGTTTGTTAATCAGCAATTTCACTCACGCAAATTTCATATTAGAACAGAGTGATTTTAAAAAAGAAAACTACCTGCTGTCCTGCATTGAATACATAAGTTCGGTCACAGTGAAACTATTGATTTGGGGAAGGCGAATGAACTCGTGTCTTGCTCTCATTTTTCACTCACTGAAAAAATCACCCCGAACACATGGATTTTTCATGGGATTCACACCGGATCTGTGCATAAAAATAGACTCCTTCCCTCGCCTCTCCGGAGGCAATAAGAAAAGCCACTCAGTGGAGATAAAGTCTCTGAAGTGCAGTGAAATGCCATTTAGTCAACAGAGAATTTAATCAACTTCAGTTCTTGAGTCAATAAATCAAGTCTAGAAAAATAGTGTTCTGAAAAAGTTTACCTCGCTCTGGGCGACTTCCGCTTCGCGGGTTTAACACAGATCGAGATATGGAGTTCATTGGCTAGACTGAGTGACTCAGGGTCACTTGGCGTCCTCCAGGGCGGCCAGCTTCTTCTCCTGCTCCTTCTTGAACAGATACGCCCTCGTGAGCTGCACAGACGACGAGAGTGCGACAAAGAGATTCACGGAGAAGAGTCCCCAGTTCTTGGGGATGATTACGAGGGAGTAGCGCGACCAGATGATCCCCGTGGCGCACAGGGAGCCCGACTGCGCCACGGACAGCTGATCCGCCGGCCGGGCGAGGTCACTGAGGCCCGCGATGACCAGCCCCTAGAATAGGAGGCACAGGTTAAGCAGTTGATTGCATAATCAGAACACAAGCACGCTATAGGTCAAGGCTGTGCTCACCCACTTGAAGACGGGTGCCCAGAAGAAGATCGTCTTGGGTCCTGCAAAGAGGAGGAGCTGTCAGTAGCCAGAATTGCAGAAAAAGCGAAAAAATACGCGCTGCGTAGGAGAAAACCCACCTGCTGCGTGATTCCACAGTGGCACAAGCTTTGGGGGCACAAATTTGTCCGCCGTGGTGATGATTGTTCTGTACACTGCACTGGCCATCGCGGGAAAATTAGGAAATCCACTGAAATTAGGAGAAAACTAGAAGAAATCCTCTCGAAATCGGTTCAAGTTTACGTGTGTATTTTATTGGCAAGCAAATCGTAAAATGTCAGGGTCACGCAAAAATCACATGGCGACGACAGCGCTGGCGCGGTCAACACATGCGAATTTCAAATATTTGCCAGACGAAGCTTTTAACGGACATCAGCATGCTCACCGAAAGATTCTTGCATAAAAATATTTTTATTGTATTTTCAGGTGCTCATGTGCTATGTATCTAATGTAGTAACTGTACTGGTATTATCCGAAGTAGATTTCTCAAGGGATTTCTCGAAGCAGGAGAAGTGCAGGACGCGCTCTCCCATGCCGAATCTCTCCCCTTCCTCAATCGTGGCTGGGATTGTTCTGTTGAGCGTCTCTGGCAAGAAGAGGCACAGCACAGCTCCGGCCAGAGATAACCCACCAAGGATTAGAGCTGGCAGAGCCTTGCAATAATGTCCCAGATACAGGATGAATGTGCTGAAGAAAGTCACCGCATATCCAGCCACGTGAACTGCGCTCACTCCCTGCGCACGAACGCACGTGGGGATGAGCTCGGTGGCGTACTGAGCACTGGAATTATACGCCACAGTAACCCCAAATCTCCCTATAACCGCCAGAGTGGCCAGGAGTGTGGCAGACATAGTGGCGGCGCCTCTTTGATAAGCCAACACGATACCCGTGCAAGTGGTGAAAATACCGCTGACCAGAAGCGAACTGGAAGCCATTGCCTTGCGGCCGATCTTGTCTTGGAGTGCCCAGAGGACGAGACAGGCTGGAAAGATGGCTGTGGCGCTGAGGGAGAAGAGGATGAAGGGTGACAAGCCCAATCCCTCGACATTCCTCGAGATGCTGTCATAGCAAAGTGTGATGACCATTCTGGAAAGAGATACTTTTACACCCTGGCCAGAGCAATGTGCACATTCGCCTTACTAACGATTTGAAAAATAGGATAAATGTGTTCCTCCGCAGGCGCGGTGTCTTGAAAAGATCGAAAAGATTCGCCTGAGATTTCTTCTGACATCCATTAGATTCGCTGGTGTTCTCATTCCTGAACTCTCGGATGGTCTGCTCGTCCAGATGGCGTCTGTTGAATGCAGCCACTCTACGAAAGCAGTTGATTGCTCCCTCCACGTCTCCCTTGGAAATCAGCCAGTGAACACTCTCGGGGAGGATGAAGTAGAAGCCAGGAATGATGGCGATGGGCAGGGAAGTAACCATTAGGAAAACTTTCCAATTTCCCACCGCCACTGCGATCCATGGAGTCACCATTGAACCCAAACAGTAGAAGATCCCAATGCAGATGTTCAGCCCGAAAGTCCGCATCGACGGCCGGATGTACTCCATCACGAGGATGTACATCATGACGAAGTTACTGTCCGTAGCCAGGCCAGAGATAAAGCGGCAGATGCAGAACGTGGGCACAGACGTGGAGAAGATCGTGGCTCCGTTGCCCAGGAGAGCGGCACAATTGGCCAGGACGAGGATCGGCAGGCGGCCAATTTTGTCCGCCAGAATGCCAAAGATGAGCGTTCCCACCACGGATCCTATGAAGTACATGGATTGTCCGAGAGTGGACTTCCAGGCTGACTCGCAGACCCAATTGAGCTGCGAGGAGAAATGGGAATAACTAATGAGCTTTTAATGATGAGAGGATCTCGAGGGGGAATACATAATCCTAATCGCTAACTGATCTTTATGGAAGCAATGAATGTCAGGTAAATCCCACAAATAATTACAATCGCTGATAGATTAATTAAAATGACAAGTCAATTTAGTCACCGCTGCATTATAGCGATTGTCTTTTGGATGGGGAAGCTTTACTGAGCGGCTTATCGCTATGTCATGATTAGAATTCTGGTTAGATCTGACATTCTACAGAGAACCTACGTCGCTGGTCATGCTCTGGTACCCAAAATCAAGATCATAGATCCAGTGCTCGCACTGCCGCCGCCTTTCGGAGGTCGTTTCCATCCAGATATTGGGGAAAAACTCCTCGTTGACCATGCGCGAGCAGAAGGGATCGTCATAGGTGGAGAACACCTCTCTCAGCTCCACGATTGAGAGATTCTGTGTGGCCTCGGTGGAGCACCAGTGATCGGGCACGACGCTGATGATGGTCTGCGAATAGTAGTGCCAGGACGTGAGCACATTCACCACGGCGAAGAGCGTGAGGAGGAAGAATTGGTAGCGACCGAAGTCGCCACACTTCTCAAGCATTCTATCCACATCGGGCATCTCGCTCTCGATGCCTCCGCACTTCCGTCACGTGGCTTTCACTGCGGGGCTAATTCTATTTGGCGGCACTTTGCATGCGCACACGAGAGACTGAGAGTCAAGGTGATCACTTTAGAGGTCTTTCACTGGCTCTTGTGCATCTCCTCTGTGCCAAAATTTATTTTAGAAGAGCCACACTCTCTCGCGACGCTCGCGGGACTAATTTGCACCCACTTTAGAGAAGCTGAGCGGCGCACGGATTCCCGAACACGCCAAAATCACTGATCCACAGGCAAACACTGTCTCCAGCCGAAAAAGGCGACAAATCAAAGTGAGTCTCACGGCAAATATTTAAATTTCTGCCACCGGCTCGGGTCACAGGTGAGTGGAGCGGAAGAGTGATAATCAACACACCGCGCACGTCGATGCGGAAAATGCCCACTTTTGCGGAAGAGATCTCGGAACAGTGAGATGACTGTTTGGCGGGATGAGTAGCAGTGACAGTGTTCTAAAATCGCGTGCTTGCTAATAAATTCAATGATGATGCACAGCAAAATCGTCGTGGTGAAAAAATGATAACTCCCCCTCTCTAATGCGAAAAAAGACACATTTCGCGCTACAGCAGGAACGAATTCAGGGAGTAAAAAGTGCCCGTCAATTTTTTATCACTCTCCAGCATCGCCGAGCATCATTCGTCATCCCGTGCTTCAAGCGGTGCAAGGCAGGAAGGAGGGAACAAGTGAAAAATACATTTATTTTTGCGAATTGCCTTATCAAATTGCAACTCTGTCCACAATGTTGTCCCGAGTGTTTTGCATTAATGATGTGGTTCATTTAACTCTCATCTCTCTTCTGACTTTTCGCGCACACAAGGAATTCTCTTGTTGAGCACTGTTTTGGTGGGATGAAACATTTTTCCCAGCCTCCACTAATCTCGTAATTCCCTTCGAAATACAGTGGCTGCCAAGATAAATTGGGTCTCTTGTGCTTCCGAACATCAACAATTGTCCGGGTGAATCACAGGCACGCTCTCGGAAATTGCGACCAAGCAGTATAGAAACTCACCGGCAATGCTGTGATTCTGAGCTTTGATGACTTCGTAATGAAATGTGGGACTTATTAATTTAACTATCGCTCTTGCTCGTGACACTGAAGAGCATAAATCATATGAGTGAATATCACCAGAGCAATATTTCAGACAAATTGAATCAATTACGACAAATCATGATAGAACTGTTCTATTAATGGGCGGGGCATTCAAGTGGGCGTAGCTTTTGAGCGTTACTTTTAAAGTTGAGTGCAAAGTTCAGCTCTAGGAAAGCCTAACAATCCAAATGCTTATCAGTGTTCTGATCTAGATATCACACGCATAACTCCCTATTATCATAAGTCAGCTCGATCTTCAACCTCTCCAATACGTTGTGGTTGTTGAACTTTTGAATGAGCTTGACAATAAAATATTGTTGCAGTTTCTGTTTGCTTGAAGCTTTCCAGAAGACATAATAAATATGGTCAGGCAGGGATAAAGGCGAAAATTTATGGCAGAAATTTTCTTTTCAATGCCCACGCAAATATTTTATTACCATCTTTGCGTTCTGATACGGAGAAAATAGTAATCAAGCAATTTACGGGTGAGGTAATTTTCCCATGATGACAAATTTGAGTTGTCTGGAGATAAAGGTCCACCACTTTTGATTGAATAGTTTCTGGCGATAAAAGCTCACACACATTTCATGCTCAAATGCCTGCGAGACAATGAGAAATTTGCCTTGAGTTGTGGCATTTTAATTTATTCATTTCTCCTCTTTCATACACAGCGATCAATGAGTGCGGTATAAAAAATGAGATTTATTGGAAGAGAAAAAGAGCCTCCGTGCGCAGATACTTATCGGAACACCCGTCGAAACCCGGTAAATTTTGCATCAGCCGCCCAGACGGAGATTATAAAAGTTATGAGAAAACTTTCGCAAGACTTCTCGCCACAGTAGTTCAATGTCACTGCTTGTCTGACACCTTGTTTTTGTCCTGCTTGTCTACACAGGAGCATGAGAAATGTTCAACACGGATCGGCAAAGCTTCTCGAATTACTCATACAAACCGCAGACTTGCAATAAATGCAGAAATGCCCGAGTGGAAAGTGTCACGTGGCGTTATCGAATAGCGATAATGTAATGTTGCGTAACGCCTAAATCACTCTCTCGTGTGCATTTTGTCGGTCAAATGTAAGAAATGTACAATTTAAATGAGGTTTGAAGGCAATTTCTCAGGCCAACGTGGAAAGACATTCGATCGATTGCGGAACATCGCGCACGAGGAGTGCGACAATTTTGGCGGGAAGGCAATGAGAAGTGGGTTAACCCGCGATGGTGTTCAATGAGTTTTGTCAAAGAATCCACCTCGAGATCAATTGGCATTGGGGACAATTGAGGTAAGAATTTACATTACAACAGCCCAGATTTTCTGTGTTGAACTGATTTGCTGGCAACACAGCGATTTCAAGACAAGACAATGAGAGAGACTCCCGTGAGTCGCAATTCGCATGTACTTTTCGGGGTGTGGGCTTTTCTCGCAGGTGAGAGCAAGAGTGAGACGTGAAGAAAGTGAAAGGAACAAGTCGAGGTGAGTTCTGGAAACGATGCCCGAAGCTCGAGAGCTTTCCAAAATTCACTCCTTCCAGCTGTTCGCATGACCAGAATAATTGTCCACGTCAGAGGCACGTTGATCGAAAGAATTGGCAATTATTTCAATTAACTGCTGCTTTGGAATCGAATTTACAAGAACATTAACTGCCCAATCAAGAAAAGATGTCGATAAATTTTCAGTAAAGCAATAAAAGTTGATGAACAAGAACAAAACCACACGCATTTTCGATGTATAATATGCAGGAAAATTAGATAAGACTCAAAAAGTGCTACTCAATATTCTCGTTGCAACATTGAGTCATAAAAATTGTCATGCGCCGCCGTAAACTGCTGGAAACTCGTTTAATTGAATTGATCATTATTCAGCTTGTGAAAGTGATGGAATTGTTGATATTTGTCTATTTCAACAATTTGTGGAAAATTTAAGGTGTTTTCTTGTCTGTATGGCGCGAATGAATCTCAATTCCCACTCACCGCGAAAGTGCATTCGCGGAGTCAGTGAACATTCTGCGATCGACGCTCTCTGCTCGTCACCTGGTGATGGTGCGATGCAGCCAAGGCGTCTCGCTGTGACCCACTGACCATCGCGCGAGATGAGTTCAATTGCAGATGCCGCGAGATCAAATTGCATCACATTTCGCATTGAATCGTCCGCGCGCGAGAAATGTATCGAGATTTGGGTGCTCTTTCTCTGCCTCGCACTCACCTGCCCCGTGATCTGGCGCTCATGTGAAACATGTTTCCCTTGAAGGTGAGAAAAAGAAAATCTCAGCCACAAGAGTGGATTTTGTGAGTGCGAAATTCCATAAAACGCGACCTTTCTGGCCCAGGAATCCAATTGATCCGTAATCTCCATATGGCCCATTGCATCACACGTTGCCTCTTGAGTGCAATTGCTTCTTCCAGCTCTCGAAGAGCGCCGTCAAGATCCCTCAGGGTGATCGCGTTATTTGAATCGGTCTGATTTCCTTGGGATTTTCACTTCTTCAAACACCCATACTTTCCCACTCGGACTTTTGGCCTTTTTTACACTCATGCTAACTCGCCAGAGTGGATTTTATGGTCTTTCTTGACTCTCGAGATGAATTCAAATGTCACTGGCATCAATGTTTTAATTAATAATTGTCCGAATGCTTGCGTTTTTGTTGGTACGCTTCAATGCAAATAGGAACCTCCAAATGTCTCAGAGTTTGCAGATTTCAAAATTCTCATTTATTTAGATTTAGAACAGACAACTTCACTGAAATTGTCAACAAATCGGCCTAATCCTTGATCCACAAAATCTCAAATAGCCGCAAATCCACGATGATGTAAAAGTCATCAAGTTTACCTTTAGGGCAGTCTTCAGATGGCCACAAAATCCTCCACCTTCAGCGTCTCCGCGGTTTTATTGAAGCAACTCCACCTTTGCCTCGTTGATTGATCAAGGTTGCAAGTGACTTTTTACTATTGACCTTTAAACTATGATCTTCGTGTATTTGAGCGATTATGCTGAGGCGTAATGTTGAGGTGAATTAGCATGAGAGAGCGACACATGAAAAAAAGAGTCACGCCATGGCAGAAAAAGTTGTCTCTAAATTGCGAAATTGATCACAAAAATCTCGCACAAATATGTAAATGAACAATTGGGTTTATTGGGTGGCTTTTTTGTGTTGAGTGCGATCATAATTTTTCAAGAATGGTCCACAAACGATAACGCCCAAAAAACTCGATCACTTTTGATATCATCGCGACTTTTGGCGGGAGAATGTCAGGCCAGACTTTCTGGGCATCTTATGTCGGCTCATTAATTTCCGCAGTTGTGACTTTTCTTGCCACACCAAAATTAGGTCATTTGCACGCGCGCGATTCAATCGCCGCGGTTAATCGCATGCAAATCATAATCCCAAAGAGCACAGAGTAATGTTAATTTGCAGTGTTCCGAGTGCCATTGTCTTCATGAATACCAAGTGAATTTCTGCTTTCGATCATGATCGATCAACAGATCGCACTTGCAGCTTAATTGGACGGCTTTTTTGCGCAAACAAATTAGATGATCAGTGACTTTGGTGGGCTTTTTGTGCATAATAAAAGGTGTCTCGCATCTTTAATCTCACCTGTCCATCGAATTAACGTGTTTGGGGTGATGAATCGACAAAAGGCAAGATAATAGACTCGACAATTATCTCGTTTTTCGTCAAGTTGAGCGGAAAAGTGGGCATGCATGTGGAGTGCACAAGAAAGTGCAAAGGAATAACAAAAGAACCGGCAAATCAAGAGGCTCTTCATACCAGAATAAGGTGCTTTTTTCTAAAGCTTTTGCACAATATTGCAACTGTTACTCTTCTTAAGCTGATAAAATATACATTTTCTGTCTTGACTTTACTACTTTCCCAAATTTCCCATGAATACACAGCAGTGCTCTCTCGGAATGACAGGCCCCTTGGGCGCAGCTGACGGTGCAACGCGAGTGAAAATGAAAGTACCCGGCGTCTCCATCCGGTGCTGACACACAGAGCGATGGAGGTTGAAAATTAGGTCACTTTTTTTCTCAAGCCTCACACTGTCGATGTAATTCGAGGCTCTTAATATTCAAGTCCACCTTTCCTCTTATGCAACGCATTCCGCGTGGCGCGCGAGACAATGCGATCACGCAAAGGCGACTCCCCACCCCGAGCTGATCCTCCGCCAGGGATGCTCTCTCGGCGGAGCTGAAGATGGACCAAGTGTCCTTGCTGGCGGAGCTTTTCCCACGCTCTCGCTGTTCCCAAGCTCGTCTCTTTGACGAGTGCATCGTGGATACTGGTAATAAATAAACAAATTGAATAAATTAGTTTAAGTCATGCTGCATGCGGTGCTCGGGTGGCCAGGTGAGCGCTGGGAAGGTGTTCCGCGCGGAGATCTTTCTGCACCAATGACGTCGTCAATGCGAGGCATTTTTTTCGACACCGTGGGCATCATGAGCCCGAAATTGCGAGAGTGGTGGCAACTGGGAGGCTCGGAGACCATGGAGGAGTGCAAGAGTGAGTTTTGGTATAAATTGACGGGCCAGCGATGGATTCGACACAGTCGTTTAGTCGTTCTGCTATCAGAAACACCACAAGTCATCCCACAAAAATGGCATTCAAGGTGTGTGTCTCAAGTGGATTAGAGAGACTCACCTGTCCGCAGTGCCCGTCTAACCGTGTGCTTGTCTTGTAGTTCTTGACCTTCTGCGCCCTCGTCGCCGTGGCCCGCGCTGGACTCCTGGCCCAGCCAGCCTACACCGCCCACCACGCCCCAGCTGTGGCCTACACCGCCCACGCCGCCCCTCTGGCCCACGCCGCCCCCCTGGCCTACGCCGCCCCCGCCAAGGTCCTGGCTGCTGCTCCCATTGCCAAGGTTGCCGTCGCCGAGGAATACGACCCCAATCCCCAGTACTCCTTCGCCTACGACATCCAGGACGGTCTCACCGGAGACTCCAAGAGCCAGCACGAGACCCGCAGCGGCGATGTCGTCCAGGGCTCCTACTCCCTTGTCGATCCTGATGGCACCAAGCGCACTGGTGAGTTCACACATCTGCCACGCTTCAGCCCCGCAGCTCCCTAATCCGCTCTCCCTTGCAGTCGAATACACCGCCGATCCCCACAACGGTTTCAACGCCGTCGTGCACCGTGAGCCCCTTGCCCATGCCGTGAAAGTGGCCGCCGCCCCCGTGGTCGCCAAGGTCGCCGCCCCAGTCGCCTATGCCGCTCCCGCCGTCGTGAAGACCCACGCCCCAGTGGCCTATGCTGCCCCAGTGGCCAAGATCGCCGCCCCTGTCGCCTATGCCGCTCACGGAGTCCACGCCGCCCCAGTGGCCTATGCCGCTCACGGAGTTCACGCCGCCCCAGTGGCCTACGCCGCCCACGGTGTGCACGCCGCCCCCGCCTACTACCACCACTAAATGCCATCCGACAGCCGTGAGAGTACCAGCAACTGTTTCGGCCGCCCCGCAAAATCCAACCATTTGCCACGAGAGAGAGAACAGAGAGAGATGGCCACAGTCCAAATTACCCTTCCTCTTTCCTCTTCGCATCTAGTTGAATTTTGTTTAAATTAATTTATTTTTCCTGTATTTGTCGTCTGTATGCTACCTGTATCTATTCTGTGAACTTGACTGCATGTGCTTCGTGTGTTGTGACTATCCTTACTGTTCTTCGACTCCCCTTTTTGTACTTTGATAAATTGCCAGGATGAATAAAGAAAATTCTCAATTGTGAAAAGACATCTGGACTTTCATTTGCATCATGTAGTGAAATGTGTTGAAATGAAGGATCTCTCACGGACAGCGGGGCAACTATTCAAACAGAAAAGGTCATTTGTGCAATTCCATTGTGTGCTTGCAAGCTTCGAGTTTAAAACAATGATTTAAATCGAATTCAAACTGAACATTTACTGATTAAATTCAAAATCAATAATCGCAATAATCATTTACCCCATGAATGAAAGTGAAACATAATTTCTGATATTAATACATACCACTAATATCACTTTTTCCAGCGATGTATCAGTCTTTTGTGCATAGGTATTCAAGATAAATTTGATTCCGCTTCATACAAATTGCACTATTATGATGGATTTGTTAAAAGAAAATATTATTTTCATCCTAAATGCGAAGCAATTTCCGCTTTTACCCAATTCAGATAAACGTTTTAAAATGACACGTACATGCATCCATATATTTACAGGCCAATTGAAATTTATTGAACCATGTTGAATAATGCATTGCATTGCGCAATTTCAATTATCATGTCATATGCAGTGGAAATTCTCAATAAATAGTTTATTTATCGCCTCAATGTAGACTGAACTGTTGAGGTGCTAATAAAGTAATTTGAATATAATCAATCACGTGTGAGGATCATAAAGGGAAAAGCTTAATAGCAGAGCTGCTCAATTACATACAATTTTCCCTCTTGAGCGAATTGATCAGATGGCAATTAGTGAAGTGAGACGCACGTTCGTCTAATTAAATTGTCCACCATGACAATTTCATCGTCTTTCGCGACTTGTTCCTCAATGAAAAGCTTCTTTTTCGTCTTGGTACTTTATTGCCACTTTGCCTTCATGGGTATACAAACGTCTCTTCTCAGCCGGAACTCTTCCTGTGGTCAACTTTGTAGTGTTTGGCACATGAATTTATGGGTTCATTGAATATGAGATTACTGTTAAGGGTTTAAACACTACTTTGATGGGCTTCACCAGATCTTGGGCGCGAGCCAGGGATCGTGAAGCAGGGGCTTCGCCACAATAGGCACTGGATAGGGTCTGGGATAGGGAACCGGAACGTGCTTCACAATAGGAATCGGCAGGTGCTTCACGACTGGATAGGGAACAGGAACAGCGACTGGAACCTGAAATTTAAACGCAGATTAATTGACATTCTCGGGGTTAGCGATGCGTTGTTTGCTACCTTCACTGGAAACGGGATGTGCCTGTCGACTGGGACGGGAACGGGAAAGCCGATTTTCTTCGTGACCACCGTATTCGTGTGAGCTCCGAGGATTCCGCCGTGAGGAAGCCACCCAGGATAGGGAGCTGGTAAGGGAGCTGGCGGGTAGATTCCATGATCGAAGTGGCCGAAATCCCCAGCATAGGGAGGAAATGCGTCGTATCCGTAGCCAAAGTCCAGAATTCCTCGTTTTCCCTTCTTCACTTCCTGTGGCTGCTCCTCAGTCGCCACCACCAGAGCCACCAGAGACAAGACGACAAAGCACTTGAAAAAAGGCATCACGTTAATGATCGTCTTCCTCTTCTCTATTCGCCTAATTACCAAACACTTCATGATCTTTCCGTCGAGTGTTCACACACAAGGGCCTCACAGCACCCAAACAGAACTGCACCGAGATAGAGGCAGACTTTGTGTCTCTAATGTTGCGGTAATGATTGCAATTGATTATGCTGCCTTTTTGTCTTTTATATACTCTGCCATGCGAATCTCCCCACCGCGCCAGAGAGACACTTTTCTGCCCAGGTGCAGGCCCACGGATGGCCCGAGAGGGGGCAGAATTAGAAGGTGATTGCATAGCGGCGATCAGTTGGGGGAGGGAAGCATGTTTCTTGCTCTACCCGATCTTCCGGCCCCAAGCGAGCTCATCCTAATCCGCGAACACGGGTAACCTTTCAATCTTGCCCAGAAGACGATCAATTTACGAGATGACCGAGATGCTAAACTACGCTTTGTCGCAACATTGCAAAACAGTGATCTTGATTGCAATGTGCTTAACATACAGTAGCCGCGCGATCATGCGACCATTGTTGAGGGTCTCTTGCAAAATGCCCACTTGCAGTGATCAGCACACATTCCTCGAGCGAGACACTTTTTCTCCAATTCCTGGATTCTCTGCGGCTTGTGCAACACGCGATTGGGCACTTCTGCATAGTGTTAATTGATGAGACTGTGCAATGGATGGAATGCGTGCACGGCAGACTTTTCCGTGCAATGATGGTGATCAAATTGAGACACGCGTTCAATTAGACACACTCGCTGTGTGGCACCAAATGAGAAAACCAGATAACTTGCTACCTTTCAACATGCGCCAATCTAGTAATTTTCAGGGGCTGCCTATGCGCCAAGAGTTTTCCAAGAAAGGCGTCCGAAGCAGTGGCCAAATTGGGGGATTTTAATTCAATAAACTCTCATAATATTCAATCAAGAGTGGAATTCAATTTGCTGCCTCGGAGCAGTGATATTACATATGATCTCTCACACGATAGCCTTTTATCAGCAGGAGAGGCGATAAAGCACTTAGAAGAGCAGGAATGTTGGTGTTTTGCTGACAATTTAAATTGATTCACATGGTAAAACACCCGATTGATCTCAAAATCGAGTTTCACGTGAGATTATTTATGTGTCACTCTTTAAAATATTATGTACAATCTTTACATAACGACTCGCGATCAGCTTAATTGCATTTCATTACTCGCCATCCTTCGAGGGTCGCGTCGTGCTCCTGCATTGCCAAACATTTGATCATTAATTCATTTTCATCCCAAATCAGTGGTCGTTGATTTATGCCCGCCAAATAAATTTATTATTATTGTGGCCAATCATGCACTGTCGAATCCCATTTGAGGTGTGCATGTCTTGCCGTGCTTTTGCTCATTAATTGGCGGGTGCGCCAAAAGCTCCACATTTGCAATGTGCAGTGACTGAAAAAGGGACTCATTTGTGTGATCTTTTGGAACAATTCTCATGCTAAATGCAGATTTTCAGCCACTAGAGCTGAAGCAGAACGAACGCATTTGCCTCCGAGTGACAGAGAAATTAGGTGAATAGATATGCTGAACGACATGTGGGGAAATATGAAGGTATAAGATGACAAATTTATTGAGGTGCACTGCAGTTGAAGAAAGCAATTGCATCACATCTGTTTGTATCAATTAAACTCCCAGTGAGTCTCTTGATCCATTCGGATCGGTTTCAATAAAAATATTTCACGCAAAGTGCCATAAAGCTTTGCCAACACAAACTTTCTTTCGCCTCCGCGATAAAGTTAATTACTTTTCATGGAATTTATTGAAGAATGCCAATAAGCGAATTTAGAGAATTCGCGTATTCCAATCATTTCGAGTATTTCTAATTTTTACCATTTAAGCCACTTTTCAGCAATCAAGTCTAAGCAGTGCAAAAGCCGAACAGTAATGGATAAATCATGAAAGTAAAGCGAGAGAGACGCTTAGAGGTAATACCAATAATTAAATTAAGAGATTACGTGGAATTAAATCATTTGTTTTATTGCATTTTATCGATTGGAAAATGCTTGAGGAATTCCTCCGCATGTCTATAGCTCAAAACCATGCAATTTGTATCATTGGAGAGTTTATGCATTCGACAGAGCATGAATATTTAGCAAATATGTTTTTTATCGATTTTATCTGCGTGTTGTCATAATATGAAAGTATCGTGTGAAAATATCTCTAATTGTTTCCCAATTCCGTCTGGCATTCTTCCCATATCTCATCTCGCTCTGCTTTAAATTGCTGGCCGCGAGGTGATCCGCTGGAAAAGCGCACTTAATCCCATTGGGTGTATTTATCTGCGATCGCTTTCCATGTGCAGATCTCTCCTGGAGTGTCTCTGAATCTCGGCGACGGCAATAATCGCTGGAGTTGCACAATAATTGCGCAATTCATCTTGTTCTGCGACTCGCCTCAGCGCCAGTGTCTTTCATGCCGCTCAAAGTGTTCATCTCAGATGTTCAGCTTGTGCGCTCACCTTCCCAGTCGGAAGGAAATTGGCCTCTCGCCTCCCTCTTCTGGGCATCTTCAGTGTCACCTTCTCTGAAAATCATTAATACACAATTGTTAATCAACTCCATTCAATGCGATTCCCATAGAATTGTGGGATTACTCAAGCGGAGATTTCGGAGGGGAGCAATTAAGGCATTTTTCTGGGTATTGAGGCATGTGGAAAATGCACTTCTTATGCAATTTTCAACGGATTTTCCCATCTTCTCACGCCCCCTTTTGCCTACCTTTCGGATGCGCCGCCACTCAGATCTTCCGCTGCAACATTCCTTTTGCAGCCGAGAAATTTCCACCTTCAATGAAAGTCGTTTGTCCAGCAAAATGCTCCAATTTAGTGATGTCGTCTTGTCACCAGTGAGCATTTCCTGTCCATGAGATCACATATAAAAGATAACAACAATCGTGGTGGAGAAATTAGAGTTTTTGCAACCACCGACGAGATGAAAAGCTTCATTGTGAGTATTTCTCTGGCGAAGTGATAAGCATCAAATGCTGTGGTGATTGATGGCTGTGATTTGTGGGTAATTCCAGACGTGGTGTTGTGTCTTGGCGTTCCTCTGGATGCCAATTCTGGCGGAGGAGGACGATGAGGTGGATCGGGAGCAGCAAAAGCGACAGACAATCTTCAGCACAGCCTCAACACTTCCCGGTGACTCCCTCCTTCATGACGACCATGAGGCCACGTCAGGAGCCCTAGTGGCAGCTCCCACGGCCACACCAGCGCCCATTGTACAGGCTCCGGCCCATTCTTACGTGGCTCGAACTATTCTCCCAATTGCTCGGCCTGTGGCTCTCCCTCTTCCCGCATATCCTTTCGCCTATCCTCTCCACAAGCCCATCTATCCCTTCCACCTGGCGCCCTATCCTCTGGCTCACGCCTTTGCTCCAGCGCCTGTTTATCTACCGCAAACACACTTCCCATCGACAGCCCTCAAAGTCGTCCCAGCGCCAAATCTCGCGCCCTCCTTCGCCCCAATCTACCCTCGATACACAGTGACGCCCTTTGGATTCGGATACCATCAAGGATACCATCCAGCCCTGAAGTTCTTCTAGTTTTCGCGGTTGCCCAAAACGCCTCTCAATAAAGCAAATATTGATCTAAGAAAACTTGCTTTATTCTTACATAGTCTCCAAAGTTCAGATGAAAATGTCTTGCGACTTTATTGTATTGCACAGACTTTATCAATTATGCAATGGAGAATTGAATGTAAATTGTACACTACGTTCTTTAATATTTCAGTGCGGTTCTCATCCTTTCACATGTGTTAAATTTCCTCAGCACAATTCATGTGTGAAGACAGTTACTGAAAGTTGTGTTGGATCACATGAAAATCATACACTTATATCTATTGAGTAAATCTCAATTTTGGCGTCAAAATCAATGTTGGAAAATTAAGTGTTCTAAAATCAATCACCAATTTTTGTTGTATTGTGAGTGATGTTACTTCAAATTCATCAACTGTACATCCTTGTTTTACTACACCTTCAATGATATGAATTGAGGGAGGACAGAATGCCAAAGGGCGTCTTTAATAATTCACTGTGAAATGCATTATGATCAAGTGGGAAAATTTTCGCTATTCCCACGAATTTCCACCCATTTTCACCACCTGTTTTACTTCTCAGGAGCGGTTGTGGGTGCTGATGCACTAAATGGACGTGCGAAGGTGTTGGTCAGAAGGACACGTTCCAATTTCCCACTTTGATCGTGAAAATTGACCGCGTTGCAGAGAATCAAATCACCAATTTCTCACACCTTTCGCCAAATGACGTGAATAGAATCTATGACTGCTCGGATAATTGCGAAATGCCAGAACCACAGAAAGAGCATAAAATTATGCGAAAAGTCGTGCTTTCGCTGATTTTCCACCGCAGGCATTGAGAGTCAGGAGAACTTGAGAGTCATTTATGCTTCTCGTATCATTATGGTGTTTATGTGCGGATAAGGCCGCATTTTTCAGCATAATTTTCTAATTGCTTCTCGTTGCACGCTTTGCCTTTGACTAAAGAGTGTCTACTGCAGCCAAGAAGTGACAACAGTTTGTGCAACTCTTGTCTGGATGTCTTGCGCAATTTCCTGTGGAAATGACCATTTGCAGACACGTCCGATCGTTCACCCCCTGTCTCTGCTGATCTTGGACGTGTGTGGCGGTGGCGGTTCGTGGGACCAATCCACTTAGACGACATTTTGGTCACACGCACTCAATCCGTGGTCACTATATAAGGTGAGACACTTTGTGGCCAATTTGTCATTACAGTGATCACGGTTGTTCCAGTGAAAAGTGCATCGACAGTCAGTCCATCAATCATGAAGTCTGTGAGTGTCTCAGCGGCAAATTGGGCAGTTTTGGAAGATTGGGAGTGACTTCTTGGCTCCTTCGCAGGTTCTCATGCTGCTCTTCGTGCTGGTGCTCGCGGCAATTTGCCGCGCCGACATGGGCATGAAGACGAAGCGAGCCTACGCATTAGGATACGCACACGCTCCCGTGTACGCCGCTCACGCGCCCGTTGTGCATCACGCCGTGGCCGCAGCTCCGCTGGCATATCACGCGCCTGTCGCCAAGTATGCCACCACCTCCTATGTCGCCTCTTCCATCAATCATGCCCCCATCATCGCCGCTGCCCACACTCCAATCGTGGCGCACGCTCCTGTTGTCCATGCTGCTCCAGTCGTTGCCCATGCGACGCCTGTGGTTAGCCACACTTCACTCTACCACCACCACGATCCTTACCTAACTAGCCTCCACCACCCCCTGCCCTATTACTACCATCGCCGCTGATCCCTTTAACCCTAGCATAGCTACAGAGACTTGCAGAGCACTTCAATCCCCGGGCAACTATTGGGAATTCCAGTGACTTCATAACTCTTCCCTTCACAGACAACATGGTCTTGTACCCTAATTTATAACTCAAATTCATAGTGAAAGTGTGAAGAAATAAATCTCTATACGATGTACCTGTTCAATTAATGTTTGCACTCTTCGATTGCAACTAATTGAGTAAAATTAATTACAAGCTTTTTTTCTCAGTGCTTTCACTGCACCCGAGAGAATAAATAATGAGAATAAATGATGAGGAATTAGCACTTCTTTGTGCAATTTCGCTAAATGACGATGTCCAATTAAACACGTGCTGATCCCTTTTTCATTAGAAAATCTCTCAATCGCGGATTTTAATTATGCAGCGCGGAAAAGTCGCTAGAGGCACAATTGATTTCATGCCCACCCTCTCCTACCAACTGACCATCTGCAGTGTTTCGCACAGGATTCTCACCTTGCGTCACTCCTTCGTGCTCCTCTCCAGGAGTGCTCATACATAATTTTCCCATGAGTCGAGTTCAAGGCTTCTTCACACCAATGAAGACTCCATTGAGGGTGTCTTCGTCACAGATCGCCGAGGACAGGAGGCACTGGTCAGTGCATTGCAGGAATTGGTCAGTCGTGGTGTGAATTTCGTGCGAAACTAACGCAAATCTCAAGCTCTGAAAATGCGTTTGCCGGACAGGGATTGGAAGAAAACTCTCGGCTGGTGTGTTGGGCTCTTTATCTTCGGTATTATATTTGGCTGGGTCTTATTTCCGTCCCTGCTCAAAAAAGCCATCCGATCAGTGAGTTTCTGCTTGAAATTTCTTGCTGAGATTTTGGAATCTGGGCCTTTGAATCTTCCAGCAAACGGCGCTCAAACCGAACTCGAGGATCCGCGGGATGTGGAGTAACATCCCATTTCCTCTGGATTTTCGCGTGTACCTCTTCAACGTGACAAACCCCAACGAAGTGATGCAGGGCAGGAAACCGAAGTTGCAGGAAGTCGGCCCGTACTTCTTCCAGGAGAGGAAGACCAAGATCAACATGGTGGACCACGACGATGTTGACATGGTGTCCTTCAACGCCGTGGACACCTTTCACTTCGACCAGTCCAAGTCCGAGGGCCTCACAGGAGACGAGATCATCATGTTCCCACACATTTTCCTGCTTGTAAGTTTGCGGTGTCTGAGAAAAGCTCTCGCTACCTTTGCGTGTGACTTTCCAGGCCATGGCGGTGAGCGTGGCCAGGGACAAGGCTCCAATGCTGCCGATGGTCAAAGAGGCGATCAACATCATATTTCATGAGCCGAAGACGGTCTTCTTCCCTGTTCGCGTGATGGATCTACTCTTCGATGGGATTGGAATCGATTGCACTTCTGAAGAATTCGCAGCTAAAGCCGTCTGCACGGCACTCGAGACCGAACCCTCGATTGACAAATATAACGATACGACGTATCTCTTCTCCATTTTCGGCCCGGTGAGTAAATTATTCAATTATTCAGTTCAACCGAAAAATTTAGAAAGGGAAATAGAAGAGTCATCGGGTTTCCTTCCGAAACCTATCCGCAGGCAAAATTGGTATTAATTGGCGAGAAATCAATACATGCTTAAATTCTGTGGCTGGCTCATCCTCTGATAAGACACTTTATTCGCTGCAATGGGTTTGCACAATTACAGCCACTACCGTTCATTGCACAATTAGACATTACATTTCACCATGTTTACATATCTTTTGTGTTTGTGAACTATATTTATCCCATTATACATTTTCACACCATGAGAATTCCAGACTGAGTATTCATTACCTCAAATTTGTGCTGATTTCGTGTCGAAATGGTCACAAGAGACCAAATTCCCATAAGTAAGCCAGAATGGGTGCTTATCAATGTCCTCTCACTTGCAATGCAACATAAACAAATATCTTGCATCACATTTTGAAAGAGATTAGTGAGTGGTAATTCTCCTCGTCAATCTGATTTTGAAATATGCAATGTTCCTGGAATAAAATATGAAATCTCTGCAGAACTTTAATTTCGAAGAAAGTTGCTGTGGTGTTCGCCAAGGGGGTTAAATTATTAAAATCCCGAGAGTGCAAAATATTGCAAAAAGCAGTAATAATCCATCAGTTACGAAGTTCTTGACTTCATTAAAAATTTTCCCGTCTTACTCGTCTTATGTATATGGAGGGATATACGTATATTATGAATTGGAAACTGCAGAGCTTTTCCGAGCTATTGATCATCAATATCGCGATGTATAAAATCACAAGTATTAAGAAACGAATGTTGTTAGTATTCTTTATCGTGTCAAGAGCAGAAAAAGTCGTATTGATTGTCACCACGGAAAAGTGGGCATAATAAATGCATGCTCTTGAGTGTCAGCTGCAATCAATATTAGTGCATGGGGTTGAGGATGTGCATATGTGGGAGGATTTATTGTCACTGGGAAGCACCGTGAATCCGCCCAGATGTTTACCAGTAATTTTCAGCTAACTGGCAATTTTCCGTGTGCAGAAAAATGCAACTCCCACGAAGACTTTCACTGTCTACCGTGGCATCAAGAACATCCACGATCTTGGGCGGGTGGTGATGTACGATGGCGAGGAGGAGATGGATCTGTACGACGACGAGCACTGCAACCAGTACAAGGGCACGGAGGGCACAATTTTCCCGCCGTTCATGACCAAGGATCAGGGCGTGTGGGCCTACACGCCGGACATCTGTCGCTCCATGCCGGCCACATACGAGCGGCCGTCCTCCTACGCCGGCATCAAGACATCCCGCTTCTCGCTGAGCTTCGGCGACCACAAGAAAGACGAGAGCCTGCACTGCTACTGCCGCGATCCGCCTGACGGCTGTCCACCGTACGGAATCGTAGACTTCTCACTGTGCCTCAACGGAGCTCCAATGCTGGGCTCCATGCCGCATTTCTACGATACCGACCCGGCGGTGCAGCAGAAGGTGCTCGGCCTCCATCCGGACCCAGAGAAGCACAAGATCTTCCTCGAGTTCGAGCTGTTCTCGGGATCTCCGCTCGCGGCGGCCAAGCGTATGCAATTCAACATCCAGTTCATGCCCATTCCCGAAATTGAGTTCATGAGCCGCCTGGACGAGTACATTCACCCACTCTTCTGGGTGGAAGAGAGTGTGTACCTCAACAAAACGTTCACCAATCAGGTGAAATATGGCCTCATGCTGTGAGTATCACCCTGATGAAGTCCTCTCCAGTGCGAAATCCTCACATTTATATTCCTCCTGATTTCAGTGTGAAGAAGATAAACTGGCTCATCCGGTGGGTTTGTGTGCTTATCGGACTCTGCGGTGGGGGAACAGCCGGATATGTGCTCACCAAGGGAAATCCTACAGCCACAACTATGGTAACTCCCGTGGACGAAGACGAGAAGAAAGGAAAGACAACCGCCAACTTGCAGCTTCCGCCGGCGCAAAATCCCGGTGCGGGCTTGAGTAATTTTCAGAAGAACATCACCGTGTCTACGATAGAAAACCAGATAGAACGCTACTGAGCGCGCACCTCTCTCGAGGGAGTTTCTCTGGCCGGTTTTTCTTTCTGCTCTTGATGGCGAAATGTGCAATACCGAGCGGGATTTCTTCACTATAAGTTTGAGTCTTAATCATTTACGAGTTAATTGAATAATCGACTGCATGTTATGTCACTGCTTTGCAACATGAATGAGTCTGGGATGCAAAAGTGCATGTCTCAATGCAAGATGATATTGATATTCAAATGCATCAATGCTCTCTTTTTCTCATCTCTAGATATATACTTTGTGATGGGAGTGTTTCAGGGGTAAAAATCCCTTGAGGGGCGATGCACTACACTAAATAGTTTAAGTGAATTCAAAGTGTGTTGAAAAGCGCTGCACTTCTTGGCAATAGATATACAATTTCCATCCTCTCCCTTTACAGCACGATAGACGACAATGGACCAAAAATAAATGTTACACAAGGTGTAGTAAATCAATCTCTTTTTTTTACCATCCATCATCGCTCGGTTCTCGCCATCAAATAATATATTATACAAAAAACATCACAACTTACACAACAATTAACGCTAAATAGACAACTATTTACAGAGCTTGGGGCAAAGAGAGGAGAGCAGGGATCAGACAGGGGGAGGGTAAAGTTGAAGAGAGATTAGATTCCCATCCCATTCCACTCCGGTGACTTTTTGGTACGGTCTCCCACCCAAAAGGCTACATATTATAAATACTGCAAGGAGTCCTCAGTGGATCTTCTCCTTTCTCACTTCACTCGCCGGATGCACGTGAATGGAGCAGGAGATGCGCTTGAGGAGGTGCCTGAAGATGGCCAGGATAGCCAGACACACAATCACCATGTCCAGCATGTAGTATTGGATCCAGGACAAATTCCGCCCGGGAGTCCTCAGGTGGGGCGCTCCATCGTGCCTGAGAACGTACTCAATCCAGTAAATTGCCGTCTCGAGTGGTGGATTTCTTTGGTCGCGCAGCAAACGCTGTCGCTTCCTGCGAAGAAAGAGACACGATTATAGGCGCCGGAGAGTTTGTATGGAGATCAGCTGCGTCTTACTTTGCGGCATTCCTATAGCGGGGCTCATGAATCACCTGCGTTATCGCCTTCACCAATTTGTCCGCAGTGAGAGTCTCAAGTGGAAGTTTCACTGCGTAACCATCCGCCTCGGCCTTGGCAGAGTTGGAATCATGATCGCAAAACACGGGCATTGTGACCACCGGGATTCCATGGTACACACTTTCGTACATGCTCAGCAGTCCTCCGTGGGTCACGAAAGCCCTCAGCTTCCGATGACCTAGAAGAGAGGAGATTTCGTCAGCGGGAACTCATCAAAATTGTTTTTATCTGAGAGACTAATTGAAATCATGCTCAGACGTCATAAAGTGAGTAAAGTGGATGATTGAAAGTTTTGATTAAATCATTGTCTTACCGAGGATGTCCTGTTGAGGCAACCACCTGCCCAGCTTCACATTCGGTGGCAGATCTTGCATCCCAGCAGTGCCTCCCTCCCACTTCCAGAGAACATGGTAGGGAAGCCTGGCGAAGGTCTGCACCAACATCAATCGCAGGTGTTCAGGCATATTGGCGGCCTTCACGGAGGAGCCCATGGAAACGAAGATGAAGCCAGACTCGCCAGCACCCGCGATGAAGTCCTCCAAGTCTCTGGGCAGCGGAACAGCCGGCCGACAGTGGATGCACGCGATCTCAGCGACATTTGGCAGAAAAGGTCGTGGATAGGAGACACTCGGATGGCCGTTCTGCAGGATAAAGCTGACATTCTTGGCCATGTCGTAGGGATGAGGCATGTCAGAACCGACGTGACTTCTCGCCACGCGTCCCACCATAGTCATTATCGGCTGTGGGGTGGAGAATTGGATTAAATTATGCAAAATCACACGTTAGCATTGCGACTGTTAATGGCTTTGCATTAAGAATGCGCTCGAGAAACCGATTGCACTTGGCGAATGTCACAATAATGACCCCAATCCACCAAATAGTCATATCGATCTAAGGTCAGAGTATAAACTAGATCGCATCTGCAATTATGTGTGAGACAAATGGAATATTGGGAGCTGCTTCATATGATTGATGTCCCCCGCGGCGCCTCAAAAGGAGTTCAATGTTTTGCACTAATGAAATGCATTTTTCTGGAAAAAGTTGTTTCTCACACTCAGAATCATGCTTGCCTAGACATCAGCCCACTTTTTCCAATCAACAAATCTTAAAATCCGTCAGAAGCGAACTGCACTTTGATCAACTCTGATCACTTTCCCAACGAATTCGCTTCTCATTTCCCACCAGCATCGGACCTGGTGATCATGCCATTGAAAATGTGAGTGCTCCGGCGACACTGTTATGGAAATTGCCGTCTAATTGCGCGGCGGCACATCACTTTTCGACTAAGCGGCTGAACTAGATCTCTGGCGGTGAGTCAGAGCCATAAAAGGACCCACCTGATGCAAGACGCTGACGACGAGGTAGTGCAGAGCGTTGAAGGCTCTCTGCCAGAAGGTCATGTCGTCCGTCAGGGGAGCGTAGAAGGCCGGGGTGACGGAATAGGGCACGGGATTGCCGGCCAGCGCGAGACTGCCCGTGTAGAAGCCCACCGTGTTGACGAACATGAAGGGCACGCGATACTTGTGCACCATGGCAAGGGCGCACTCTGGAAAGGCTCCGTCCAGGATCACGAGATCAAAGTGACGATTGAGGAGCTCCTTAGTTTCGCCATCGCTCAGCATCGCCTCGCAGGACTGCAGAGAGATTTCCAAAGTGTGTTAGATTGCAGATTAAGATGTTGGTTTTGCAACATAGTGATTTTATATGATTTTATCAACAGTTTTAGCATATTGACTAAAGTTTCTAAAACTAGAAAGTCTTTAAGAATAAATTGTAGAATTTATTTTTATTTAAATCGATCGATAATGATTTCTCATTAGCATTTGATATTGATTTTGATCGGAAATGATATGATTGATAAATATCAGAGTGTTAAGAAGAGAATTTGTAATCAAAGACACTATTTTAATATTCTCAATAAAGAGCAATTAATTGTTTTCAATTAACCCATTAAGTCAATGTCATAGGAATATTAAGGCTAAGATACTGTTAGCAAGGTAATGTTTGTGTAACATTTTCATTATATGTATTTAGTATGAACTTTACTCAGATCTGGTTGAAATTGTTTCGTTTTTCGTGCACTTCGCGATACATTTACTGAAGATAGTCAATCGAATGGATCGCGAGCAACACCGTGAAATTGTCACTTTCAGGTCTTCCGGAAGGGAAAGGCCAGAACACTGCAATTAAATCGATCACTATCGATTTCCTTCTATTTCCACCTCAGAATGCAAGAGCCATAATTACCAAGATTGTTAAATTAAAATGATTGTCGTTTCTATTTAAAGAAATAATTCTTTCATTTGTTCAAGACGCTAATTTGCTCCATTATTTTCATTTCAATCTATAAATCATCAACTCTAGCATGGGAAGAAATTTCATATATGGGAAAAGCGCAATAATGTTACTCAAATAAAAAATATTGAACGTTTAGAAATGCACTTGAAGTGGAACTGCTAACAATGACTGTCACTCGCATCTCCGCCGTGGAATTCATCGCAACAGACAATCTGTCGTGAATTAGAAGGAAAGTGAGGAAAACCACATACAATTCCGTGCGCTGAAGTGCACAAAACTCCGCAAATTTACCATGACACGTGATTCGCGCTGTTGAACAGGCGAAGAAATGTGAAAAGAAGGAGGAATTTGTGTGAATCTGAGAAAAGTTGTGAGGGAAATTGCGCAAAAGGTACACAAAGGAAACAAAAAAAATCAGAGGAAATCTGATAAGAGTGCATCATTATAACTCTTCTTGCGGGGATAATTTACCTCGTGTGGATATCTTATGACGTCCCAGATTCCGATCGGCATGTCGCCGCGCATTCTGGCACCCAGAAGATCCCAGTTGGTGTAGTTCTGGATGTACTCCACGAGTCCGGCTGGCGTGATCTCCTGCAGACCGGGGATGAGAGAATCGGCCGGAAATCCATTGAGAAATGTGACGTTGTGGCCTCTGAAAGTGGTCAGATGGGAAGTTATTGATTATTGGAGCACTTCCTCGATCTCGTCTATCACAATTGCTTCCACGCGCAATTAATTGGAAGGTAAAAGAATATTGCCTCATTCTTGACACTCTCATTTGACAAATTAGATGATGTACAGGAATTTTTCCAAACGGTTACTTCTGTTACCTAATTGCGTTCGACTATTACACTTTAATAACAAATCATGTTACTTAATGCATATCGAATTCCGTGGAATTGGTTCTGAAAGAGGTCAAAGGGGCGAAGAACACGTGTAATAAAATATTTTCATTTTCAGCCAATTTTTTTTCATCCACGTCGGGTGGATTTTTCATTACGCGATGAATACAATGTTAATTGGATTAAAGTTTTAGCTTTGAACATACCTGGGAATGAGCCCTTTGGACAACTCCATGAAAATGGCTTTATGTGACTTTGTTCCACCCATTGTGACCTTTGGCAGAAAAAGAAATACATAATTAGCGATATTGTGTGCATTCTTTGTTGCATCACACATTACCATGAGGATGTCCGCAGCCAATGTCAATGATATTGGAATCCATGACAGAATTATCCAGGATAATCGCATGCTGAAAGAGAACAAAACGTGTAATTAATGACAGAGATTTTGATGGATTTCCCATGATTTTGCGTGGGTGGGCGGCTTTGGCTTCTCAGCCTTGATGGTTGGCCAAATCTTCACCAGACACACTTTTATGCAAAATTCGATATTTCCCAAGCTCATTTGGTTCAAGTGCAGCCAGCAAATAAAGGAGAGGCTTTTTCCATCGCCGGACAGAAGGTCTTTCTGTCTCGCGGGAAATGCCGAGATTTGGTGATTGTTCGATGGGAGAAAGAGTGAAAAAATACATGTGTGTTGTTAAATTTAGATGGAAAATCTCGGTCAGAAGTCAACTAAATCCCACATGGAAGCCAGACAGGGAGAGAGAAAGAGAGAGAGAGACTTGAGGATGGAATTGAGTAAATTACGTGACTACATGGCTAAAATGTTACAATTATTACAAAATCAATAGACGTTGAACAATATGGGCGAAGAAGAAGCAAAAACACACAACTTTCATTGTCTATTTTGTGCGCGATGGTATGCCGTAACAGGTTAAATTGCCCGCAATGTAACTGGATGTGTGCCAGAAGACGTGAATTGTCTCACTTCCATCAAAAGACGATGTGAAGTCTCGTGGAAATCGCAGAGGATTTTCACGGACGCTGCAGTTGTGCAAAAGACGCGGTCTTCACCTCCAAATGACTCGGTGGACTTTTACCGTCATTTTCCCGCGATAAACATCCGTCACACTGTTGTTATTCCTCATTAACCACCAACAGGAGATATGATTTTAATTTCAAAATTACGCAGAGATATGATTTTTCACTGATAAAAAAACCCGATGGCGCAAAATTGAGCCTCTTTAAAAAGCGACTCACGACCAGAAAATGCTGGCCGTGCATGCAAAATTATGTTGCAATTTCTCCTGCAGAGTGACGATGACCAGAAAGCGAGAGTGTGTGGCAATTTTCGGCCAGCAATTTACCAGGTGAATGAAGAACCACGACACGATATAAATCACAAAAACCGTCCGGAGAAAATACAGAAAAAAACAACAACACCCTTTTTTCCGAATGTTGTGCCAATGGCAGAGCAAAACAGCGAATTCAGACCGCCAGACAGGAAGATTTAATGTAAATAGATGAGCATCTGCTTCAGTTTCGAAATGATCCTTTTCCTGTTCAACAGTTTTTACAGCCGGAACCAGCGTTTTGACGAATTTATCACGAACCAAAGATCTTCAGTGGCAATAAAATGGTAAATAATACGCTTCAATCAAAATATGATGATCGGATACGCAGTGAAAAGGAAATAATCGCGAACCTCATTAAGTCGCTGTTTTTCGAGCACATTGTAGGTGAAATTGAAAGTGAAAAGAGAGGAAAAAAAAACAAAGGTATAGCCTTGAGTCATAAAGATAAATCTCAAATCGCCAGATTTGCCAGTGGTGCGAGAAATAGTTTTATTCTGCTGAGTCGCAATACTCCTCCTCTCGAGTGGAGACACCAAAACGAGCATCGAAGCAACACAAAAGTCTCACACTTTTCACTCAAATTTCTTCTCCATTACATCGAAATTACACAATAAATCATCCGACAGATTGTACATATTTCCTCGACTATTTACCGCCTTTTTTCTGCCTCCGAATTGGCATAGTAAAATTATCTAATTCACTCTCATGAGATCAGTGGCAAATTGAGAAGGAATGTATTATAAGCAGCAAAAAACAGACGAAAATGCTGCAATAAAACAATACAACACCATCAATCAGTTATATTTTCTAATCCAGAGACATCAGTGATTATTCAAGTGGCATTAGATGCAATTCGGTAGAGAGTGAAAGGGTTAAGGCGCAGTGAGAAGATTGCGGTCAGGGTTAGTTATTAATTGACTCGATTTTTCGAGCAGGTTTTTTGATGTTCTGCTGCACTTTTCCTTTTGCAACCGCGCCGTTTCGTGGGCAAGGAAATTTCGTGGGCACTCTCTACTGGACGGGCGCCGCTTTTTTTGGCTTTCTTGCCCGGCAAAGACATCACGAGAGTGTGAATGGGTGAGAGGCCGAAACGCGCTAATAAACTGATTCGAAGTGAAACTCATTGAATTGGTCAATTTCATTGGGAATTCCGCGTATTGAGAGTGAAATTGCTTGCAATTCTTCTCGCTCTTCTTTTGTATGTGGATTTTTGCGAAATTTAGAATTTGAGGGTGAAAGTGCATACTCGCGAATACTGAAGCGGCACGCGGAGAGGAGAGGAAGAGATTGTGTAAGAGAATCGATAAGGTGAGAAGGCGCAAAAAGTGCAGTGGAATGTTGAGAAGAGTCGAAGAGCAGCTCATCTCAGATGCGGCGCCTGAAAATCTCTCTCATGGTGAAATAATGAGCTTTGTTGTAACAATTTGTGGTCAGTATTTGATATTTTTCGTGTTGGGTGATTATTTGATTTGAAATCTGACACGATGACGAAATGGGCACTTTCACATTTCATCATGGACTCATCGAGGGCCCATCTATAGTGCATCGCCGCAGATTTCTCACCGGATTTGCATATGTGTAGCTCGAAAATGGGCCCGAGCAGTGGAAATCAAACTGATCTTGAACTTCAGTCGGCGGCCACGCGATTTGGCCATCAGGCGCGCTCTTCAATTTGATTTTCGGAGATTTGGCCACACAATCGTGATCAACAGTCTGATTTGGGCTTTTAATTAGATACAGATTAGCGCCTCTTGCGCCAATCTACTTTCTACTTTGCTCTCGGTTTTTGGGTAGCTTCGGGCCTCAGGTTTTGGCCTCTCGGAGGCGTCCAATTTCTTCACTTAGCATCTCGCGTCAGTGGCTTTGTTGTTTTCAGCCAAAAGAGCATGAAAATTTGGTGAGAGGGAGGAAAAAGTCAGGCGTTTTCGGCGCATAACTCTTTCGCGGACTCCAACAATTGGTTCCGTATTGAACACTTTCATGGGAAGTTAAGGTAAGGAAATCTGCTGATAGATTTCAGAGGAAATTTGCAATGCTCGCGAATGAATATTCGAGGTGCTAATCATTGGCAAACAGCCATCGAAGAAAAGTTGAAATCTGTTGAATAACCATCGAGTTCATTGATCACATGTTAAGGAGATTTTGCATAAATGAATATGGGTTGCAACATAAAATTAGTCTTGTCGCTTTTACAAGATCGCCAACTTTAAACTGCATATCCTCGAATTTTTTTTTATTTAATTTGAAAAGTTATCTAATCAACTTTTGGAAATATTTCCACTGTCCGGACTTGAACTTGATGTTCATGAAGAAATTTCCAGTAATATTCGCAAGAAATATTTTTGTACATTTTCTTCTCCATTCCGAGTGCTAAGGTCAATTCATAAAGTATAAGCTTTTCAGTAAAATTGACATGAATACAAGTACTTTTACTGAGCAGTTTATAGAGGCAATAACAAGGGCAATAATGTTTTATTTCATGCAAGCTATTAAAAGTGATTGACACTTTTGGTTAAGGGCTTACTGTTGAATTTATAGGAGAAGAAATCTGTTGCCTTTAAGAGTTCCAACGTAAATCATTCTCATGTCTATATAGTTTTGTGTAGGAAAAGTTATTTGAAAAAGAAAAGAATATTTTAAGATCTTTCAGTGATGAAAAATTTCATGAAATTAATGAATTCAAAAGCATTCAGTCAATCAATCTGCCTTTCGAAAATGCTTAACAAAGAGAATTTTGAGGAGAATCATTTGAAAGTATATTGATTTTGTGAATAAGTTACAAATCCCATTTATATGCTTTATATACCTTCGCAATAATAAATTCACTCTAATTTCTCAAGTCTTCGAAGCGCTCTATTGTGCCTCAGGATTGTCCAGTCGACCAAGACCGGTGGCTTTATGGGCCAATAAGGAACGAAGAGTGATTCACACGCAGAAGTGCTAAAAGTCGGCAATCAAAACATCCCATGCAGACACTCTGTTACAGCTTTGCAGCCTCAATTTAACCAGAAATGCTGTTTGGTGGCTGCAACAGGCCAAATTCCATGGCATAGAGAGTGAATGTGTGGCACAGATCTATTCCCATTTTCAGCACACAACAGAGAGACTCAATTTCTCTTTCAAATTCACTCATAGAGCGCTTTTCTTGTGCAAATTCCACCGCCGGCGCTCTGCGTCAGTTCGCATCCAAGACTTGGGATTATGCAATTGATTTGTGCCACTTGACTCTGAGCATCTCGTGTACTCGCCGTCTCTTGGACTGGCCGATGGTCAAAGAAATTAGTCACCGTGGCTCTTCCTCTGCGGCCCCAGAGGACGCCCAGTCGAGCGGAAGGGCGCAGAGCCACCCACTTTCTTTTCCACGACAGTCCACCAAGATCATGATATGCTCAAAATTCTCCGTCACAACCTGTTACAGGCCGTGTACCGCGTTTTTTTCCTACTCGTAAAACTTTTACAATATCACAATTTTATGCAATTTCATGACTTAGTTACGCTCTTTTCCCATTAAATGTCTCGTGGCGAGTTGGAGTGCAGCGCTGAAGTGTGTTTACTGTGGGCAAATATTGTGGACTTTGCTATGCCTTTATGCTGAAGGAAGTGGCTGGGATTCCAAATATTGCCGGAGAAACTGGCATTTCTGTTCTAACTCCAGATACCAGTTAGATAATCGTAATGTGTGGGCATGATTGGAAATAGGCGGGAAAGCGATATTTTTCTTGCAAAACGCAGTCTTTCCTCCGGAATCACCGATTTACACCATAATTTACCAACAATATTGACCGTCCTGAAGGATGCATTAGCGCATGATAAACAATCTTCATATTGACTCTTGAGATCTGAGAAAATACCATTTACATTTCACTGTAATTTCTCACATTATACTGTCCCATTTTGATGGTTGGCATGGCTAAAATATTTACTTATCGCGCAGCTAAAAGAATAGTTTGTGAATCTCTCTTGTAAACATTAACTTCACACATTAATCTAATGTCTCGCATCATCAGCACGCGCATCTTGTGCCCCAACGGCCTCCCAGACTTGCCACTCAGTGATTTTCCCAGCACTTTTCCCCGCCCAGACGCTTTGGGAAGTGAATGACGCCAGCAAGATTGCACAAAAGAATCCACACTCATCATCGCCTCTTCAGGTGCAATTTTCATCTCCACGATGCACACACAAAGATGAGGAGATGAAGAGGTGAAATGGTGACGATTGCAAATGACTTTTAACATCCAATTTAATATAAAACTAAAATGCAGACACACTCCGATGTACTCACACTGATTCAATATGCCTTTTGCACTTTCTCTCCCGAAAAGAAACCAAACAACCAAATTGTTGTCGTGCTGTTGTGTAGCGAGTTTTGTTGCAGAGGCGCGCGATCGATTCTGATAAGATGCCACTTCACTTGGAAAGCTGGGCCAGTGTTCCACACGCGAAATATGTCTCGAAAAGGCCTCACTGCAGCCTTCCACTAAGCATATTCTGCTTGGGTCATCGCACAAATCTCTTCACAGCACTGCAACAGCTTCAACTGAACACCGAACTCACACAGCAGGAGACACCAATGGAACCTCTGGTCAATGAAATCTCGTGCAGGAGGCTCTTGTGGCCAGCTGGTGGCTCGAAAGGCATCTGACTCGCCGCTCGCTGGTGAGCCGAGCTTTAACTCCGTCTTGGCTTTTCGCAGCAAGAGCGACGCACTTCATGGTAGGGGAAAGTGCGAATGCATTGCCCGTCAATGGGCACAGCCGAGTGGCCAAAGAAGTTCCAAGATTCCTTTCGCAATCATGCAAATTGCCACTTCTATTCCACAAAATTATTGCCTCTTAAGTCACTCTTCTATGCAGAATTCAAAGAGTAGAATCATAAAATCTTTGCCAAATTGGCGGGAAGTGCCATTACCGCAGAGGCTTTTGAAAGGTTTCTTCAATTAGAGCTTTGCCAGAGAAGTTTTCATTATGAATCGTCAACAAGCACACATTTAGGCGTTCTCGCAAGTCACAGCAAATGCATCTCTGCATAAGAGAGGTTTTGAGAAAACACATATTAAGAGAGCTTTTGAAATATGCACAATAATAATGCGAAAACTCATGAGAAGGAATGAAGGATTCCATATCAAATTGCACACTAAAATTTGTGTGAATAGTAGTGGAAGACATGAAATCTGCTCTTCACTTTCAATACGATCCATTTCAACAATTTGAACATAAATTGCAGTGCAAACGTCGATGCATTCTGTAAATCTTCCAAGGCTGACAAGAGTGAAACGGCGTTCGGAAGAGTGAGATGAATTTCTGCATCTCAATGCATTCTAATAAAAACGCTTCACACAAAATTCTTCACGTTCTTTGATTTGAGCGATTGAAACAATATTTGCTAGAAAAATTCTTGACATTTATAACTGTATAAATTTAAAGTTTTCCTACGGCGAAAGAGTTCTAAACATTTTACTCATCAGTTTTCATGATTGGACCGAAAAATCATCATGCTTTATAGTTAATTGAAAATATTTCAGCGCTGTTCAAAACCACAAAAGGCGTTCAATGCATACCGCTGAACCCGAACAGTTTTTCATTTATTTTTCCAGAAATTTAAAAAAAAAATTTTACGTGTAAAATATTAATACTTTCCAATTTAATTGAAAATCACAGATATACATTTATTCCCCATACACACTTTTACTAGTCCAATTTCCATTTCAATTATAATCGCATCTCAATCGCCACAATATGCACAACTTCTATAGCTTAACTCGTTATTAAATTATTTATTCTTTTTATCGCAAAATATACAAAAAAAAGTATACATATAATTTATATTACTTTTTACGCTGTGTCTCATTCAATAATTTAATTTGTGCGCACAAAAAATATATTACTGACGCATATTTGTAAAAAGTTCTGCAACTAAGTTATTAGTACGCAACGGAAATCCCTAGAGAAGTGCGGAAAGGATGCGATGAGCGGAGGAAAATTGGAAATTCATCCTGTCTCGCTTAACAGGGATGCTGTGCATATAAAGTCACGCTTGCACGGAGAGCTTTCAGTGTGCTTTCGTCCTTCGTGGAGATATGTTGGTCCTGAAACTGTGTTTCCACCCAGGACAATTATTCCACAAGTAGTTGCAATTTATGGGGAAAAAGCCCTTGAGACTGAGAGTGATACTAATATTGACCGATTCTAATTGAAATTCCGATGAAGTGAGAAACTTATTTTCTTTCCCTCTCAATTCCCTGGATAACGAGCAATTAATAGTGTTGATGCGTGGTCAGTGATGAGTGCGACAGGCAGCAATGACACCACGGACAGTGGAGAGCTCCTCATGGAGCCGTGGGCATACAATGTGTCGGCAATTGTTCTCGCCATCATCGGTTTCTGTGGCTTCTCGTTTAATCTAACAGTGATTGTGATGATGTTTAAGGACCTGAAGCTATGGACGCCCATGAATATCATCCTCTTCAACCTCATCTGTTCGGACTTCTCAGTGTCCATCCTAGGAAATCCATTTACATTCGCCTCGGCTGTAAGCTGAGGGTGGATCTTTGGGCAAACACTTTGCATTTATTATGGCTTCATAATGGCTTTCCTCGGAATCGGGTCCATCACCACCCTCACTGTCCTTTCTTACGAGAGATGCTTCCTCGTCAGCTGTCCCTTCACCACCAGTCATCTCACCCGGAGACACGCAATCACCGCCGTAGCTTTCATCTGGACTTACTCATTTATGCTCACGTCGCCGCCACTCTTCGGCTGGGGACAGTACGTGAATGAGGCTGCCAATATCAGGTCAATGGCGCTCAAGATTTCCCTTAAAGAATAATAAAATACCAGTGTACCTTAAGTGCACCTTTCTGCCCACTCAAAAGAAAAGCACATCACAACTTGAGAATTCCCTTTGCTTCTCTCACAGTTGCTCAGTAAATTGGGAGTCACAGACTCCAAATGCCACCAGCTATATCATCTTCCTCTTCTTCATGGGACTGATTGTGCCAGTCATGGTCATTTCTTACAGCTACAGCAAAATTATCCGCACGATGAAACAGGTAAGAAGCTTCTGCAATCGCCTTTAGCAATTAATGGAAAAATTCGTCTGAAAACACTGCTTTAAGGGGGTTTATAATTCGTCAAAACACATACATATTTCCTCCCTATAAAAAGAAAACACTAAACAATTTGAAAGAAAACCTTTAACTAAAAATACTACTGAATAATGCATGAATCTCTGAACAAATTGAAGATAAATGAAATTTAAAATTTAAAATGCTGCTCTGGCAGAAGTCAGAGCGTCTGCGGAGGACTCAAAAATCCCAACGCCTCACTTGGATGGTGGCCGTGATGATAGGGGCATTCTTGGTCGCCTGGACGCCCTACTCGGCATTCGCCCTGATAGAGCAGTTCGCGTCCCCAGACATCATCAGTCCTGCCATGGCTGTTTTGCCAGCACTAATTGCCAAGTCTAGCATATGCTACAATCCCATAATTTACGTGGGAATGAACACTCAGGTGAGTGAAATGGAACCCGTTAATTGAACTTTATTTGACAGTCGTAGGAAGAATTTAACAGGGCATTCAATTAAACATTATTCAGTATAATGAATTCAATTATAACATTAGACAACGCAAAATACGATTTGTATTTCCCTCTTAGCAAAGACGTCATTCGTACTTTATTTTGCTACTTGAAATGTCTTTTATACTTTAATGGAAACTTTAATTGAAATGCCAAAAAAGTGCCTTAAAATTTAAGTGCATTTCTTTCAACGCTCAATAGTGGAAAATTTTGTTGAATTCAGCGTTATATTTGCTTTTAGTATCGCGCATCCTGGACAAAGTTCTTTGGTCAAAGCGTGACAAAAACCTCAATTGAAAGCACTGTGAATCCCACGGGAAGCACAAGCGACCATTCGACGTACTGCCAGATTGACTTAAAGAGAAAGATACGCAAGATCACAGCAATCCCAGAAAGATCACGACAGCACCGCGAAGCGCGACAGAATCAGGAGCAGAGCTGCTATGAGATGTCTGAAATTGTCACCAGCGACAAGAATGCAATCAACTCCAAGGACAGAATGAATACTTGCTAATCCATCGAATTGAGCAACGACTCAAAGTTGAACATTCATCGGTTTCACCAGTTCATTGATGGTTAATTGAAACATTTGTACTGTTAAAAGGCATTGTTCTTTTGTGTTCTGACGGAAGATTCATTGAGAAAATCTTCACACTCATTTGCAAATAATAAAGACGAAAAGCTACACTGTGGAGAGAAAGACCTTTTCGTGCTTCCGGCTTTTCCTGATATTAATTAAAAGAAGCAAACCGCTTCGCTGATGTGAATTGCAATAATTGACGAGCTTTGAGATGCTTCTCATTGACGAAGCTTCAGTCAATTAATTTATATCTTGATAAGTTAATTTGCCGCTCTTGAAATACTCCAGCTAAATCGCAATGAAAACACGCCATAGAAGTTGTCTTAATTGCATTTTGGCTGAGGGTGAAGTTGCTGACAAGCATTGCTAACATTTTTCTTGCTAGAGACAAGTTTTTCTTGTAAAACCTGAAAGAGGTGAGAATAAGGCATAATCTTATGGCAATTTTCGGTGACAAATTGTTGATCTTTTCATTTTGTTAAAGTCTTTGCCAAGAGCATGGCAAAATTGAGGCACTTTATGTGGCATTATTCTACTGTTAATTGATTCTTAACGCCAATTTTATGTGCTGTCGAGCAAAAAACCTCTCGAAATTGAATTATTACCAGTATTAGGCAATCAATGCGTCAAAATATCGTATATTTCACTTCCATTACATCGTTGCCCTGATTCGAGAGAAAGCAATTAACGTAAAGGTCTGTTTATTCAACTTTGTGAGGTTTGTGAGTGTCATTTTGTTGATTTACTCCATGTCTCTTCGTAGCCAATGAACTTCTAATGATTGAGCTTTATCGCGTTCTCATTTCCATGATACAAAAAAGCTCTCTTTTTTCACAGTGAAGCTCATGAATGCTTTAACAGCAATTTGTATTGATTTTCGTGTTATGTATTCTCTAGAGAGTCAGTAAAAATATATAATATTCTTTAATCAACTCACGAAATGCCACATTTTCTTTGATTCTTCTTTGAAAAGAGAGGTAAAGTTTTTCCCATGCAGAAGTTATTATAAACTCTCGTGAGCTTTGCAAGGCTCTGATGTTGCTAAACTCTTGTGAATGTTTTCATTAAAACCCACAGTAGATACTGACAGTTGCTAAGAAACTAGAAGCTGTGCTTTGAAAACTCACGTTGCGGCGAAAAATGTGTCCCTTGAATTTAATTATCGCACGGCATTCAACTGATAAATTAGTTGCCCAATTATGAGTAGTATAAAAAGTATTTCGCAACAACTAATGCATCACTTGTGAGACAATTCCTCGCTCGAACGGACACATCATTAGTGAAATAATTTAGCAACTTGGAGAGGATGAAGTTTCTGGTACGTACATATTTCCTCAATTACAGCATATAGAGAGGGTTTCCTAATCCACCTCTTGCCACACTTTCCGCCAGATACTCTGCGCTCTTGTGGCAGTCGCAGCCGGAGCTCCGGTGGTGCTGGAGCAGCACGTCGCGCCGACGGGCCCGCAGACGTTCCTCAAGTACTCGCCAGCCGCCATGGCGATGCCACCTGTGCTCCAGTATCTTCACCAGCCGACGCCAATTGTCAAGTATGCGACTCCCACTGCCACGAGCTACGCCACCGTGAGCCAGGTGAGGTGCAAATGAGTCCACAGAGCGTCAGCGGCACGAGAGTCTGCGTTTCTGCGCGGCTGCAAAGTCAATATTTGTCCGTTACAAATTAAAAATCGCTTTGCAGGTTCATGTGGCGCATCCACCCTCGATGCTGTACCATCCCTATGCAGCCCCCTTGAGCGCCCCGGGGCTCCCCTACCCCAACTACCTGCCCGCCGCGGCTCCAGCTGTGGTCAAAGTGAGTGTCAATTGCCGACCACTTAGCAGATTCATCCCAGAAGACACACTCCAGTGACTGGCGCGAAAATGACGCGCGAACCTCTATTTTTAACGCCCAACTGACTTTTCTTGTGCTTTTTCTGCACAGGTCGGCCCCCACTTCGCCCCCTGGTAACACACAACAGCCATCGATGACGCTGAGGACAACCTGTCGATTCCCATGACAACGTGCCCAAATCTTGCGAAAAAAAAAATACTCACCTCTGCAGAGAGTGCTCTAATAAAAGCCACTAATTAAACAATACTTTTCCAATATAATCGAACAAGACTTTTCCTCCCCACTTTCGCTATGCAAGAGAGATTTTGTCAAAATTACATCATATGTCTTTGTCTCATTTGATTTCAATGCTTCTCTGCTAGAACATGTGAAGTATATTGTATGAGAAAACATGATTACCAGAGAAGACAAGGAGCCTTATCAAAGTCAATCAAATCCATTTTCTGCCATGCATTTCTGGTGAAGGAAAGCATTCTCAGAAATGTGACAAAGGTGGAGAGAGAGTGAGTCTGAAAGGATTTATTCTCCACCGTCAAAGGGAGAAAAGTGGTTCAAAGTGGTGTACAAATTGAGGATCTTCTCGTGCAGACGTAAATTTCCGTAACGCTTGGTCGCTCTCTAAAGACCCCTCTTTAGTTTCACCCGATTTCCACGACATGCGACTGACTATGAGTTAAATTCTAGACAACAAAAAGTTTTTGTCGCTTAATCAATTCCCACAAATCACTATGCAATGCAGTGGCGTAGGAAAAACTTATTTAGCATGATAGTTTCTTCATTTTTAGGTGTTTTAGAATTATCTAAAGCTCTGTCCACTTTAGAGCTCCGCCCATTAATCGTCTTCCTGAATTTACCTGATTTCAAAATCAAAACAGGCAAATGTGTTTACATGAGTAAATACTTGTGTATTCTTTTTATTGTGACTAATTTTCTGTTTGTGAGTATACAATAAAGTTTATAAGATGCTGGTCATTCTTCCGTTGATATGAGAATTAGTGGTTTTAGGCGACCAATGTTTGTTATTATTGACTTCGTCATTTATCATCTCATCTACTGACAGAGACGTTTACAAAATGTTTCCAACGTGGAAGCAAGAAGTACGAAGGAAGGAAAACTGTTGACAATAATTAAAATAATAATCAATAATTCTCACGGGTAATTACTACGCTACTGATTGAGTGAATTGACAAAACAAGTTCTTACTGTCTTATCTAGTTAATCACGACAGGAAAAAACTGAATTTGGAAAACACCATCAGAGCACGGAATTAGCACATTTTCCAACCGGCCATAAAACTTCTTCTGGGCGAAACTGAGTCACACCTTCGCAGAATCCCACGATAAAGCGAGCTTATTTCCTAGATGGATGGCAGTTTCGCGGTGTACGTCTGTCGCGAAACCCACATCGACCTCAGACACATGTGAGTTCCGCGAATGGGTGGCACGTGAATATTTCACAAGGAGTGCATCGCGACGGCTGTTTGGGGCTGAATAAGTGGCCGGTATCTGGCGACAACTCCCCCTCTGTTTTTTCCCCACACGCGGGCGCTGATGGGTAGGGAACTTAATGTTGATTGTCGTGCTCACCTCCCACCCAGCGCAACCACACTCCAACAATACACACAATTTAACGGTCAGACAACGAAATTACGTGGCGCACGGCAAAATCGATGGGGAAAATCGATCTGATCCGATTCTATTCACTTCTCCCCAGTCGCCGATATGCCTTCATTTTCCTCGCGCCCGTTCAGTCACTTGAGGTTGATTTGCTGGCTCGCACGTCCAGTGACTCTCCCACAACTTCCGGCTCGGCACTGTTGAATTTCCCCAACAACTCTTTCCCACCATTCGCCCCGCAGTGTTTCCTCACCGCGATTTTCCTGCCCATGATTTCCCCGCGTACAGAATCACACGGAGATGGATTGGCGCCAAAATAGCCCGCTAATTCAGCCTCACTGTGAATTGATAAGATAAATAACGTTTACACAGTGTGTCGGATTGTTAGTCGAGTCCCAGCCATAAAAGAAGCCTTTTTAGAGCTGAATTGTTAAGAATCATCAGTAGCAATTTGTGTGCCTTCAGGTGTACATCGTGACAATGATACAGTGACCAGATCGGGCTCTTTTGTATCGCTGTGCCTTCAATTTTGTATTATATTACCAGTGAACTGTGTGCGTTAATGAGAGACAAACAACCACAAATCAGCGGGTGGTGCATTTAGTCGGGATTGCCCGAATTCGTCATCATCATGATCAGCAATGACAGCAAAGTTTGGACCACTGCCACAGACAATGGACTCTCACGTACGTTTTGCCTTATCAGATCAGTAACGCGCGTCTTCCCCAATCTACCGATGAGTTCAAGGCAACAGAAACTCTGAGAATCACTTTAATTATTGTGCGAAACGCGCAAAACACTGTACGATCATCTTCACTCCGTGAACCTTGTGGCGCTTCAATGTCTCTCTGCATCGAGCTATCTAATTAATTCAGCCTGCAACGTCGCCCATAATCCACTTCCTAATAGTCAAATACGTCCGAAAGATTTGCTTCCTTCCCACCAAAGCATTCCTACTCACTGACCCAGTCAATTAAAAGTCAGTGTTAGAGCGCCACTAGGCCATCTCTTTCCACACACACAGACTTTTCCACGTTGGAAAACATTGCGCAAAGACGTCCACACGGTGAAATGCAGAAGAACAGTCACGCAAGGCGTTTAATTAATTTGCGTAACTCCACGTGCACAAGACAGCAATTTTTGTTTTTTTTGTGTCCGCTGCACAGGAAAAAACGCCCAATTTTGTCAAATTATGTTGCAAGAAAGATGTGAAGACATGTATTTCGCCTGCGCTTTATTCCTCAGCCACTGGAAGACACTGGTGATTTTTGCGACGAAATGGCACGTGGGGTCAATAAATAATAGAGAAGAAGAAAACTTGGTAAAGCGAAATTCTGAGAAAGTCACGGGATTGCAAAGCGACGGCGGTTTCCTTCTTGCGGAAAAGCATATGATTCAAGCGTACAATGAAGGTCATGAATTTCATATGAAAACACTGAAAATTTGTCCATAAAACACTATCATAGTGTTTTATAGGTGCTCAAGATTTGCAGCGAGAGAATTCTCCATGATTTCTTTCTTCTGCAAATACACATTTAATTATTGAAGTATGAATATTTCATGACGAGAACGTCAGTTTTCCGGAATATTATTCTATCAAGATGAGTTCAAATAAAAAAGAGATGCGTAAACAAAAAGCTGCAATAACTAGAATAGGGGTAAACCCTCTGAAATACAGAGGTTTTTCAGAGTTCTCACAGGTCTTTTTGATACAAACTCGATCTCTGTAATGTCCCATTACTCATTTTCCCTCAGTTAGATGTCTATGACAATGAGTCAGTTCAATTCTACACTTTGTATGGAGAACAACTGACCGAGAAGGAATTTCGGGAAATATCAAGTAGACAAAATTCTTACAGAATCATTGCAAAATGACAGGGAATTATAAAAAATAAATTAAAATGTATGAAGATGCTCAGGCGCAATTATAGTGATTCCGAGGAATATTTAATGCAAGTCTTTCGATTAAAAAAGCACATTTTTGCAGATCACGACACGCCGGCTAGAGATTAATTGATCAACGATCATTCGTGATGTTTTTGCGCCTAGATTTCCACTTGTTATGGATGCCAATTAATTATCTCAAATCGAAAGCTAACAATTATCGCACGTGTATTGGCATTTATCGGGTGGATTTCAATGTGGAAATCAGGGAAATTGTCTCGAAAATAGAACATTCTCAAGACAGTGCCCCAATTCGTCTCAGAATATGTGATAAAATATTCAAGAGCCAGAAAATGAAATACATATTTGTTTATCTTACCTTATCTGACGGGTTGTGTTTCTCAAGACAAACTGTTGGAAAATCCCATCGTCTCGCGGATGATGCATCTTGTAAATTTCCATTTGCAGGTGTGAAGAAATCATCTGAAAAGAATTGCAATAAAGGCGCCATATCAATAATTCAGCTCATTTGTTGGAACCGTTTTTTTTTTTTCATTGTATTCTCCGCAAAGAGAATTTTTTTTCCTCGTGCACGCTATTCAAATCGATAAACATTATGTGGTCAAGCTAGCTTTCGGCCTAGTGCAGAAAGTGCCATTCAGTCTTCGTGAGTGTTCTTCGGAAGAACTTGCGGCTTCTTTATCCTGCTGATTCCGGTTCATTTTGGGAAAGAAGAGGAGCAAACCAGTGCCTTTTCGTGCCATCCGCGAGGCGTCAACGCTCAAATGAGGCACACGCCACAATTTTCCGTCGCCTGGGCACTCGGTGGGTGATTTTTCCCACCTCCAAGCAATTTGTACACCAAAATCCATTCCCCTCGCGAGTATTGTTCTGTTTGCCCTGGACAAATTTGATTTGTGTTGCGTGTGACTCACTGAGTATTCCAATCACAAGATCATTAACACGAGATAGGGAACCATTTACAGGAGCATCAACTGCCGCCGTTCATCCAACACTTGGGGACAATCCATACGCCGTAGGCATTCAGTCGAGGTGAATGAACAACTTGAGTGCTAATGACGATGAATGTCGTGCAATCGATAGAGCTATAATTTTATTTTTTCCCCCTCCTTTTGCCCACCAAACACAATGGAACCGAAAATACTGTGCCAACGACCAGATTCAGAAGGAAGTACTTTCACAAGATCATCTTCCTCTCCCTGATCTTCGTCATTCTTATTCTGTTGATCGGAATTATCGTACTGGCCTGCCAAGGTGAGTGTTAAGTAACACACAATATGAATGCAATATTCATAAATCTATCATTATCACGTAAATGAGCAATCTCGGCTTAACAAGTCCGGCTAATTCATGGAATAATTGAAAGATAAATAGAAAAACTATGATAAAAGCTGCAAAGTAGCCGTAAACAGAGGCATAAAAAGGCGTAAAACAATCGATGCTTTTTTGAAGAAGACGCCATAAAAGATCTCCACAACTTTTATTGACTTCGCGTTGAAAAACACACTCTTCATGATGGAATATTTGCTCAAGCAACTATTTGAGGTGCAAAGAGACACTAATTAATTCCCATTATCGGCTGAATAATTGCCAAAGTGGTTATTCTAAAATAGCAATTGTGCGTACGACTTCCTCACACGATATACCATTGCAGATCATGTTGTCAAGATATGCGAGACGACTGAATGCCTGCGCGCGGCCGCCAATTTCAAGCTCTCTATGGACCAGAGAGTCGATCCCTGTGAGGACTTCTACAAGTTCACGTGCGGCAACTGGGCTGACGAGCACCCGCGACCGGATTCCGCCATGACCAACGACTGGTTCAATGAGAAGCAAGTGAAGATCATGCGCCAGGTGAGATCCTTTCTGCAGGCCAACAGCACGCCCGATGAGCCCTTGCCAGTGCAGCAGACGCGGACCATCTTCTCCGCCTGCATGGACACTGAGACGATGGACAAAATCGGCCTGAAACCCATCCAGAAGTATCTTCAGCTCTTTCACCTGCCCATCATCCCGACCATCCTCAACATCACAGACGTCGATTACAGCACGTATTCATTCGACTGGATCAAATCCGTGGCGGCCATCAAGCGATACTTCGGCATGGATGTGATGGTGGGCTTCGATCTGATGCCCGATCCGGAGAACAGGTCAGTCTATCGCATGGTGATCGGAACGCCTGAGATGGACACGGGAATTCCATTGTAAGTTACGACTTTGTCACACGACATCTTGAATCTTGCTCTTGACATCCTTTACCGCTTCCTGTTCTAGCAACAACGACAATCTCAACAAAGCCCAGCGCATCCGGAGACGTCTTGAGTTTCTGGGCGTTCGCGCGCGCAGTGACGAGTCTGTAATCCTGGAGGACGATGAAGATGAGGAGGACGACGAGACGCTAATCGGCAGTGCCTATGCTAAATACGTGTCGGATGTGATAACTGACATTGTTGTAGATCACAGAAACGCCACACTGGGCGAAGAGAGTGCGGCAGATGTCCTCTCAGCCGGCAAGATGATCTTCAACATCACGAGAATCCTCTACAAACTCGACCAGGCGGCTGAGAATGTGTCCAAGGCGAACAACGATCCCATGAGTGACATCATTAACATGTCCGTGACTGAGCTGCAAAACGCCACGGACTCGTTCATTGCGCCCCATGATGGTCTTTCCGTGTGGGAGAAGTATATCTCCCTCTTGTTCGTGGACGTGCCTGAAGTACACCTGAATCTGGAGAAGGACAAACTGCTGACGAGCAGCGGAGATCTGCTCTACCTGCAGACGCTGTCGGAATTCGTGACCAACACATCTCTGGCCAAGATTGAGCTGTACATCTGGTGGGCTGTGGTGGAGGAACTGGTCATCCACACCACCACAAACATGCGCAGCCTCCACAATCAGTACGCCAAGTCCGTCACGAGTCTCGAGGGCTCCACATCGCGCTCCTTGTACTGCGCCAACGGAGTCAATCAGCTGATGGGAATGGCCGTGAGTTACGCTGTCGCCGATCGCAGCTTTCTGCAGCGCACCAAGCCAAATGTCGAGCTCATGCTGAACCTCATCCAGACGGCGTTTAACAACTTAGTCGCCACAACGAGTTGGATGGACGCCGAGACAAAAGCAGCCACGCTGGAAAAGTCCGCCGCCATGAAGAGTCTCATTGGCTTCCCCGAGTGGATACTGGAGAAGAACACCCTCGTGAACTTCTACAAGGGCATCAATGTGACAAATTCCACCCACCTGGACAATATGCTGAACGTCCTCCACCGGAATATGCTGCAGAAGTTGACGGAGTTTCGGACTGAGAATAAATTCGGTTGGGCGACTTCACCAACAAATGTGAATGCATTTCACACTTTCCAAGCTAATGCCATAAGTTAGTGGACTTGCTAAAGTTAATTGTGCATTGAATTGAAACTTGCTCTCTTTGTCTTACAGCAATTCCTCTGGCCATACTTCAGTATCCCTTCTACCATTTGGGACTTGAGTAAGTGAGATTTTACATGCAAATCATAACTTATCGAATACTCACCAATTTCCATTGATCTGTGCAGAGCTTTAAACTACGGAGCCATCGGCACAATTCTGGGTCACGAGCTGACTCACGGCTATGACGACAGCGGGAGGCACTTTGATAAGAACGGCAACATCCGACAGTGGTGGTCAAACAGCACAATTGACGAGTACGAGAATCGCACATCCTGTTTCGTGAAGTTCTACAGCAACTACTTCCTCCCCGAAGTGTCTGATTACGTGAGCACAGAACCCTCCAGAAATTGACTTCCTGGTTTCATGATGGTCTCTCCTTGCAGATCAACGGTGAGCTGACGCTGGGGGAGAACATTGCAGACAACGGTGGCCTTAGAGAAGCCTTTTACGCCTACAAATTGTACACTGAGAGGAACGGAAGGGAAGAATTACTGCCGGGCTTTGAGAACTACACTCACGATCAACTCTTCTTCATGTCTTATGGAAATGTGAGTTGCTTCTCAATTCTCGAGTAGCTCTCGCTGATTTTCTCATATTTCTTTGCAGCTCTGGTGCGAGTCAATGACAACAGTGGCGATGAAGTGGGCCCTTGAAGACTCCCACTGCCCGGGAAAAATTCGCCTGCATGGTGTTTTGTCCAACTCCCCAGAGTTCGCCAGAGCATTTCAGTGCAAGAAGGGCTCAGGAATGTATCCATCCGAGCGCTGTCGGCTCTGGTAATTCTCTGCCATACACTCAACCCACAATTGATGTTGTTTTCTGTGAACTCTGCACATCGTCACTGTTCACGGCGCCTTTTCGAGTGTCCTCTTCTTGTACAATCTGGTTGTGATATCTTTTGCAAAGGCTCCAGTCTCCTGACATTTTCACGAGGGTGCTGCCGACCATGTGAATTGAATGATTAAGCAAAGCAAACAAACATTGACTGTGACAACAATGTGGTAGTTATTTGAACAAAGATGTATTAATTTCATTAATTTGAATGATCTGAGTAATAAATGAATTTCAATATGTAATATTAATTATTCAAGGCCTCTCCTTAAAGCGCTTCTATTTAGAATGGAATATTGAAGTCCTGAGAATAGAAGTCATGTCGAATCCCTCTTTTCATTGAAGATCAGGCGAGGGATCAGTCATTCTGCGAGAAAAACAATACAAGACATTGTATTAAAATTCATGTCACAACACAATAGGAACTTAATTGATTAACCTAATTAGTGAATTCATTCATGTTTTGCAACCGAATCACGTTCATTGTATCAAATTTAACGCTAGACTGCGAAACATAAGTTTGTGATATTGGATTATCTGTTCACTGAATGTCTGGCTTTCGCGGAAATAATATTCCATGTGTGATTTTCCCAATAGCATTTCGCCAAAAACACACTCACCTGAAAATGGTGCGAGTCGGTGTGCCCTCCAACGAGGACATATCCTGTGGCGTGAGGAATGCATACTGCGTGTAGGGATGCTTCTCCGTGTGTCTCACCAGCAAATTCGTCATGTACTGCCTATTGATCGGATCCGTGAACACATCGTACTCATCCAGCAGGAAGAATGGATGATTGACGCAGTTCCACAGCGACAGCAGCAGAGACACCGTGGTGAAAGATCTCTCGCCACCCGAGAGCGACTGAGTGCTGTCCATGGCGGTGGAGATGTGATTGTCACGTGGAATCACCTTGAGACGCAACTCTTGACTTTCATAGTCTACAGTCAAATCTCCCGCGAAACCGCGCAATTCCAGCAACTTGCTGAAGTGATGCCTCACCAGACCGTATACGTGCAACTTCATCCTGCTCACAGTCTGATGCCGTTTGTACTGCATTAGCTTCATCTTCTCGAGCGTATCTTTCAGTATTTCCCCCACTTTCTGGTCCTTCTCCAGACGTCCTATTGCGCATTCGATCTGTTCCGTGAGCTCCTCGAGACTCCCATGCAGCTTCTCCAAGTGCACAATGTTAGCTTGTCCCTTCTTGATCAAATCATTCACAGTTTCCTCAGATCGAGTCGTCTCAATGCGCGCACCAGTCTTCTCAGCTCTCTGTAATGCTGTATCCATTGTCTTCTGCAGCTTTTCCAACTCCTTAGACAAATACACCGCAATCTCCTTCTTCTGCGCCAATTTGGATTCACTCTCCCTGCAATTATACTCCACTGAGGCAATCTTGTCGTTCTCCTTGTCATGTTCAGCGTCCAGATCCTTAATCGAATGAGATACCTCCACCTCATCGCTCTTTATCTTCTCCTTCTGCTTCAGCAACTCCTCCAATTTCTCCCTCACCTGCAGCAGTTGCTCTTTCTCGCGCTTCATCAGCTTAAGCGCCTTATCGAGGGCATTTGTCAGCGTCACGTGCTCTTCCTTCAATGCCTCATTCTCATCTTCAGTCGGATACACTGTATTCTCAATCTCTTTGATACTGCTCTCCAGTCTCTTCAGCTTATCAATAAGCTTCCTCTTTTCCGTTATTTTCTCCTGAATCAACACCTCAAGATTATGCTTCTCCGTAGAGACCTTTTTGTACTTTTTCTCCACAATTTTGAACTCTTCCATCAAACTCTTTTCTCGCTTCAGCAGATTCTCTTTGACATCCTTCAGATTCACTTGAATATACCTTCCAGGACGCTCTTGCAGTGAATACATACGGAATGGCTTCACGAGATACTCCTGAAATGGCTTCACCAGAATCACTTTTTTCAGATTCTTCGGGATATTAGAACCATCTGTGAGTCTCACGGCCAGATCCTCGTCCTCTGTGAGCAACACAGACTCGATGCTGAGAGAATTTATGAGAGCATTCATCACATTGGCATCACTCACGCGCAGCACGTCCACCAGAGTGTGTGTTCCGGGTGGCGCATTGCACTTTCCGGCAGAATAATTGTACACATCGTTCACGAAGGCAGTGACAATGACGGAGGGTGTCTTTCCACCCGGAATGATCTTCTTCATGATGTTCTCCAGCACCTTGCGATCGCTGTGCGAATTCACCATGAACGACGTGATGTAGCCACCAATTATGTTCTCAGCGATGGTACGAAACTTTGCGGATGGCACTTCGATGTAGCGCCCGAAAGGGCCTCTGGGCAATTTGGAGAACTCTCGACGCTTGTGAGCCGCCTCGATTACCTTCAGCAAGTGTGCCATATAACCACCGTACACGCCCAGTCCATCCTGCGATTCAATGTCCAGTTGGAGGCACTCTTGGGATATCTTCTTCAGTTGGCTCTCGAAATGAATCTTCTGCTGTTGGGCAGCATTAAATGCCTCTGCGTTCTCATCAATCAGTCGGCGTACATCATCAGTATCACGATCAAGGGATGACGAAATGGCCTGCATTTCCATATGTTCGTCTCTCAATCGCGCCAGTTTTTGCTCATTTTCGCGCTTCAGTTGAGCCACTTTCTCCTCAAAATTGTCATTTGCCAGACGTTCCTGCACTTTGGCAATATTTCCCTCAATTCGCTGAGTTTTCTGTCGCTGCACCTCATAACTCTTTTTCTGCACATTCTCCGCATCCTTCTCTTCCAGATACTGTTGCTGCATTTGCTCATATTGTGCTGTTATTTGGGTCAGGAGTTGCTTCTTCAGCTGCTGCTCCTCACGAATACTCTGCATCCTTCGCCGAATCTCATCAACACGCGACGAACTTGTGGCCATGATATTCTCCAATTTCTGCACAGTGTCCCTCACATCCTTCAATTCCCCATCAGCCTTGAGGTACAACGCTCTCTGGTCATTGTATTTGATCCAGATCAGCTCCTTGCGAAGCTGACCAATGAGTACCTTCGTCGTGGCCACAGATGAGAGTTCCTTGTGCTTCTCTTTCAATTCATCCACATGCTTGATGTCCTCCATGATCTTCTCCAATATCATGTCATACTCCGTCTTGTTGTTGCGATACACAGTCAAGCACTGATGCAATCTGTCCATTATCTGCTGCAGCTGCGTGGCCTTCATGTAGAACGTGTACATTTTCTGCGGATTGCAGTCCTTCAGGAAACTCCTCGCCGCGTCCTGATGCAGAATGCACACGGGATTATCGATCTGAATGTTAAAGTAGCACAGCAACCTCTCCAGATAGTGTCGATCACGCGAAATCTCCTGTCCACTCTCATTGGAGATCTTGTACGTGGACTGGCCACTTGCCGTGATCTTTCGCATCACTATGATCCTATTCCCAAAGGTCTCTTTGTCATATGCGTCAATCCCGTCGTTTGAAATTCCAATCTCAATAGTGCACGACGCTTGATCGCGCTTCACGAGATGCTTTATGTTTGTACTTCGATTGGCGACGGCCGCTCGCCCTCCCAGGCCAATGATCACGGCCGTGAGGATGGCACTCTTCCCACTGCCATTGTTGCCCACAATCAGATTGCAGCGCCTGTTCAGGTCCACTCGCAGATTCCCGTGGCACATGAAGTTCTTCAGGTGGATGTAGAGAATCTTTCCGCTGCACACATCATTGTCAACATCTTTCGAGTCAACGGTCAGTAGCCTCTCCACATTCTCCGTCTGGTTTTCCTGAAAGCAGGAACATCATTACCAACTCTGTCCCACAAGAAACTCCCCAAAAGTCCCCGGACGGACTTTTCTTGAATACCTTGTCATTATCAAGCAGCAACTTCTTTGCCGAAGTCGCGCTTGAAATCGCCTTTCCTCTCCTCTTCGGCATTTTTGATAATACCACGCACCTTTGTATGGAATGACTTATGACTGTCTCAAACAGTGTCTGTGAAAATAAAGAAAAGATTATAAGAAAATTAAGAAATGCAGCACAAGATAAAGCCGAAAAAGCACGGAATGCGAAAGAATGTCAAATGAGAGATGCTAATAATCTTATTTTCGCGATTATAAAGAAACTTCCTGGCAAACCTTCTTGTTTGAAAGAAACTAATGCGGTTCTTTCTTCGTCATGCCACAAATAAACCAATGAATATCACTGAAAATTGATAAAACTCCACAAAATGCAGAGAATTTGCAACACCGACCGGCTATTTCGCAATCGCCTATAAATCTCTTCTCCGCGCCACCAGCGCCCACTGCGGCGAGTGGCAGTAGGGTAGTGGTGAAAAAAATGACGGACTTGAGTGATGCGAGTAAACTTCCTCCTGGTTGGGATGAGAAATATGACCCAAATTCTGGGCTATAGTAAGTAAACACGCCTCCAAAATCATCCTCAAGACCCCATTGACCAGGAAGTGCTGCAGTTTGGATGGTACGAAGGTGTCTTCATTGGCAAAACCTCATGTGAAAAGTTTGTTTACATCCTGTCACTTGTGGCTCTTGAAGATTTGTGCCACAATCCTGAGGAATCTCATCAAAATGCCACCAAAATCTCATGTATTCACTCTCTGCGGTGTGAAGGATTGAACTCCGTGCGAGAATGAGGCCGCCCGGAAGTGAAATGCGTGGAATTAGGGCGAAGTTATTTTGGGCATGGAGCGCGCGCTGGTGGAAACCGATCGATAAACGGTCGCCATGTCCGGGAGTGTGAGGGAATGTGAAGCTGGGGTGGGCGCAGGAGGCGCTCTGTGGGGTGGGGTGTGAAAAATCGATTTGGCGGCAACTGCATCCTCCGTGTTTCAAGGTTATATGCGCACCGAGAGTACTCCGAGTCAGCTTCGCACCTTCCGCAGACACACTTCCTGACTCGCTCTCCTCTCAGTCTGGCCTAAATCGCCCACTGGGCAACACCTGCAGCGCCGCATCCTAACCACTGTGCTGTCTGTCTGGTCCATTGCAGTTTCTACATCAACTACATCACAAAGACCACCACCTTCGACGATCCCCGGATAAAACACCGGCAATCTGTGTCCACGGGCACCGGTACGAATTACGGCAACTCCACCGAATCAATCCCAATGCAGGTAATGTTACGCAACACCCTCACGGAGCCCCCGGAAAGTGTCTCACATCACACCACACACTGACTTCGCCCGGAAAACCCCTTCCTCTCCGCCCTGTGAGTGTCTCTGTGCGCGTGGAAAAAGCCAAAATCAATAAATTGGGGGGCCGATTCGGACAAAGGGCGACTGCGAGGGGCTTCAGCGGTGATATAGGGTGACCTGTGACCGCGCTCTCTCTCCTCTCTCCCCGGAAATCGGTGGCTAATTCCCGGGGAAAAAGGCCAAAGTCACGACCTCCGCAGTATTGAGCCAATGACGCGCGCTTGGGGAGGATGAGAAGGCGAAATGCGCAACCAATTCATAAAACTTTAAAGAGGAACGTCTCTCTTTGCTCCAAATGGAACGCGAATTGAGATGTGAATTTTTCATGAGACGCTGCAAAAAAGACTTGCAAATTTTACTCACGTGAATCACGACTCTTCGGGACGGCTTTCAAACAACTTCTGAACCGATGGACGAACTGAATGCAAATAGCAGGGCATTTGCCTGAAAGAAGTATCCTTTTCATTGGATATTTCACTACATAAGAAGTGTGTTTTTCTATCCTGTTCTTGAAGAGTGCTTCAGTTCTTTCGCCAGATGTGGGAAATACCCCTAATTAACAAATTTTAGGTACTTTTGCCAATACCTTAACACTCTTTTCAGCCAGTAATCCCCTTATCGCCACTTTCAGGTCGTAAAGGGATAATTTCTTTAGCAATAAATAGCCAGTAGAACCCTTGGAGAAAGTATATTTTTTCAGTATTCCTTTTGCTGTTCCAAGAAAATCGAGAAATGGGTTGTGATAAACTTCAACGAGTTTTATAGAGCAAAATTCTCATGAGCTAATGAGTCTCAAAATGTAGCGCCAATACGATTTAGAATCCCTTAATCTTTAGTCGCTTAGCCACTGCTTGGGCACCCTATCGAGGCGGAAGTAAAGTGTAGGTGAAGCTGTAAAAGTTCATGTAAATTGACTGTCTTTCTCTCTCTCTCTCTGTTTCTCCCACTATTGAGTGTAGCCATTGCATGGATCTCCCTACCATGTTTACCCTGCAAACAATTACCCTGCAGTGCAGCCTGCATTCCAGGGACCCGCGTCCGGAGTGCACAGTCACTCCGCGAGTCCCCTGTTAGCTGCCAAGATTCAGCAAATGGTGAGTATCTCCTCTCCTCTTCTTGCTATTCTGTTTTTCCCTTATTTTGAGCGCATTCATTTGTAGTCAGTCAGTATGTATGAAATGCAAGATTTTAAATGAGTCTCTTCATTGATCAGGAAATGTCCCCAGTGACTCGTCCCGCCACTCCGCGCACCAATGCCCACTTCAGTCGTAGCAACATCCAGGAGACGTCCTTCTCCAACTCCGCCATGGACACAGAGGCTTCAGTCGCCAAGATCAACACCATGTTCCCCACCGTGAGCGACACCCACATTCGCCTGCTTCTGAAGAAGTGAGTTGAAATTGCTTGTAATTTTGATCCTCCTGCGAGGATAACAGAAGTGGCAAAATGATATGTCGCAAGGCTGATGATAAAGAGTAGGAAAAAACAAAGGTTCCACCGAGATTTGAACTCGGATCGCTGGATTCAGAGTCCAGAGTGCTAACCATTACACCATGGAACCGCGATGACGCACTCTCTCGCTCTGCCGAGGCCTCGGCGAGTGCATTGCACACATTCAATTTTTATCACCCTTCTAAACTCTTATCAACTCTGTGCACGCTGCAAATGGATAAATGCGCGAAGGTACTACAATCGCGAGGCGGTCGTGATTAGTGCCCTGCAGGTGGAGAAGCATCCCATCACGACTCCCGGACCCTATTCAACTCCGCCGCCGACGAATCGTCACTTCCACAACACCGCTCTGGGCTGCACGGCCATCTTCCAGATGACGCCGCCACTCAACAGGGACTTCTCGAGGACTGGCAGCCCAATTCTGCGGCCCGGAAGCTGTGCCAGCGGCAGCTATGGATCACCACGCTTTGGCGAGGCTTTCCGCAGCTCTCCGAAGCCCCACTCGTCACCAAAGATGAAGCTTAGGTGCCAAAGTCTCCTCTTGGATTGCGCCTTATTTCCCTTTTCTTCCACTCCCCGCGATTTCCAAGGCTGTGCTAATGCAAATCCGTGCTGCCCTTTTGCAGATACCTGAAGAGCATTTACCCGAAGGCAGAGGAAACCCTCTTGCTGGACATCCTCGCGAATGCCGACAACAACGTGCAGAAGGCGTCTGAGGAGTTGACACAGATGGGATATGAAAAGAAGGACACCACGATTCCCAAAGTGTCGATGCGCAAGAAGGATGAGGCGAAGAATGAGATTAAGAACAGAATTGATCGAGCGACGCCTCCTCAACTTCCGCCGAAGCTCAAGACGAGCGAAGAGAAGGCCAAGTGTAAGTGCATCGCATGCAATTTTTGTCTCTGCAAATTTACAAGGATCTTCCTCTCATTTGCAGTGAAAGTGCGCCTGCAGTCGCAGTATAAGGACATTCCGGAGAAGATAATTGCCATGGCGCTGGAGAGTGTGGATTATTCTGAGGACAAGGCACTTGCGATTCTCAATATTGTCGTGCAGGAGGACGACAAGAATGCCAAAGCAACCGAAAATACACCGGCGAAGGTGGAGAAGAAGGTTGCCGAGGTTCAGGCCACATCTTCAGCTCCGAGGTAAACCACACGCGCTCTCAATATCCCGAACACATTCTTCTTTCTCTCTCTCTCTCTCTCTACTTTATAACTATACACAATATTTCTTCTCAAGCCCTTTTTCGGTAAATTACATATTTTTTCATATGCTTTTTGCACACACACACAACAAGGAGTTCGAAAGAAATTTGCATGATCTTTATCTCTTCTATGATAAATACTTTTCTTTCCTTTCTCTTATCCTCTCTTGCTAATATTTCACGTTGAGGGAGTTTGTGAACTTGTGAGGATGCTATAATTCTCATTGTTTTACCTCCTTCGCCACATCACAGAAGAGTATTTTTTGCCTTGTTTGAATACACACACAATCATTCTTTGGTTTTACATCCTAATCAACGCAAGAAATGGCCATTTTTTCTCCCTTAAAACTGCTGACAAAAGATAATAGAAAAATGCAGTTTTAAGACCATTTCTCGTGCATATTACCATCACAAGTCCTCTCATTTATTTTCTCCTCTCACATTGCAAAGAAGCGAAATTTGTGTTGACAATTGTGTTGAAATTACTGTATACAGCCGAAGCAGCAGCACTTCGTCGGCCAAGAGACACGGCGAGATAAGCAATAAAATAAGTGTTGCACAAGAGCAAGAGTGTGAGAGTGTTGATGCACCGCCGGCACCGTCATCCTCATCGACAGCCGCCTCGCCGTCCACCAAGGAGGCGTCCAGCGACGATGTGCCGGCCGTTGAGGAGATCGGCAGCGCGAAGAGGCGCCAGGCGAGGTCCAAAGCCAAGAATGACCATACAAAGTATTTATGCAAAATCTCACAAACTTCACATTTCATTGGGATAATTGTCTTGCTTGCTCGATGTTTGCGCGCGCGTGTGTGTGTGTCTGCTATGTGGAGCTCTGTTTAGGGGGCGGGCGTGGGAGGGAGGACGAGAAGGTCATCCTTCCGCCTCATGTCCTCTCAATGTTACCATGTATAATGCAGTGGCTGTGTTCGTTTGGTGACACTTTCACTCTTTTTCACACTTTTCTCTTCCCTCCCCAAAAACACACAACATCTTCAAATATTGGATGATTAATTAACACGCTTGCCAAAGCCTCAAACTCCTACTGATGATTTAACCCAAACCCAAGTGTTCTCTAGAGTCTCTAGGGCATCCGTAGATGGATGCTATGGTCTTGTCATGTGGTTGTGGAAATGTCTGTCTGCTTTTCAGCTCTAACTAGATGCTTTGGGGTGACTTTTTCAGGGCCGTGGAGACACAGGAGGAGCCAGACGTGGCCAAGAAGACGGACTTCAAGTCATTGACACCGCGCACAGTGACATCGGGTCCCAATTCCACGCTATCCAAGGGTCCCAACGACGAACTTCTCCTGTAAGACGCGCACCGGACGCACTGTTGGGCATCTCGTCTAAAGATTTCCTCTATCTTCCAGAGTTGACTACGTGACGTGGAACGGCGCAAATCCCGACCTGGCCACAGGTCGGAAGCAAGTGGCGCTGGGCAGTGATCCGAAGAATCGCTCAGAGCGATCGTACGTGCCAAAGGGAGCCAACGCTGAGCTGTGCAAGGGCCCAAGACCGGGCCTGGCGAAGGGTAGCATCTATTCACAGTTAACCAAGGGCATTCCCGCCGGAGCCTCCGTGATCTGCAACTAATCTCTAGTCCATGGTGCAAGAAATACTCTCTATTCACCCACTCTGAGAATCCCGAGCCATTTCAGTGGACCGTCCGCCAAAGATTGATTGATTGTGAGAAGGAAGAGCCCAGGAGGGAGGATATTTAATCGAGATTGAATGTAATAATGTTTGTTTGAGCGTCTCGCTGTGTCCTTTTGTCCATTGTAGTTGAAGATTTTAAGAGATAACTCGGTTTCTAGTCCCGCGAGAGAGTTTTTCACTCTCCTTTTCGTAGGATTTTTCCATTGCATGCCACATTTTAGAGATGAAACCCCCCCTTTTTTGGCGAGTGTTAAAGTACCTCGAGTTTAAAGGATAAAAAAACATAACATGTCTCTGTGTATAAATGATGTTAATAAATCTATAGATGAATCTCTAGGTCAAAAAAGGATTTTCTCAAAACTGAACGAAAGTGGCTGTTTTTGGCGCGAGATCATAATTTCTTTTCACTCCGCTTGGCGCCGCCCCAAGTCAGTTGGGGGGCAAAAGTGAAAAAAATTCTCCCATGGAATTGTAAACATTGAAGGTTTTGTGAAAATTACTTTTCTAGACAGTCTCCAAGCATGGAGGGTAACAGAGATGAGGCCAAAAGGTGCATAGACATCGCGTGCTACAGCCTGAAGGCGGGGAATTTAGAGAAAGCCAGGAAATTCCTACTGAAAGCCGAGAAACTCTATCCGTCACTCCAGGCCCAGAAGTTGCTCAAGGAGATTGACTCCCTGGACGAGGAATCGACTCACAATGAGCCACCAAAGCGGGAGGAGGAACCGCCGGAGGTGAAGTACACTCAGGAGCAGGTAGATCTCGTGAAGAAAGTGAAAAAGTGCAAAAACTTCTACGAAATGTTGGGTGTCACCAAAGATTCCACGGACAGTGAAATCCGAAAGGCGTACAAGAAACTCGCCCTACATCTCCATCCAGATAAGAATAACGCCCCTGGGGCCGCTGAGGCCTTCAAGGCCGTGGGAAATGCCGTGGCGGTGCTCACAGACGCAGAAAAGCGCAAAACCTATGATTTATATGGGGAAAAGAGCTCCTCGGGCAGTGGAAGTGCTCGTCATAGGCACACTCATGACTACTATCGCCAATTTGAGTCCGAAGCCACAGCCGAGGAGCTCTTTAACATGTTCTTCGGCGATGGATTCTCCTCACATTCCGGACATCGACGGTATCACAATCATCGTCACGATAATGTAAGCATTCTCCAAGTATTTTCAGGGGTTTAAGGAGGATTTAGAGAATACTCACAGTTTGTTGTTTCCCTGCAGAATCAGCCTAGCTTGGCGTTTGGCCTCATTCTAGTCTTGGTAGTGGTTTCTCTAATGTCAACATTCCTCACTTCAGATCCAATTTATAGTCTCCAGCAGACGTCGTGAGTGCCGGATATTCCCTATAAACACATAGAGAAGCTCAATGTAGATTTATTGCAATTGCAGAAAATATCCAATAGCCAGGAAAACATCTGGACTCTCAATTTCCTACTATGTGAAAACCAACTTCGATGAGGAATATACAGGACCTCTGGCCAGATTAGAACTATCCGTGGAGGAGGAATATTTGATTGGAATGAAGAAAATGTGCATGAGAGAGCGGCACTACAGTGAGTCTCATGATTTTTCCTGTCTACTCTTTGAGCCAACTTGATACCTTTTCTTGCAGAAGAGGCTATGATGTCGCGAGCACAGCACTTTGGCAATAAAGTCCAATTCGCTCAAGCTCAATCACTGCAGACGCCCTCCTGTGATACACTCTATCGCATCGGGAAGTACACCTTTTAGTCAGAATTATGAATTTATTTATGGAGAAGCCAAAAAACCACTGTTCGTTGAAAATTTTCATCCGTTTTTGATTCTTGGATAAACTGAGATAATGATGGTGGGGGAAACCGGTTGATTCCCGGTTGGCATACATAACCTCGAAAGTGCATGTGGGGTTTGTTGTGGTTTTTCAGGAGTGCGACAAATCATGGGAAAAGACCAGGAATCTGAGGCTGGAGCCTCTCAGCAGAGTGAAATATGGCAGGATCCGAGGTTTAGTCACTTGGTGAATGATCCGCGCTTCCGGAACATCTCCGAATCGCGGCGAAAAGTGAAGATTGATGATCGCTTCAAGTCTATGTTCAAGGATCCTCGTTTTTCCCTCAAGTACTCAGTGGATAAGTACGGGAGACGCGTAGAGAAGGATCAAAGTGACCAGCTGAAGAAGTACTACGCATTGAGCGAGGAGGAGGAGGAAAATGAGGAGTCTGAGGAGGAGAATGACGAGCTGGAGACTGGCATTCCGCTCGGCAAGAAGATCAAGAAGAGACTCAAGGACATGGACATTGATTACGCCCGTGGCGAAGCGAAGATTCTCACAGACAGCTCGTCGGACGATGAGAGCTCATCCGGAGAGGAGGAAGATGAGGTTGTCTTTGATCATGTTTGGGGTGAACTGGACAATGACGCTCCCCGGACGGATGAATCCACCAAACGACTGGCCGCCTGCAATATGGATTGGGATAAGATGAGAGCGGTGGACATTTTGGTGCTGTGCAGTTCCTTTCTTCCTGATGAGGGGAAGATCGTGAGGGTTTCTGTCTATCCTTCTGAGTTTGGCAGGGAGAGGATGAAGGAAGAGGACCTGAAGGGTCCTGCAGAGCTGCTCTCGCTGGGAATGGAAGCAGACGAGGATGGCACAGAGGCCAGGTCATCTAAGGACGATGATCAGGAGGGAGATGAATATCACATGGAGAAGCTGAGAGAGTATCAGCTCAACAGACTCAAGTATTTCTATGCGGTGATTGAGTGCGACAGCGTCCGGACAGCGGATTTCCTGTATGCCGAGTGTGATGGGCTGGAATACGAGAGTTCAGCCACGAAAATGGACCTCCGATTCATTCCGGACGACATGGAGTTCGAAGAGGAAGCGCACGATGTCTGCGAAAAGCTACCCAATTTCAAAGAGTATCGCCCGAGGCACTTCCAGACATCCGCTCTGCACAATGCAAAGGTCAGGCTGACTTGGGACGACACGTGTGAGGACAGGAAGGAGTTCAATCAAAAAGTGGCTCAAGGGAAGATCACTGAGGTTTCGCAGGACGACTTGAAGCGCTTCATCGCGTACAGCAGCGAAGAAGAGGAGGAAGAAGCAACTGAAGATGGAAAAGAAGCATCTGGGAGTGAAGATTCTGACGAGGAGAACAAGAAGACTTCGATAGACAAGTACAAGAGTCTTTTGAGTGAGATTAATGAGCAGGAGAAGCGGAAGAAGAGCGACAAGATTGAACGAGAGTTCTCCTGGGGAATTATGGTGGGAAAGGATGATGAAGACAAGTCCGAGGATGATGAGAAGACATCGTCTTTGACACCCTTCGAGCGTCTCGTGGAGAAAAAACAGCAGAAGCAGAAGAAACGGAAGGAGGATCTGAAGAAGAAGCAGGAGGATTCTGAGGAAGAGAGTGAGGATGATATTCCTGATGGAATCGACATGAACGATCCGTACTTTGCTGAAGAATTCGCCGGGGGCAATTTTGCTCCTCTGAAGGATCCTAAGAAAGCGCAGAAGAAGAGAAAAGAACGCGAAGCTGAAGAGAGAGAAGCCCAGGAAGAGGAGGAGAAGCAGAATGCTGAACTGGCTCTTCTGCTGGACGATCAAGATGATGGCAAGGCTCACTTCAGCCTCAAGAAGATCCAATCGGCTGAGGCGGAGTCCAAGAAGCGCAAGAGGAAGAAGCTGCTGAGAAAGTCCAAGGCGCAAATCGCAGAGGCGAAGGCAAACAAGGTCGCTGAAGATGACTTCCGTATCGATTTTAAGGATGAGCGCTTCGCGGCTCTGTTCACAACTCCGGAGTTCAACATTGATCCAACGCATCCGAGCTTCAAGAAGACGCGCGCCATGGAGGAATTGATCGGGGAGAAGCTGAAGAGGAAGCAGGAAGAGCCAATCGTCGAGTGCGATGGCAAGAAGGCCAAGAAGGATGCCGAAGTGTCGGTTCTGGTGAAGAGTATCAAGAGAAAGGTGAAGAACAAGAACTGAAGGGGGAAAAGATGTTGCAAGAAATAAACTGTTAATTTCCTACACTCTGACTTTCACTTCCAATCATTGGATTTTTATGCATTCTGTGTATTTTTGTCTCATAATCATTATTATATAGGAGATATTTACAGACCATTTTCACGTGTTTGTGTTCATGTGTTCCATTTAGAATAGTTTTTCTTTCTCTCCACCAAAAAGTCTCGTCCTGACAGAACGAACGCGGTCTCTCGTGAACAAAGAAGTAAATGAAAGCTCAAACCTACGTCAGTTTATATGCAATTATCTTATTAGTATACACCACAATTGTTTTTAATTATACACAAATTAATTGGATTCTACACTCTCTTATTCTTCCATTACGCACAGTAAATTTTTGTATTCGCTTCCTTCTCTCTCTTTTAAATATAATTTAATATGTTTTCCATCTCTCCAGAGGACAGGGACTTTGCGAAAGTGGGATTCTTCCCAGTGGTTCTCCTACAAAAAGAATTGTATTCATATTTGTCTATCTACGCTCTTCCTCCTCGTTATCTAAGTTCAAAGAAAAAAAGTCAACAAAATTCACTTAAAATCCCTCTCAATTAAAAATCTTACGCCGAGGATCTCCTTTTTGTTTTTAATAAACTTTGGCAGTTGTTTGAAAAATGATCTTTTTTTCTTTCACGTGAAATTCTCTATAACTAGACTTCTTAAGTTTTCATCTTACCTCACTTCCTCTTCATGATTTTTTTTTCTTCATCATCTTCTTTAAATAGCATTATAGTTCAAGTTCCTTATCTTTTTTTCTTCTATTTACACACGCACTTTCTCTCAAAAAACGGACAGTATAGATGAAAGAAATGTAAGTGACAAAGGAGGATTGAAAAATGAAAAAGGAGAACAAGAAATTAAGGGGGCGGGAAACCTTTAACAACGCTGGACTAGAGGATGAGGCTCGCTTCGTTGCACAGCGAAAGGGTTTCATCTGAACCACAGCTTCAGCCTCAGAGCGTCCACTCCGGACAGATAGTAGTGAAAGAGTCGCTTGTCGCGCACAAAGCCTAGATTCTCGTACAGACGAAGCGCCGGCGTGTTAGTGATCTCCGTCTCCAGGACCACCTCGTCAGCCTTGTCGTTCAGCATCGCCTGCAAGGGTGGGAAATCCGCGTTAGGAATTGCAAACACATTGGTCACAGCGACAACTCACCATGATTGCCTTCTGAACCAGCCTGGAGCCGATCTTCATCTTCCGATAGTCCTTGTCCACGGCCAGCATCGCAATGTAGCCCCGCTTGATGGTCTGCCGGTGGAGGCCGAGCTTGCACACGATGGCGCCCACACAGCGATCGCCGTGCATCGCCAGGAAGCAGAGCTTTGGCCAGTTGTGGATAAAGTACCTGTACGTGTAGATGGAGTAGGGCTCCGATAGGTCCTTCTGTATCAGACGCATGATGTCGGGCATCTGCAGCTCGGACTTGTACTCCTCGTACTCGATGGTGGGGAGCGCGGGGTCCTGGGGCTCCTCGGCCACCGGGGGCGCGGTATCACAGGCCACTCTGCTCTCCTCCTCGCGATGGTTCTCCTCGGGCGGCGCAGCCGCCTGGGCCTCCTCTGCGCCCTCGGGCGTATCACTGCAGCTCGCCAGGGGCTCCGCCGCGGCACTGGAGTCCACCGCCTCGCGATGATTGTAGATCCCATTCCGTTTTAGGTTAAGACGCTCCTCCAGCTTCTGGCTCAGCTCATCCACGCTGGCGGACGCACGAATGATGTCCATTGTGGTCTCCGGGGCCGCCTCACTGGCCGCCTCGTCCCCCTTTGATTTGTTCCGCCGCCTGGGGCGCTTTTTCTTCGTGCCATCCGTGTGATTTGACGTGAGGGCAGCCTCTTCTGTCGCCTGCACCTCCATTGAACGCTCTTTTTCTGCCTCTATTCGCACACTCTGCAACCAACTACAGTGCACTACGCATTCTGCCCTACTTCCTACGCCTAAATACCATCTCAGCTCACTCACAGCTACTCACAGTGGTAGAAAATTTTATCAAAAAGTCCCCCAATGATCCTCACTTTTCGCCTTCGCCAGCCATTTGCAAGGATGGCGCTGTCACGCTGAGGTTTCGCGAAATTTCACGGAAATTTCAGTGCGGTCAAAAATTCATCCCTGAAATATTTCGAAACTTTCGTATTTCCACACGTATTGTCGCTAATTCCGCTTATGAACTGAGTTTTTCCTAAATTTCCCTCTATTTCGCGGCTATTTGATTGACTTTTCCACCGATATTCTCTTCGCAAAATCCGTGAAATTTTCAAGAAACCCCTGAAACTTTGGTCTCTGGCACACCCTCAAGCAATCGGTAAAATTTTCGCGATAGACAAAACAACAACAATGAGACGTCAACAGAAGGCTTCTCCTGTTGTCCACGCTTTTCTCAGCCTCAAAGGCTCCCTGTGAATGCAAAAATGTGTGATAATTGCAGTGATTTCAAATGTCTTCCACAGCAAATCAAAATCCCCCCGGAATCGCGGTGAGAAAGGCCTGAAAACGCCTTTTGCCGAAGCTAACCTCAATATTCGTGGCACTTCCAGATCAAATTCATCCTCCTGGCTCTGGCCAGCATCATCTGCTATGGTAGTCACTTAGATGGGGAATTCGTTTTTGACGACACGGTGGCTATTGTGAAGAACTGGGATGTCACGGGGAAAGCTAGCGTGCAGGACATCTTCCGGCATGACTTCTGGGGCTACAATATCACCGATGCATCCAGTCACAAGTCCTATCGTCCGCTGACAATACTAACCTTCCGCCTGGAACACTCGCTGTACGGACTGAACGCCGCCCGGATGAAGCTAGTCAACCTGGTTCTTCATATCTTAGTCACTTGGCTCATTGTGCCCTTCTGGGGCAGCATTTTCCACTCCATTGACGACCAGTGGGTGGCTTTCGGGGCCGCCTTTATGTTCGCCATTCATCCAGTGCACACAGAAGCGGTCTCTGGAATCGTGGGACGCGCTGAACTACTCGTAGCGCTGATTTTCTTCACATCTCTCATTCTGTACAACACTCAATTGGCTCACGAAGGATTGTCAGCCGCAAGACTTGTGATCTATCTGGGATTCTTCATCCTGCAGACAATAGCTTTGCTCTTCAAAGAGAATGGCATCACAATATCTCTCATGGCTGTCGCCTGTGAAGTGATCCTCAACACGAATCTTGTCCAAAAAGTGAAAAACTGGCGGATTTCCCTGAATCTTCCTCCAGAAGTCATCTTCAGAGTGGCTCTGCTCATCATCTCGTGCATCCTGTTGTGCATATTCCGGCTCTGGATCATGAACTTCCAGAGTCCCTCCTTCAAGATCATGGACAATCCTGTGGCGGCCAGTGAAAGTCTGTCCACGAAATCCCTGAGCCAAATGTATCTCTACGCCCTCAACTACTGGCTCTTGCTCTGCCCCGACTGGCTGAGCTTCGACTGGGCTCTGGGATCCATCAGACTCGTGGACTCCGTGTTAGATATGCGACTCATTCCAATTGTGATATTCTGGGTATTCCTCTGCGCCCTCATCTGGACATCCGTGCACAAAGCACAACAGATTCTCGCCATCGCTCTGGTCGTGATACCTTTCCTGCCGGCTTGTGGGATCGTGAAGCTGGGCTTCGTTATTGCTGAGAGAGTGCTGTACATCTCTTCGCTCGGACATTGCTTCCTGATCGCCCTGAGCGTTCAGAGGCTCTGGGAATTTGCGCCCAAGTGCAGGAAACTCCTCTCCATCGCTGTGATCTTCTGTGTAGTGATTTTTATCGCCAGGACGCGAGCCAGAGCACAAGAGTGGACTTCGGAGGAACTCCTCTTCTCGTCTGCTTTGCGAGTGTGTCCGAACAACGCCAAGGTTCACTACAACATCGCTCGATTGGCCACTGATCGCGGAGAGAGAGACAAGGCTTTCACATTCTACCATCAGGCCATAGATCTCTTTCCCGAGTATGAATCCGCGATTATGAATCTGGGGAATCTCTACAGAGAGATCGGACAGTTCCAGAAGGCCGAGACACTTCTCATGCGCTCTCTGGAGCTGCTCGAGGAGTTCCCAGCGGCCTGGATGAACCTGGGAATTGTCCAAGCAGCACTGAAGAAGTATGATCAATCCCTCCAGAGCTACCGAAAGGCTCTCAAGTACCGGAAAAACTACCCAACTTGTCTGTATAATATGGGGAATCTTTTTATTGAGATGAAGAACACAACAATGGCTCAGCAGTTCTGGTCAGAGGCGATCACAATGAATCCTCGCCACGCGAAGGCTTGGGCCAACATCCTGGCATTGCTGGACAATGAGGGACGCACCGAGGAAGTGATTAGGATGTCAGCTCTGGCGCTGATGCACATTCCCGATGATCCAGCAATATTCTTCACCCGTGCAAATGCTTATGGTAAAATTGGCGATTTCCAGGAGTCTGAAAGACTCTTCCTCCAGGCGATTAAATTGCGACCAAACTATGCCATGTACTACGCTAATCTCGGTGAGTTCACTGTTCTCTCCAGAATAACCATGGAATTTAACAGATGCTCTCCTCGGACAGGTGTTCTCTACCATCGATGGCGAAAGCGTGCAAAGGCGATCGAATTCTATCAGAAAGCCCTCAAAGTGGATCCCAATCTGCGCAGTGTCCGTGAGAACTTGTCTAAACTACAGCAATAAAGCGAGGACTTCAGTTCTCCTGAATGATGAGAATCTGCTGTGCTTCCTCGGCCTCTTCGGCCGTCTGCTCAACTATCGTTCCCTCCTCGCCATCCTTCATGTACACCACATTTTGGAAGAATTGTGCGTCCTCAGTCACTGATTCAGCAGCTAACGTCTCGACCTTTGCCGGTGTTTTCCTGGCTTTGGGCTTCGTCGCGGGCTCTTTTCCTTGGGCACGCAAGTGAATGTTCATGTGCGCCTTGAGGTGATGGCTCTTGGTGAACTTCTTGTCGCACACCTCGCATTGATAGCGCTTCTCGCCAGTGTGGATCATCACGTGGCTGGATAGGACGTGGGAATAGGCGAAGGACTTGCCGCAGTAAGTGCAGGCGTACGGACGTTCACCAGTGTGTGTTCTCTCGTGCTTGATTCTCGATCCGAAGTCACTGAAGCGCCGATCGCAGTACTTACAAGCGTAAGGTTTGACACCTGTTAAGCCAAATTGCGTTAATCAAAGGGAAAACAGACAGGAAGATGGGCTTTTTTTACCTGTGTGAATTCTCATATGACGCCGCAATTCGAAGGGTATCACGAAGGCACGTCCGCAGACGTCACAAGCGTAGGGCTTCTCATTCCGATGGCGTCTCATGTGCCCATCTAGGGCGTGCTGGTACTTGTAGGTGTTGCCGCAAATCTCACATCTCTTCGGAGGCTTTGGCTTAGGCACAGGACGGATGGCGATGATGGCCTTCGCGCCTTCTGAACTCACTTTCTTAGACACTTTCTCGATTGTATGCCTGCCATCGGCAGTGAGGACATGCCCCTTGGCCTCCTCCGCCATCCGCCGCTTGACAGACTCCACCTGACGCACCGGTTTATAGCCCTGCACTAGGATTCCCTTCTCCAGATTGTCAATCTCTTCCTGCTGTGCGTCTGCTTCATCGCCCCAAGCCGCCTTCTTAGCGGCCTCGAAGATTCTCACGTCATCAGGCAGTGGATCCTCCAGCAGATCATCCAATAATACGTTATCCGGCTTCTCCACCAGCACTTCCTGCTCCTCTTCATCGTAATCAACTAACACAGAATCGTCCGCATCGACTTCCTCCTCTTCCTCGGCTTCCTCTTCGTCGTCAGGCTCCTCCTTAACAATCTCCTCTATGGAATACTCATACTCTGTATCTGGCACCTGCGATTTGTTCAGCAGAGACAGTAAAATGGCATGAGAACTCTCCCCATTCGTCCGGAAGCGATAGGCCACCTTCAAATCGCTGTAGCACTTTTGGCAAATCTGCTCAGGCATGTCCTGATCCTCTTGAATCTGGAATGAGACAAACAATCTCGTCAGCAAAGGTCCGTAAGCGGTACGAAATGCCCGGAAAATACCTCAATTGGACAACACTTCATGATAATGTCAAAAATTTTCGCTTCACTCTCGTTGAAATCCTCGTAAATAGACGTCATGAGGCCGTCCTGCAGACAAATCCGACAAATCAAGTTCCACTCCATCCTCCTGACCACTTTTCCTCACTCCCAGTGCAATCAAACCAGCGACAAACAGAATTTGAAGATATTTTCGGGTTGCTTGACGCGACAGGAAAATTAGGCTTGCACGCAGCGAAATCCAATATGGCGACGCCAAGACGGCAATTCTCCATGGCGATGGACGCGCCATCTGAGACATTTGCCGCCCCTGCGGAGAACAAGAAACAGTGAAAAAGCCTCTGTGTAGTGAAAAAGTGTGGAAATCCATGTGAAAAAGCGGACAAATCTCCGGGAAAAGTGCTCCAGTAATTGCCACAAGTGCCCCCCAATTGCGACACAGTGGAGAATGCGTGGAAAAGTGCGTTGAAGTGTGTCAAGAGCGCCCCTGTCTGCTGAGGAGTCTCGCGCGAGAGGGTGAGTTTTCCTCCCTATGCCATTTTCCACCCTTTCACTAACTCTCTATTGTCTCCTCGGAAACTTGAAATTTATTTACAAAATTGCCACTCTGCGTGAGAATGGCAAAAATGTGCAAATTCTCATCCATTTTCGCGTTCTATTTTCACATGCGGTGCCTTTAAACTCTTGACCGACGTGACTATTTTCGTCGCGAGACGGAAAAGTCTCGCATTTTCCGTTCTCACGCACACTTTTCACTATAGGAAGAGAGAGAGGGCCTACTTGGGGTCCCTTGGGACTCATCGAGGGTCAGTCTCCGTCCGGTGAACTCCAAAACAGGCGCGAGTAATGAGTTTCCCTGTCGCTTCATCGCATTTCCTCGTCCTTTTCCCATGTTTTTCATCGGTGTCGCCCAGAAGTTGTTCTATTTACGTGGCCTGGCGGGCGGGGGACGGCAGAAAGGACAGTAAAATCAATTGCAGGATCCACTGGAGTGTGGAAAATGGGAGGAAAAGGGAATGAAAATACCATTGCAGGCCTCACGAAATAGGCAAAAAGGGATACAGGGTGTCTCTGGCGCGAGGACAATTTTGCCGCTTGCTATGATTTGCGGACAGAGTTTGTGGAATTAAATGAGAATAAATCCTGAAGTTTAAATTGAGTTTGGTGAAGGCTAGATACTATCGTGTCTTCTCTTGGAAGGACGTCCAAGAGAAGGTGACAAGATGACTTTTAGGAGTCTCGCGGGGTAAATCTCAGCTGCTGTCTCGAGAACGAGATGATGTCCCATGAAACAAGGCATTTGAGATTTTCCTCCCATTCTCGGACAGCTTTTCTCACAAGAAATATTTCATTTCGAAGAGCAGAGACAGAGGCCCGAATGGGTGGTGCTCTCAAATAGAGAATGAAGATACTAAAAATAGTGCAGCAGAAGCTAAACATCACATTTTACGAGTGTCTCTCGCCTCTCCAGAAATCTTCCCTCCGCCGTCACTTTATGGCTTTTCCCATCTGATTTCGGTGGTAAAGAGTCAATTGAGGAATTTTTCTCATTCACATTATGCGCCTTGCATCCACTAGTTGGCGTACAATTATGCGAATTTCATCCCTTTTCAGATATTTCCACACTTTGTGGATTTCATTAAAATGTTCCCCATCATTTCCACATGCAATTACTGGCGCTTTCACTGCAAGTGTTCACCTCTAAATCGCTGGGATGTAATTATTTTCTATAACTACATTTATTATGACATTCTGAGCTAGATATTCTCAGCAGATTTTCAATTAAATGTCTGTTTTCAGAGTCAATTTTCAAGGCAAATTTGTAAAGTATTCAAAGTGCTCTTTTAATCTATTTATGCAATTGATGGTGGATTAAAATGTAGTCTGAATTATGTAAAATATACATAGAGATAAAGAGTTTCTCTCTTATTCATTGTGAGTATAAAGGAAAAGAGAATCTTTGGTAAATGGACGGGACTTTTGATCCTGATTGTTTACACTGTTGTGAGAACATTTAATCTCAAGTTTTGGAGTTATTGATATTTCGAATATCACACTCTCTCTATCCTTTCTCGTGGATTAATTTGAAGAGGGAATTTTTAACATGAAAGACATTAAAATGAAGCTCATTCTTTGTGAAATTGTACTCTCAAGTGTTTTCTAATCCTATCGGGATTACTTCTTCTGGCTCGCCCTCAATTGGATTTGTGTCTGGGTTGAATCTTGGGGGATGTGTCAATTTATTTCTGTCGACTATGGACAATTTTGGAATTTGTCGTCCCCTCAAAAGTGGCATCATCTTCAACTCTGCATCGCGATGAGGGTGAAAGATTGCCGGCTGTTGTCAGCGTGTGAACATTTCGGCAATTCTCAATTTCTATGAGGGTGAAAAAGATTGAGTGAAGCAAGAATTATTTCCGCATTTGCTTACTCTGTCTCGTTTCTCTATGGGTGGCGGGATGAATTTTGAAATGCGGACTTTGTCATTTTTCACCTTGAGTGCTGATCTATCTGTTTACCACACACTTTGGATAGGAGTTCTATTTCTATGGAGTTGGCGGAAAGAAATGTCTGAGTCTCTCGTCTGCTTTCTGCCACACTTTCATCCAAATGAGAGCAGAAAATGTGTTGGGAAAAGTTTGAGTGGAAAATAATTTTCTCCTTGGCGAAGATGGAATCAATTTCCGTCCTTGGCTGAGACTTTGAACATGTGTGCGAGGCTTTGTAATGAGAGGAAATTTTGAGGGATTTCCACATCCTCAGCGGGACTCTTGAATTTCCGCAATTTTCTTGCCTCCTCATCGACAGAGTTGAGGTGTGAATGCAGTTTGAAATTGGACGGATTTTCGTAATATTCGTCTTGGATTTTCTTCTACAATTCCAACTCTGTGACGACCAAGTAACACTAACTGTGCCATTGGTTCAATTTGCCACCCACTGAGAGGACCTTCTCGCTTCCTCCTGGTCCTCCTTCATCCCAATTCGTGTCACGATGTCGACGAGTAGCATGAAATTTAGCGCGCGATATCGTTTCAGGGCGGGGGAGTGAAAAATATGAAAATGACGAGATGAGAGTTTAAATTGATATTTATTGGGGCGAAGTCGATACACGGGAAGAGGTGTAAAGGTGTAAAATGTGGGTGGAAGTCAAGCAAGCAATCGCTAAATTGAGATCAGCAATTAATTGATTGAATTCACCACGAAGTCTGTGCGAAAGTTGAGAGAAAGTGAGTTCAAAGTGGAAAAGGATTCTCAATCAACCCCAACTAATAACCTCTGGCCAATATTAACGATGATGAACATGGTGAAAGGTAGATTCAGGACACGATGTGTGGGCAGTCTTGCTCTCGTGGCTGCACTTGTGGCCACTATTAAGGATTGGACACACCCAAAAAGCCAGTGAAAGGTGGAAGGAAATGAAAAGTTTGCGTGGGGGAACTTTAGGGACTTCTATGTGAAAATGATGATTGAAGGGGAGACGCTTAACCTGTGCTTCTTGCTTATCCAGTGGTTGGCAACATTTTCGTGCTCTTCGCAATGGAAGTTTCGGATATTTCTGCTTCTAATAGCGTAAGAAGGGTTGTTCACCTCTGCAATTTGGGGTAATCTGTCGTCTGTGTAATTATCGCTGAATGATTTTCGGTGTAGGAAAATGATTGAGGAAATGTGAGCTGGCAAAAGTGCCAAGAAATTGCTGGGGAGTAAATTTGGCATTTCTCCTCGTGGTGGGATAATTTTAGAGACACAGAGGGAAGTTAATTATTAATTATGGACAGGGAGGAATTTGTGAAAATTGATATGCTTGGCAAAAAAGGGACCAAGAACTCTAAACTCATCGGTCTTCTTAATTCAATAATCTGGGTGAAAAGGAGTGTTTTGGAATGACTGAGTGTTTGCGTTTAACGAAAATTCTCCCTCTTTCTCTATCTGGCATTAATCCAATTGAGATGAGAAAGGAGAATTTTTCAATGGAAGAAAATCAATTTTACTATGTTGAATGTAATGGTTTTTGGTGAAATATTTGTGGGGTTTCTTCGTGTTCAGCAGCTGAAACCATTGCAAAATATATTGTAGCTTCAATTAATTGGGATTGGTAAATTTTTGGCATGTTAACGATGGATTTTCGTAGTGTATTTCAATGAGTTTCTCGGGAAAATCTGGCAAACGGAATGGGTAGTGTTCATTTCAGATGATTCCAAATATCTACAGTCGAATATTATTCGGAATAACAATTGGTTTGTTTACCACCACGACCGATTGGAACGTATTTGTCCCACACAATCTTCCGATCAGAGTCTTTTCGCCCTCAGAGGGCAAATAAAATATTCTGCAAACAGCTGATATCTTGCTGGATACACAGGACAATTGGATGGGTTAATTTTCCACTGCTGACCACGTCGACTCCCATCTCTCGCCTCGCGGCTTCGGCGGTGTGTTGGTGGGAATGTTCAATAGCTACATATAGTGATATACATAATATCCGTGTGTGGAAAAAGCACGGATTTACGCGGCGATTTGGACGGTGGAGGTGGCTGCGTGCGGCTGTGTTGGAGAGCGGCTTGGACCAAATGTGGGGCACACCGGAGAAGAGCCCACGAGAGCTGTAGGTGCCAAAGCGAGGAGACAACTTGGTGGGGTCTCCCATAGTCGACTGGCTCTGGATCTGCTTGGCGCCTGTGTGTGAGTTTTGGGGCCTCTGCGCCTCGTGTCGACGGGTGTGAGCCCGAAGTGTGTTTTGTTGGAGATTCGTGCATTCCATCCATTCAGTTGTACTTGAGACTTGGATTTGTTCAAATGTGCTCCCGTGTGTCGGTGAAGAAACTTCTTTTCCCAATCTGCACTATATCGTGAGAGTTTATTAGTATATTTCGTGTGCGGTTTGGGTGTTTGAGAGTAATTTGACCCAGAATCCGCGGAAGAGAAGTTGTGCGAAGACATTGGAGACGGAGTTCATATCCTGAGGATTACTTCATATGCAGAAAAGGAGGTGGAAAATAGTGAAGAGGGTGTGCGAGTGTGTGTGTGTGGTTTGTGAACTTGTGACATAAGCAGGATTACCCCGTATCAAGGATATACATTTGGAATACTTGCTGCAGCATTCCTCAGCATCGCATGGTGTTTGTCTCTCAGTGCCTGCACCTATGGTGGTTGTTTTAAGATAAATAATTGGCAGAGTGCAGAGATTTTAATCTCAGAGTGGCTGGTTTTTTCTTCTCCGCCTAAGAGCAAGCATTCTGCAATTTTTATGACGTTACAACCATTCATAATATGTGAATATTTTATGCAGATTGAGAGACACGACAAAGTGGCTAGAATTTATTGCGCGGCTTTTTCGGTGGGATTCCTACACTAAAAATTGACTGTGCAAAATAATAATAAAAGAAGTTGTGCGCGCGAGAAGGAAGAAAAAAGCCGTGTGTTGTGATCTCCTCTCGTTGGTGTGTATATTATATATTTTTCTATTTTTATTGGCACACGGCAGGAGGAGAAAAAAATTATTTAATTTTTTAATCGCCCTGGTGTGAGTGAGAGGCATTGAGCAAAAAAAATATAACAACATTAGAGGCACAAGTAGAAGGAGAGAAAAAGATTATTACAATCATCACCGCTGGCCTGGGGTATATAAAAGTGATTTTCGTTACGTGTGAGGTATTTATTTGTAATACCACCTTTAATTTTGCTCTCACGGTGATGATATAAAAGTATTCTATATCCCCAGATCTCTAATTTTTTTCTGCCTGCCTCTAGGAAGAAAAAAAAACACTGTGATGTGTGAGACACAATTTTCACAATTTATAGAGTGACTCTCGTATTGAGATATTGAGCAAGTGAAACTTTCGAATGCCTCTAAGTTGCAGGCAGGGATATTCTACGAATGATAGATTGCTCTGAAAGACATTTTTCCATTCATTCACTCTCTCCGCGGTGTGGCGTTTTTTTCCCTGCAATTTATGTCTCTCTCTATGGCTTTGCATTTTGAAATATATTATTATATTCCACCTCTGGAAACAGAGTTTTGCTGTTGTTGACTTCTCTCTGCATTGGCACAGCAATGGGGCAGAAACATGGGAAAGAATGTGATTAGAGTTGTTTGTGTTGGAACAATAAAAATTTTAGGATAACTGAACAAGTCTTAAATATTTAAATTCTCCAAATACCATCTGTTTACCTCAATTTTTTCACCATTGGACTCTTAAATGGTATATCGTTTAGCCTCGACTATGGAGATATTTTTCCTTCTTCAACTGTATATTGTCTTGCGGCATGAGAATTTGTAATGTGAAATCGAAGACTTTTTGACATGAAAGTGTCGTGTGCTGAATATTTTCAGACACGGAGAGTAGGGAATTTTAATTCTTTTCTATCACACTTCTTAGGTTTTGGACAATGGCACTGTTTGCTTACATTGGGAGTGAGGCGCTCGCTCGAGGGGCGATGATTTGATTCATTTGTCCAATTTGAAATTCAAATTGCGTTAATACTGAGCGAAGAGTGAAGAGTGTGTTGGAAAATACAAGCTTACAGATAAGATTTTGTATGGGGTATTCAATATAAATTTCACATATTAACTTGTTAGGTGGTGAGAACAATTTTATGATGGGTATTTTTTTATATATAAAAAAAACTCAGATCTTGTACGATTTTTATTTGAAACTTATAATTATCCAGTTAACAGATTTGTGTGTTGGAATATCAATACTTTAAGAGTAAAATAATTGAACATCTCTGATTAGTGTCTAGAATATAAAGGATTTTTTCAAAATTGGACATTTTAATTGGGATTTGTATACATGTTCTCCAGTTGACATGCCTTTTCAAATAAATTGCTCAAGACACGGTGTACGAGAAGTATTCTTTATCTGTTTTTCTCAATGCTTGTAAAAGTCTGAATTGTCGCACCCAAAAAAAGACAGTTCACACAAACATATTTGATGATAATACAGTTTTTATTAGCAGTGTATCTTAACAACTCTTCCTCCCATGAAGCCAGAACTGCGAGGAGGTCATAAAAGCGCGTGGAGAGGAAGATTCTAGCTATATTGTGCAATTGCACAACATTTTGAGTAGAGATCACAAGTATGGCATCAATCATGCGTTAAAACAAGTGGCGTGTAATTAAAATTAATTTACTCACAACATGGGAGAGAGATGTAATTGGCGAGGGAGGAGAAATAATTTCTTAGCTGAGACGATAGAAGGTTGTCCAGTTTAATGGGATATTTTGCTGGAAGAGAGTGTCTCTGTTTTTTGTGTGCAGAATCCGTACATAGAATGCAACAATGACATTCTCGGCACATTTGACATAAATTTTCTTTCATTGTACATTCAGTGATTGATTCCCGTGAGCACAATATAATGGGTGAATTAATTATTCATTTAATGTAAATGGATGCACGTGATTCTTCCTCTTGGCTCATTGTGTCGCATCCAGGGATAAGAGTGATCGCATTAGAATTTCATGCACATTAGTTTGTGAGCTAATGAATGGGTTTGCGCGAGATGCGAAAGAGATGGAAATTTATTTATTGCATGGCAAAATGTGACACTCGGTGCGATGATGTGACCAAAAGGAGAGGCAATTGCAAGGGGGACAATTTAGCGTTGAAAGACTGTTGTTGGGTGAAAGATGACGGCATGAGGAGAGGAAGATGGTTGTGCAAAAGAATAATATTGAGATAGACAGAGTGAGAGGGAGAGAGAGATTTACGCAACGTGGGTTGCTGAGGCTTTTGCAAAACGCCCACAATAAATTATTTATTTTAATTTTAAAGGAGACTCTATGGTGTGTCGACTTCCAATTTCAGTGAAATTCAATGAAAATTTATATCCATTCGATGGAGGGTGAATGGATGTTTCATTTAACGCTGAAGTGGCAATCAAAGAGGAAATGTTTTATTTCTCCTTTTCAATCGAATTTCAATAGGAAAAGGTCAAATGTGTACAGAAAGTTTTGTCTCTTCTGAGAAATATGAGATAAGATTTGAGTTGGTAACTCATAGATTTCCACTTGTGATGCCAACTTTTCGTCCCAACCATTTGAAATCGTTTTGAGGATATTTTGCAACATTAATTACACGTGTTTTGTTGCGATGTTTATCGTCTATTTTAGAGTTGTTGGTTGTTCGCGGCGAGAGCCGGAAAAAAAGAAAACCCGTGGAAAACTCAAAGGAAAAGTTTCACATCGCGTTGGGAAATGATTTCTTCAAGTGTATGACTATTTGAGCAGAAGGAAAAACACGTTGAATTTGTGGTGGGAAATATAATTGGCCCATGGAAAAAGAGGTTTTACACTGAATACACAACACACAAACCCAACGACTCTTATCTATTTTTAGCGAAAATAATTAACATACTATATATGCATACCGACAAATGATGAACAGTGTAGATAAAAATTTTATATGTAATTTTCTATTTTACATGAATATTTCCATTGCTATCTCACATTTTGTCTAAACTGCTGCTGTTGCTGCTTTTTTCTTCATTTCAAATATACACACGTCCAACATGAGAATGCGGTATATGTGTAGATATGTACACACAGCTTCCCATGCTTTTTATTTTCCCCAGCACTGGGTAAATTGAGGAGATTATGAAATTGTGTACCATGTTTCTGACTAAATATCTCTTGTGGCTTTATCATCTCGGAGGAAAAATTTTCTCACATGGCAAATTTCGCTCTCGATTGCAATCACTTGGCAAATTGCAAAAGTTTCGTCCAATTCTTGTGCGCCGCGTGTGTGTTTTCAGTTTGAGACTTAGTGAAATTCAATCGAAAACAGACAGCGATTGATTTGCGAGGGACAAAAAAAGAAAAATCTCGCTGTTTTGCATACAAAAGACAATTCTTGTGTGGTTTTTAGTGTCTTGGAAAAAAAATCTTCGAGTTTTAATGATCGATGATTGATTTTGCTGAATTGAAAAGGAATATAAAAAGCATGACAGACGTGGCTTTAATACTATTAAAATGGATGTAAATTCACTTTATAAAGCATTGCATGTTCAAGGCGCTTTAACGATGTACATTTTCTTGGTAGATTTCCAAAAATTTATACGATAATGGCTCTTCTTTATGGTGTCAGCATAAAGAAAAGGCAAAAGTGTCATTCAATTACGGACACAGAAATTGTTAAAGGACAAATTTAATTGTAATTTATTTATTTTCAATTATATTCATTGTAGATTCAATGGAAATAATTGAAATTGAGTAAATTGCATTGTTGTTTGTTTTGCAGCGTCAAAATCGATACATTGTTGCAATACAAAGTCAACGGATTCTGTGTGGATTTGACAAGAAAGGTTGCCGCGATGAGGAATTGCTCAAGTGACAAATCAAATCATAAGTTGAATTGGAATGGGAAAGAAGTGGCGCGGATGGGAAAAAAATGTCTGGAGATTTATTGATCTTCATGTGTATTTAATGGGGACTTTATTTACAGACAATTTGTGTGGCTCTGGAACATGATGAAAATGTGACACACTCTAGTGCATTCATCATGAATGATGAAGATCCAGTGTGCATCGAGTTGGGATGGAGGAAGTTGGGGAGATTGAGATTCACGAGAGCGCACGGAAAAAGCATGTTGATGCTTAGGGGAGTGTGAAAAAATAAATTAGATCCGAAGATATGAGAGAGTCATGGAGGGAAAGGCTGTGAAATGGTATCGAAAGAATCGATGGGGTTTATTGGTTCCGTATTAATATGAGCGAACTAATAAAAGTATATACAGTTGATCATATTCCATGTCATGCTGAATATTTACACAGCATGTTGATGTTTGTCATGCATGAGAGGATCGCGGCGAAGTGCCGGGATTGAGTACAAAAGAGGAATAGATAGACAGGGAGAGAGGGAGAAAAAAGCGAGTGAGATCGCTGATCGTAGTTATGGAATTTATGCCTTTTGTAAAGCATACGCCCACACACGCCATATGTTCAAAATTATCAATGAGTTTTCCTTTTCTCCAGCATCCACAACATCTCTCTTCCTCAGCCCGTGATCGCGCCATTGAGATAGCACAGAAAGAAGATGATCATGTTTGGCTGGGATTCTTATATAGAGATCGGATTTCATACATGAGCGTGCCTAAGAATGAAATTGACAAAATGTCATAATCATTATAAATGTGTCAACAGACATTAAACTATGTTCTCGGCTCATTTTTCCATCGCGTTCTCAAGCGACCGAGAAAATCACAACAATTTTTCGCTTTCTGTTTATCTCATCTCAAATTTCCGCGTGTTTATGAGGAGTTGGAATGGAAAAGAGGCGTCATAAAAATGATTTATTTCATCTATTGCAATGTGTTTTCTCATTATATATACATCTATTTCGGGGTTTGGGGCATTTGGAGCGCGAGTTTAGTGGAGAGGAAGCTTCCAATTGACTCAGAACAATTTCACAAATCACTCGTGAAACTATGATCTCGCTATATAGTGAATTTTTTAATGCATTTCTGATGGGCTTTGGCATTGTTTGTGCGTGTGTGTTGGTTTGGCTGGAATTTTCAAGGGGGCTCATTTGCATATTTTGCCAGTGTAAATTTACTTTTGCTTCTCACTGAATAAATTTACCAATATGTCGTGATCGTAGTCAATCGATCATGGAGGTAATTTTCTCAATTGATACACTGACAAATTCCTCATATTTGCTAATAGTAGATGAAGAAATATTCATCACCTTCTGCGAAAGACACTCGGTCGTGTGGTATTTCTTCTATTTGCTGGATCATTATTTATTTTGATCTTCTTTCCTGAATTAATTATATATGAGCTTGAGTTATTTATTCTTCACTCTATTGTTCATATTCCAGAGGTTCAAAGAATCCATCAAATTACATTTATAATATATTTTTGTGTGTGCACAGCACATTTCTTCTCTCACTTCTCTCACACACATAATTTTGAATTAACAGTTCCCTCTTTGTTGCTTTTCATATAAAGAATTGCACTTGACTGCAGTTATATGTATTTTCTCAGTGGCTACATTATCACCTTTTCACGAGTGAATTTGTGTGTTAATGACATTAGGCGTCGAAGTGGGAAAAGAATTGCTCGGCGAGGCACGAAAATGTCCATAACATGGCAAGAGTGGCAGAAGTGGGGTGCCAAAAAGAAATTAAATTAAATTAATAAACACTTCTCAATTGATTTCAATTGACCTTTTGTAGGTTTGAATTGTATTTGCTGTCGGCGCGTTCTTGGTCATATTTCTGGAGTTCTGCTGATTGTTGACTCCATGACGGCCTTTTTAGTGTAACACAATGTCTGGAGCACACTTGCGGCTTAGGAGAAGAGTCTTTCTTAACTGTTTCTCTGTGGGTGATGCTCCGCCTATTTGATTGCCCCGCCCACTTGAATGTACTACTGCTAAATGAGCGATTTATTGATTTCCTCACGATCAATTGATTGACTTTCGGTCATGTCAATATGTTTCCTGCTTAATGGAGTGAAATAACTTAGCTCATATTGCTGAACTTTTCCAAGACATTACCGTCTGAAAGGCTGAGCTGAACAGTTGTAGTACATTTTCCTCTCATTCTCTCACATTTTTCCGTGTGTCTCACTTTTCCTATATAGTATGTCTGCGAGGATGTTGCGTCGTTATAATGAAATGAAATGAATTCTTGTACACTTCTGGCCACTTGCCAGATTTTTATGAGGAAAAACTCGTATCTCCGAAGCCGTGTTGGTTGCGAGACATCAGTCTATGAGTATATGTCGCTGTCCAAAGAAATTACACTATTCTGCTTCGTTAGCCACTTTTCTATCCATTTGGTATCATCCCACAAGACGTGTTGATGAGAGGTTTCTCATGCTGCGCTGCTGCCTTGCTGATGGAGGGAGTGTGGAAAATTCGCAGAAAATTAAAAGAGAAAATTTGGGTATAAAAATATTGCCGCGGGGAAATGGATTTTCCATGGAAAAGTTACACTCGCTTATGACCTTTTTCTGTGCCACTTTGAATGTCAGACTGTTTTGTGCTGTGATCGAGGTGACAAAACAGTGGCACAAGCGACACATTCGCATCTGTCTGATCCAGATGGTTTTACATTGTGTCTCTCAGATTGTCGCGCTGGTTTATTGATACTTGTACCTTTTTGTTTGCAACACTGAATGGAATGGGTTCTGGGGGAGGAGGAGGAGGAGAAGGGGGGCCAGAGGGCAGATAAATGGTGCACTGAATGGGTATAATTTGTCAAAGGAACAGTGTGTAAGCCGTGAAGTGATCGAGTTTGGTGCCCCGCGAGTTGAATGCGAAATAAAAAGGCACTTTGTGAAATAGAAACGCTTTCTCTATTCAAGCCATAAATGCACGTATAGAAGCTCAAATTGTTGCTTAATGCGCTCACCAACAAGATCGCGGTGTACAGGAAAACCCTTTGGGGGATTTAGTGTGTGCTTGAGCATTGAATTGTTCGGAAACTTCCTCGATCCTCGAATTCAGTCGAGTGGGAAGAGCATTAAATGGTGGTTTCGGGGGATTTTCCAGAGGGTGTTTGCATGTGATCTTGTCAATCGAGGATCATCTGTGCGTGGACCGGAGGAAAGAGTGAATTGGCGGTATTGCTGTGGTAATCGTCACGATCTGCCACTGTTATATTCCGTCTAAATACAAAAGCAGTCAAGTTATGGCTTTTCTGGCATTTTCTGCAATATGCATGCATGCAACAGAAGACAGATGAGGGAAAAACGAGCTGAGGAAATGGGATTAAATGGAAATAAATTGTGTGCAGTGAGGTTCAACTCTTGCACACACTGTGTGAATCTGCCGCCAATGTGACTGTGACGAGTGTGTGGATCTCGTATGTAAAGATATTATTTAATTCTTAGATAATGATTTGTTGGATGCAGAGGAAGAACTTTTCTCACTTGTAAGATCTTTATATACGCGATGATGTGTGATTTGAATGATAATTTTTACCGTACAACATTCACAATTTTTCAGCTTGTCTGATGCCTTTTTGCCCGTGGAGTTGCAACAGAACTGGGTGTGTGTGGAATTTCCTAACAAAGTGGTGTGCACACATAAATAACAATAATTAAATTTCATTCTCTTTCCATATGCTGCAATTTTTTTTTTACGTTTTTGCTAATCAAAGTCATGGGGAATGTGCAGGCATTTGATTTGTGTAGTGAAAAGAAATGAACAAATGGATAACAAAATAGTGTACAATTTATGGCGAACCGAAAAAAAGAGTGCAAACACTTAATGATCATCTGCACGTGATCTTTTCTCATCGTCAGAGATGAACCGTTGTGGCTTCCTTGGCTGGCGGTATTGATCCCATTTTTATTTATGGACTGCATTTGGTCTATTTATGTCTTGAACTCAAATAAAACAATTTGGCGAATTGTTTAATGAAGTTTATTTCGAGTCAATTTGATTGTTAAATGGCCTTAGCGTGATTAAAGATCAAGTGGCATCTCGAGGGAATATTTCACGTCTGACTCATTGAGACTGGCTCCTCATCTAGAATGACACACGCTGACTCTCTTTCTGTAGCAAGTCTAGAATGCTGTTAACCCTGCTTCGAGTGCGCGAAAGAGAGTTTTCTCTTTGTCAGGCGATTTCTCAGGATACCGAGAAAACATTAAGACCATTAATAATTTGTATTGGGATAATTCAAAAAGACTGATTAGGGATTGAAACTTTTGCATTGCTCAGTCAATATGAGGGTTAAATGGCAGGAGTGACGCGTGAAATATGAAGAGTTCTTTGTTTTTTATTATTAATCTTTCATGTGTCCCGCACACCACGTGCCGATGGCAAAGAAACAAGAAGAGAGACATTAAAGAGAGGGAAAAGGAATTTAATTATATCACACCGAGTCAATTTATGTACATGACATTATATTTGTAAAATGACATTTTTTCGTAACTCTTTCGCACTAATTAAGACCATTTTTCTCATGGTTTTCCTCTTTTTTGTCTCCCTTCCAACCACACACGATCATTGGAGTTGATGTATCGATATAAGGCGCTGTGTGAAGCAACGCTGTCTCACTCTCTCTCCTTCTCTATCTATTTCAGATCAAATTCTAAATATATCAACGCACTGCACAAGTCTCCAATAAACTCTGCTGTGGCTGCTGCGCGAGATCGACGGCAATGTGGATCACGCACTTTTCTCTCTGCACCGCGTCAGTGTCTCAGAAAGTGCTGTGGATCGAGTAAGAGAGTCCAATTGAGAGCTGACGAAGTGAGAGCCAGAAGTAGGAGTTGTTTGATTGGGACTCTGTGTCATCGGCCGTCAGTGAGAGACGCTCGTCGTCTATTTTAGGGGTGTGTTTTAGGGACAAAGGAGCGCGGAGATCCCAGACACTCGAATTCTCCTCACAAATCAACTCAGGATTCTCCACAGTCGACAAAGTGGTCGATGAGGACAAGAGCGTGTGTCTTGAGACAAGATGTGATCAAAAGTGACTAATATATTTAGTGTGGCGGAAGAAGTTGAAAGGAATTGGTGGTAAAAATACTCCGGAGAGGCGAAAAGACTGTTGTGCGAGAGGGGAACTATGAGTGATCAAGAGGAGACATATATTTCTATTACTGTGTTGTGATTGATCACGCAAAATATTTTCGTTTTTTATACACCGTCGCATAGTATTCTCTCGAGAATCTATTTTCGTGGATTAATGACGATCACCGAAGTGAGAGTGAATTGTAAGATCAGCGTAGTGTGTGTCTTCTCACATATGAGCGGATTTCATGCAATATAATCGCATAACTAAAGAATGTACGAGAAGAGCTTGATGGAATTGTGTTGATGTTTTAGCGGAGTGAATCTTTGATTTCTTAATTTCTCTGTGTCAATTAATTAATTATATACAGTAAAGAAGAAAGAAAAAACCTAATAACCGTTAAAGAAATCTGTCTCTAGATAGAGGCCTTTTTGCCAAACTAGATACCGCCAAGAACAAGAAGAGAGAAAAAGGTACTACACAATTGACACGAGATCAGCATCACAGAGACAAAAACTCTCGAAAGAATCACACAATAACCGTGCTTGTAATGTTGATAAATCATTGTGATAACACTTGACGGTGGAAAAAAAGCATTAATTGATGCATTTGTAGAGGGACACAAATGGCAAAGGTGTGAATATTAATTACCAACAATAAGGAATTTAATCAATCCTTTTAATCACAAAGTACAAATCACTAATCCGTACCCAGAAGATTGTAATAATAGCATTATAAATGGAAGGTGGAGAGAGATAGAGAGAAGCTTAGAAACAGATACACATATTCACACAAATACTCAGTTATAATAGTGGAAAATTAGATACTCAACTCGCATAATTAAATTAACATATCGATATTAGATGAGAGAGAGAAACACACCGACAATTGAGATTATAAAACGCACAATTGCACACACTGTAAGTAATATCTCATTTTGTACTCTCTATGCTCAATACTAATTAACTCATTATTAATCTATTCAGACAATTTAATCTTCCCCGATATGAACTTTCCCTTAATTGGCGGCCAAGCATTTTTTTTTCTGTATTGTTGATGGAAATTTTTGAAGATAAATTCGTGCGCTAAGCTTGCTTTTTTATTGACTAATTCAATCCCAAGGGAGGCACAATTGAAGACTAACCGCAGGTTTCTCCTTAAATTGTGCCTCTCCCTCTTTTGTGGACACAATTGCTGAGTAGATGAGCATAATCAGAGGCGGAATGGACACAGATTTGTTGAGAATGAGGAGGAAATTGAAGAAGAATTGACAATAGAGCAAAAAAGTCGAGTGCTAAGAGAGAGAAATTAAGTGGACAATTGTGGAATGCCTTTGTGCTATTCAAATTGCCACTTCCTAAAGCTTATTGAGGTGACTTTTTCCACCATGGCGAAGAAGGATTAGACTAGAGCTTAGTAATCCGCGTGGTAATAGAAAATCAATTAAATGGTGAACAATAAATTACTTTGAGGTGATTTACGTTTGGGGAAAAAATGACACACGATGTCTCAGATAAATGCTTTATCTCTGAGTGTGTGTAAATTCATTATTGCGCTTCTGAAAATTTATTATATAAAATATTACTTTAATCCTGTAAAAGAATTACTAAATCGCGAGCCAATTGGAGCAAGTAAATCACGCTTTGCCAGCTTGGGAAATTGATAACCGATGAAATTGCGAACAATTTTCGTCATTTAACTTATCATGATCGCGATCGTTTTCAGCATTGCGTAATCACACTGAGCAGAAGAGAGAGAGAACGACACGTTTGGATGCGTTTAGCGAGAATTGGGTTAAATTAGTGAAATTAGTCTTGGTCATTTTTAGCTAAAACCAGAGAGCAAGGTAGAGAGATATTGATCAATAAGAAGCCGCTTGTGTGATAATTCAGTATGAGATTCCATCTGTTCGGTCGTGATCAAGTGCAATTTTTGCTGACTTGCTGAGTGACGTGGATGAATTTACCGATGAGGTTGAAATGAGAAGTGTTGAGAAGACGCGAGTTGAGGAGATGATATGGAAAATAAATAAGTTGCGAGTGTTGTGGGTTAATTAAATCAGAAAGAAGATCGTAAAAGGAGCTTTGAATAAATAAGCACAGAGTTAGAGCTTAATTTCTCACTGTTTAGCACTCACGATCGTGCCAATCGCGCGCAGCCAAATTGCAGCTACTCATTCTCACACGTCTGCCATGCCATGATCCTCCAGACACTGTCTCACTAAGCTGAATATATGAGTGATGTTGTGCATTGTGGGGCAGACGAATTAATGCGAATGCAAACTGTTTGTCTCTACTGCAGTATGGCAACTACTGCTAAGCAGTCCTCATCAGTGCGGAGTCCATCAGCAGCAACAGCGACAGAGGGCCAGGAGGACATAGCGACAATTGCGAAGCAGATCTCAGATCATGCGGAGGCGATCTATCAGACGTGGAAGGCTCGCGGTCTGGCCCCAACGGAGATATTGAATTGTCACACGGGCGGTGACGCGTTTGGGAAGACGCTCACACCAGCATCATCATCGTGTCAGCGTCAGGGGAGGGATTCACAGTCGCCGGTGGCCGAATTGTTGGCACAAGCGCCGGACATGTCGAACAATAATTTAGAGAAGTTGGTCAATTCGTTTGTCAGTGAGGACAAGGCGCGAATAGCGGCCGCACGTAAATCATCATCACCATCCCCAATAGCTGGTATTGGCTCGATAAAGCACACATTGCAGAAATTCGAGAGTAACAGTGGCAGCAACAGCGTGGTGAGGCCAAAATTCGCGCGCACGCCGAGTCCACAGCCGAGTGGTGGTGTAAATGCCCTGAATAAGAATGTACCAGATGTGCTGATAGATACAATTGAGCCGAATCTCGCGAAGCGCGAACGTGAACCCAGTCCGCAGAAGCCACAGACACCAGCTAAGCCCGCCAATTTGATCAATCACGTCCCCTCGTGGCCGCTGAAGAATCGCGTGGTGGTGGGAAAAAGTGGCAATTCGGGCCAGGTGAATCGCGTGGAGGATGACACACCAGCGTCCACGGCGGTGGCGCTGGTGAGGAAGCAGCAGCAAGAGAGGCAGGAGAAGCAGGACAAGGAGGCGAAGAAGAAGACGGCCGACCTCATGGATGAGGTGACGCGCGAGGAGGAGCGCCTCATCAATGCCCTCAAGACTGGCACGGTGCTGAACAGTGAAAAGAGTCTTCCTGAGGTCATCACGTCCACTCTCAGTCCGGACGTGACGGACGGCCAGCAACAATCTGGGGAGTTGCCACAGTGGAACAACTCCGATCTGTCCGGACATCCACCCATCGATGCCTCTCATGCCAAAGTGTGGAATAATACAGCAGCGGCGGCCAAGCCAGTGATTCCGCATCTTAACAATAACAACAATGTGATTGGGAAGGACAAGGAGGACACTCCAGCGCCCGTGGTGAAGGTGTTCAAGCCGCGGACGCTGCGCACCACAGAGGCGGCTGTGCTGCCGCACCACTTCCCGGAGCCGCCAGTGCCGAAGAAAAAGGAGCTGAATCCCATCAGGCCCTTTCTCACGCGCGGGTCCGTGGCTGAGCGTGTGCTGATCTTCGAGCGGTGTCCATCGAAGGCGCCACCGAGGAATGCTCCCAAGGAGCCATCGAAGCTTCAGGTGAGTCTGCCAATGAACACACCTACGCGATTGTGGCGATCTTGTGGGCGATCGTCGCATGGTGGGCATCAAATGACTGTCGCGCAGCTCCATTGAGTCGCGCGGGGCTTCTTGGCCATTGAATGCAGAGGAGACAAATTGCTAGAGTGCTCAATTCCCATGATCGGTTTCTTAATGTCGCATTGTCACGATCACGATTGTTTTCTCAATCGCGCGCGCACGGCTCTAAAATTAATAAATTGGACGGGGGGTTGAGTGGGTGGGTGGGGAGGTGAGAGCTTGCAAATTGGGAGCAAGTGCAATTTTCTATTCTTGCAACTCTGATGGAATTTCGATTGAACTGTGGGGGACGAGATTTTTCACTCATTGTTCATCCTCTGTCGCGCTTTTGACAGTGCCAAGTATTGGACTTTGATATGAGAGTCCTTGACACTCAAGTCTCTGTATTGCCGTTCTTTCCTTCAATTGCCTCATGCGAACATCTCAATCGACGTTGATCTTAATTGGCTAATGACGTTGATCTCTGAGCCTCACCTTAATCTTCCGTGTGATCACCGCAATTTATGGCTTGCCGGTGAAGACATGCGAAAAGGCCCAAGAAGAGATCCGCAATTGGCGCATTGTTGCCAGAAATGGGAAAGCTCTTGACGCTCTTTTTTGCCACATTCTTCCCTCAGAGTTGATGATCATGATTGGGTGAGATCAGTGAAATTGAATTTTCTCTAATTATTTCCATATTGATTGCAAATGTGAAATTTCACCTCTGAAAAATTGATCATCATCTCTTAAAGAAAAAGAAAACAAGAGGAGAGGCAAAAAAATCTCATGGCAATTTTATAACTAACCGCAAGATAAAGTGCAGTCGATAAGAAGAAGAGTGAGAGAAGAGAAAATGCTGGGAAAATGGAATGAAAGTCAAGAGTTAAGTAATTATCAAATAAATTAACCCTTTAATTGTGACCACATAAAACGATGACATGAGTCAAATTATATTGTCAAGATAGTGTTCTCAACTCATACTTCCATCTATGGAGTGTGAGTGAGGCTCTCGAAGTAAGACAGAAGAGAGAAGATTGTCTTGTAGTCATCATTTGATACTTGTAAGTACAAATTAATTGGGAAAAAAAGAACAACATTGCTTCATCTCTGTCGATTAGAGGCATTTTCACACGAATTAGAGATTCTGAACGGCATACTGACGAAGATGTTTGTTGTTAGAGATGAACATGATTGTTGAATTAAGACACACGGCATGTTGATGAGGAGATGCGCGAGGCGGGCAAAATTGCGCTTGATGCTGTGAGAAATTGGGACAGTGGTTTTGCTTCTCCTATAATTACGTGTCTTGCCCTTCAGATTGTCATGCAGTGTGACAAAAAAGTCCACTAAATCGTGATAAATTGGAGATAAAAGAGAGTTTAGGAGGTTCAAAGGCGAACAAGAAATGATTTCACAGCTTGTGTGTGTGGGGAAAATTACATTGGAAAGTCGACAGAAGGCTCAAGAGGTTGATGGTTAGATGAGATTCTTTCTGCTTTTTTGCCAATAAAGTTATGTTTCGGCTGTGTGAATATACAATATCTGTGCCTATATAGAGACATATTGGCTACATATGTATGGATATATGAATAGGAAATGAAGGGAAATAAATTGTATTAGAGGGAACAACTTCTTCAAAAGCGCGAAAGTGAAAATTTATTTACCAAAAATACTCTCTTCTTTGATAAAGTACCTTTTTCCCTTTATCGCTTTATGTCTCCCTAGCATTTTATTGTCGTGCGCGCGTTTTGTGAAAGAAGAAAAATCTCTCTTTTTGGGCGTGATATTGCTGGCGTGATTGTGTGTAAGTGTATGTGTGTGTGTGTTTGTGGTTAATGAAAAACGAAAGGGAAATGGACTCTCGTGCACGTTAATTCTAATTATGCTAATTGATGACATCTCTTGGATGTAAGACAAGCTCATGAGCACAAAGCTATCGTTTGAGGCTCGCACCCACGCAAGTTGAGCATTTAATTGTCCATAGCCTCGGGTTGTCTTTCGTGGTCTGGGCGGCATGAAAGGCCCACAAATTGAGATCATGCGGAGTGTGGAATCCCTCTATATGGGGTGTGTAATGAAAAATGATGGGCTCCTTTCAGTCACAGCCGCATTGGGTGATTGAAAAGACCTGCCAATGGCATTGGGATTTGGAATGCTCGCATGGGGTTTGAGGGAAGGAAGCTCGCAGAGTGTTTGAGAATCTCTAAACAACGGAATTAATTTTCATTCCATTACAACTCTCCTAATCCGCTTTCCTCTCTTTGGCTCACAGTGAATTATCCGAACTTTTGCTACCTTTGATCGTGTTTTGTAGAGGAAATTGTAATTAATACTGTTGTACTTTTCCTGTCTGCATTCCTCTGTGTGATTTTTTTTCTCTGTCTTCCCGGCATTTCCCTTCGATTGCATTCGATGGAATGCCAGCGTGTTAAACAGTTGCTGAGGAGACGCTAAAGTGGGACTTTAAAGTTCATTAGACGCATTCACACCCATATTCTCACTATGGATTGCATCGTGAAAATGGGATGGAGAGAAAGAGATTTAATTGATTTTTTCTGGTGTATCCGTTGAGCCTCGAGAGCGCTGATGAAAGCCACTTCGACTATGGATATTGCAGCTTAGAGATTACTTCTATTTCTGTGACGCCCTTTCGAAATGATTCTGCTGAGGATTTGATATGGTTGCAAAACAATGATTTCCCCAATAGAATTTCGCCTTTTGTTGTCGTACGTGTAGAGGAAAAAAGCGAGTATAGAAGCCACAATTCAATTAATGGGGAGATTTATTGTGACTTGCAGAAGAAATCACACGAAAGTCGACATTGGGCGGAAGGGAAATCACAGTCGCACTGCCTACACGATTTTCTGCAAGAGTGCAAGATTATCTCTCATCCCAATTCGGTTCATACACAAACATGCTCTGTCGTTAAGTAATGATCACAAGTCACAGTCATATAATAAAGTTTATTGACTCATTTTCTCCTCCTTGCATTGGTGTTGTCAAATGGTTTTTTGTCCTCTCTTGATCTGCAATTAAATCACTCCTTTGGTTTCTCTTGGCACAGTGTCAAGTCTTCCCATGTGACTCTGTGTGAAATGCTCTCGATTCTCCCTTGGACAAAAGGTCACACGAGTAGAAGAGAGATTAAAATACGGGGTGGAATGACTCTAGAGACTCTTCTGATATGGTTTATGAAAATTACGTTGGATATGTGAATTTCATAAATTGCGAATTTCATTTATATTTCAGTGGGTAATATTTGCCAAGCAGTGTGTATGTGTGTGTGTGTAAATTGTCAATTTTAAATTGCATCTCCTCTGGCTGAAGATGCTTTATTGCCTGAGATGTGGGAGGTAATGAAATTGTGGCAGGGTGTTTAATACTCTTGTGGGCCATTTTTTCCCCCAAAAACTTGTTGATTTTCTCGGTGTGGAATTTGCTCAATGATTGAATTTCTTCAGCGTATTTGCGGAATATATATTAGGATGGGGTTAGTGGAGAAGAGCCGAAAATTTATGCCTGTCACCCTGTGTCATTGAGAAGATATTGGCAAATTGAATGAAATTTTTCAATCCCACGCGCCTGAAATTGAAATCCTGAGTCTTTCTGGTATTGTCACTTCTTTTTTCCATAAGCGCACACGGTTTGTCTGTTGACAAACGGACTTTTTGTGTGGCAGTGTCGCATGAAAAGGCGCCTGAAAGTGAATTAAATGTGGGAATATCTCTGTGACATTCAATACAGTGAATTTTTTTTCTCCCATTTCTCACTCGGCTGCAAATCTCCGAACAGTCAGGAAGTCTGAGGCTTTGCGATTGTGGGTGTTGTCCAATGTGAAATATTATCCCATATTTTATTCACGAGATCACGAAAAGTCCAATCTCCGGATGGTCACAGACGTGTGACAGCGCGCGGAGTGTTTCAAGAAGCACACCGTTTGATAGCCTTTTGGGTGAGAAGTGGTCGAGAGAATGAATGATGTAAGAGTCTGTGTCTTTTTTGCCAGACTCATCTTCGAGGCATTGCTAATGAATTCATTATTCAAATTGAAAAGAGAAGAAAAAAAATGAAATCCCGTGTGTATTTTGGCTGGCGAAAAATTTACATGATTGAACATCAAGATGCGAGAATAAGGAAATATTTTGCCATCTAATATCCCACGGCGATTGTCTTGTGGTCGCGACGGAAATTTATATCGGTTGGTGGGTGAGGAGGAACAATTGAGAGTCAAGTTGCGATCTTTTGATCTCTTTGGCCAATTTGATTGTCATTTTGGCAAATGATTGATGCCAAATTGATATTTTTTTTCCTCCTTTTACTTCTGCTCTTCAGCTCGTCTTGTGAAGAACGCTGAGCACAAGAAATTTCACGCATAACTAAATTGATATGTGTTGTTTTCCACCTCTTGTCTTCATATTAATTGCCTTGAAACATGAAATTGGAGTGTGTGTAAATGTGTGTAGAGTTGATAATGTTCACATGGGGAGGGTAAGAAGGAGAGTGATTGTGACGCAAAAGAGTGACTGTTGATGAATTTGGCTGGTGGTGTTCGCTCGACCGTGCAGAAAAAATGCAAAAGGCAGTGAATTACAGACGAGAATTGCTGATGAGATCTCTTGGCCGTGACCCATTTCCACAGATATGGAGTGAACAGGTTTTTCCTTCTTCACCGGGCCTTCTGAAGCCCAGCGACCATGCAGAGAGAACAGCGGAGAGTGAGAAATGATGGCAAAAGCGAGGCGATAAAAGAAGTTTAGAGTGTTGACTTTCAAGTCGATACATCTCATTTGATATCCATGCCCATTAAAGGGTTAATTAATCGGGAAAATTGACAATAAATCCCCTCTTTTTCCATCACAGCTGAGAATATATTTTATTGGTCATGAAAATGAGTGGGATTTGTGACCTTTTCTTCCACTCCAGTTGATTAACATGGATTCTGTGCGCGAAAAATCGCTCTTTTCTCTGGTCTAGAGCCAAAGGGCGAGAGAAAATCTCTTTGATGGGAAGCCTTGAATATGTTTTTATGTGGGGTAGAAGGAAAAGAGAGAGAGAGATTTGACTCTTCTGGTATTTCGAGTGAGTGAGACAAATTGGAATTATGTGGAGAGCATGGGAAAATATATTTCATATCTCATAAGAAGATTGTGTGGGTGAAAAATCTTGTTATTTATTGCAATAAATTCAGAACCTCAAATCTTATAGGCTAAAGACATGTGCTTTACAGATGAATATAGTCGATATGTCAATTCATGATACTTCATTGTTGTCTCTCTTTTTCTGTCTTGCAGTCAAAAGCAGCACTCCCAAAACCGCAACAGACACACACAACCCTTCAGAGGCATATCAAAGGATCCGTTCGGAGTGTTTATATTCCAAGGTGAGAGAGAAAATGCTAGCAAAGTGCTGTGAAAATTCTTCTGCAGATGGACGAACGTTGAAAGAGTGGCAAAATGTCACGTGAAAATGGATTTATTCACTTCCACAGTCGGTTGATTTTCTATATATACAAAAAATAGCAGAATTTCCTTGTGAATGCTTGGGAAAATGTAGAGGAAATTAAGTTTTTGACCTTTTCACCTCCTGTATGGCAGTAAAAGATCACAAAAGACATGGAGTTTAGAGTAGAAAATTCTATGATTCATCATTAAATTTTATTATTCACTTGCTCGTGCGGAAAAAGAGGGCATTTTTCTTGACGTTCGCCCTTGAAGGTGTACGAGAAAGTCAGCAAATTTGATGTTATATGCCAATTGCTCATTGAATATTCCGTGTCTGTAGTCTATATAGGTGAAAATATTGCTACTCCAATTTATATTCATAATTCATCATCTGGATAATGGAGGGTTTCGATATTATATTTCGCCTTGTGCGTCTTCCCGTCAGTGTTCAAGGGGATCATTAATTAGCCTAAAATGTGATGTATTTTAATTTATATTCACACACTAAAACTATTTTATCACTTGCAGATTCCACTTTCCGAATGGAAAACCACCACCTCAGATCAGTGTCGAGACGACAATGCAGCGCATTCAGGCGACAGTGCATCTATTTCCCAATTCACAGATCCATCGTGATGAATTCCACCAGATTGTGGCAGTTTGTGGCTTTCCTGTTTACTGGCGAGCGCCACTCTTCAACTGCACACAACATACGCCGAGCGGCTGTGTCGATGGCTATAAATTTATGGATTTCTGGAAGCAGTGAGTGTCTCTCATCGATTATAACTTGCCAAATTGTGATGTTCTCTGTGCTTTGCAGCATGTCGCTGAGTTGTCACGACTCCACGTCCAGATTTGTGTACATCCTGTCGAAGGGAAATCGCTCGAGGCAGTACATCTTGCCGGAGGATTTGGCTCCGCTGGTGCAGGACGTCGTGGAGACACATCCGGGTCTGGCATTCCTCAAGGAGGCCGCGGAGTTTCACTCTCGCTACGTGCACACAGTGATCGCGAGGATTTTCTACAGTGTGAACAGAAGCTGGTCGGGCAGGATAACAGTGTCTGAACTGAGGCGGAGCAATTTGCTGCAGGTGATTCAGCTGCTGGAGGAGGAGGAGGACATCAATCAGATCATGGCGTACTTCAGCTATGAGCATTTCTATGTGATCTACTGTAAATTCTGGGAACTCGATCGTGATCATGATTTGCTCATTGATCAAAATGATTTGGCACGACACAACGATCACGCGCTGTCGCTCAGAATGATTGAGCGCATCTTCTCGGGCTGTGTCACGCGCGGCGGCATCAAGAATCGCAATGTGGGCCCCAATGGGCCACGGATCACGTACACGGACTTCGTGTGGTTCCTGCTGTCCGAGGAGGACAAGTCCAATCCCACGGCCATTGAGTACTGGTTCAGGTGTATGGATCTCGATGGGGATGGCATTCTGTCCATGTACGAGCTGGAGTACTTCTACGAAGAGCAACAGCAGCGAATGGAGTCGATTGGAATTGAGACGCTGCCCTTTGAAGACTGCATTTGTCAGGTGAGATTTTCTCACTTTGTTCTGCCCTCTGTACGTGCTTAGTGTGGCTTTTCCTCCGCAGATGCTGGATATGATAAAGCCAGTTCGTCCGGGATGCATAACATTGGGCGATCTGAAGAAGTGCAAGATGACTCCGATCTTCTTCGATACGTTCTTCAATCTCGAGAAGTACCTTGAACACGAACAGAGAGATCCATTTGCCACTTCTCGCGATAATGACGATGTAAGAAGCCTTTGAGTGTTTTATTAGCACTAGAATTACTCATGCTTTGCCTCTCTTCTGGCCAGATGTCCGACTGGGATCGCTATGCGGCTCAGGAGTATGAGTTGTTGGTCGCTGAGGAAGGTGGTGGAGACACACAAGGGTGAGTAATTTCTTTTTGGCAAGTTGAGCAAGCGAGCAATTTTATGATGTTTCCCACTTCCCCCACAAAATACGCCCAAAAGTGAGCTGTACAATTCACCCTTTGCCTCGTTTGTTTCACTTTGTCATTCACTCTCTCTTCCCCCGCCCACAAGTGAGTCAGAGGAAGACAAATTATGTCCTTGATAAGAGAGTGTTTTAATCATTTTGTATGTTTTGGTACTTTTATCCCCCCTGGAACATGTGCATTTTTTGCCTTTGTTTTGTTGCCAATAATTGACATTATTTTTTTGTATTTTTCCATTTTCGTTTTTCACTTTAGATTGTGGATCCAACAGATCAACACAAACCTTTGTTTCCTTTAGAAATGAATCCAAACACACGATATTTACTTGTGTTGTGAACAAATTTGTATGACAGAAAAGAGATTGATAGGATTCATCATCCTTCTGTGATTCCTTCTATGTTGTACGTTTAAGTTGTGTACAGAAGGATTTTTGGTTGTCTTTCATTTGATATATTTTTTTTTCTTATTATTCTTTTGATCTCTAACAGAGTACATTTCAATCAGTTCTGATCTCCGAGATAAAATACACTTTTCTTATTTGGGTACAGTATATAAAATAATCGAGAGTAAAGAAAAGAATAATTGTATTTCTCTTTTTTTGAGTCAGCTCAAGTCGCATATTTACAAGACAAAGAGAGTTCATTTGCAATTCTATCTTCAGACACTAAACGGATTTATATTGTTTTCATTTTCATTTTTTTATTTTATAAAACAAATATTGGTGAAGGGAGGATCTTTGTGGTTTCGAAAGGGTAAGCAAATTTGCCATTTGCATGAGGAATTTGCATTTTTATTTTGAGTTTGATTTTCTTTCTCACTTTCATGTATATGTTTTTAGTCATTTCTCTTCTTCTCTTTGATTTGCGCTCAGCCATAAAAGTGCATTTCTTACATTATTACTATATTTCTCACGTCATGCGATGTCCGTAAGCAAGATATTGAGTTTGAGAGGAGGTCACTAAAATTCTACATGATGCGATATCAGAGCTACTAAAGCGCACCTTAATTGGCTTTTTATTTGTCCGCTGATGGAGAGCACACAATAAAAGATTGGTGTTGTGGCGCAAAAGGTGGTAAAATGAATTGACAATATCATGCATTTTGTCTGCATTTGCTGTCTGTATCTCTCTATCTTTCTCTTCAAAATGCCGTCAAGAGCCGAAACATACTTAATGCCTTCAGTGCGTCTTCATTCGCTAACGATTCATTCATTGGAGAAGACAGAGTTTTAATCCAGAAAGTGTATCATTTATCATCATGTATAGATAGAGAATATATTCTTGAAAAGTAAAATTATGTGGTATCTAATGTGATATCTACATGTATAACATATTGATTCTGTGAGAAATTCAGAATAGAATGCTTTAAAAATACCTTTGGTCTTTATAGCAGTTTAAAGTTGGATAGTTTTTCCTTCGAAGTTCTTGAAAGCATAAAATACATTTTTGATATTTCTCATGAAATCAAATATTTCATGTGTAGATATGACTTTACCTCGTATTCTTCCCTGTGAATTAATCATTTCCTCTATTTTCTCTGTGTTTTTGCAGCTCGTACGATGAAGAAGATGAATATGAATCAAATATTGACATCTTGGAGTCCCAACTTGAAGACTGCATGAGCAACATGATCAATGAATGGTAGTAAGTCGTCATGAGAAATGTGCTGTAGTGTCTTTGGCGTGATCTTCAAATTTTGCAAATAAGTTTTAGTAGTGGAAGAGAGATGATATTCTTGTATATTGAGAATATGAAATGCATTTAGTTATATGAATGCTTCTCCACTTATAATAAATATTTCATATGTAGAAAGAGTGCAGAAAGTAAGAGAAGTGAAAAGAGAAGTCAGTGCGAAACTGTTGAAGAGAGATAAAATTAATAATTTGGTATAATTCGAATTTAATGATAGTGCGGAAAATTTAAGTTGTAATATTAGGCATTACGCATGACGAAGAACAAAATAGTGAATACATATATATTTTAGTGTGTGTGATAAAAGATATTTTGCAACAATAATAACTTGATAAACTCCATGATATGAAAAGAGAAATTGTCTCGGAGAAGTTAGTTTTGAGAGCTCATTTTATCAAATTTTGAAAACGCAGTCGAGAAGAACCAAAATGCCTGGTGCTAAGTTTGTTTTTTCGAATATGAGTCTCTTTTCATTTCTTACCATCAATGCGAACAATATCAAGAGCTTTAATCTGGTAGAAAGCAAAAATACGAATTGAGCTCAATTTATGTATGTTTAGGGCCTCTTAACATCTTCTATTGTAATATATTTTCATCCAAAATTCGGTTTATCTTTAGTACACGTGAAGAAGAATGGAGAAAAGAGAAATTGTAAATTGAACGGACGTTTTTATATAGAAATTTTAGGCGATAACTTATGACACTTTGTGTAGGACGTTTAATTGTATACGTGAAAGTGTGGAATTAAATATTAGACCTTAAAGTTGCATAAGAGAATTGTATGGATTATGAAAAGCAGCATTGATAAAGTATTATCTTGATGATCCTTAAATTTTCCGTATATAGAAATTTTTACAATGAAAAAAAGTGGAAATAAAAATGAAATCACAAGTCTTCTGAGAACAAGAAAAGAGAAGTAATGAAATGAGCATTGTGGAGTCTGCTTGAGAATCTCTCTCTCTCTCTCTCTATCTCTCTTAACTGAAGTAGATAATTTTGTAAAGGAAAAACCAAACAATTTTAGAGAAAAAAAACATAAAATAGATTCAATAAGAACAAATACATAGTAATAGACGGAGAGGAAAATCAGTGAACTAAACTCAACAAACTACTTGAGAAAAAAGCACTAGGAGTGAACGTAGAGAAGTGTATATCAATTTTTATAAACTGCAGAAATTAGTGAAATATTTTTGGCATGAAAGAGAGACAGAGTTGAAGACAAACGTGGCGGAAGTCAGAGGGACATGAAATGGCAAGATGAGCGATAAGGAAGTTTACAAATACACCAAAACTAATTAACTCTAGTTATTTGCAACTATAATCTAGTCCTATTGTGCTAATAATAAATTATAGACCTCTTAAGAGAATAATTGCAAGAGCGAAAAACAGTAAAGGAAAATCCTATAGGCAAGAAATGTGCGGAAGAAGGAGTAAAATTAACATATAATCTTCGTAATTTTCATTTAATTTATTACTTGTGTTTCATTAAAAATTAAGGATAAAACCCATCCTTGACAATTTTGTGTGTAGAAGAGCTACAAAATATAACGTTAAAGTTATTGTTTTTATCTTATAACTCTTAATTTCATAAATTTATGTTTTCTTTTTCGTATAGAAAGGAAAGAAAGCGTACAACCATGAGCTTGAATCATCAATTTGTGCTATTTAAAGGATATATAATTTATATAATGAGAAATTTACGTATGACTTTGTCCGCCCCTTTTTTATTTGTGGGATGAACAGAGATGAAAGTGCGAAAGAGAGATAAATCTATTATTGCAAACTATACAGAGAATCTAATAATTAAATTATTAATGTTATAATTCATCTCTTCTTTTTAGTTAGGAGGAAAAACTGTTGAACAATTTTTGTAGAATGTATAAATTTATTTCCTATGTTAAAATCATACTCAAAGTGAAATGATTACCCAATATTTCTATGTGTGGGTGGCGAAAAAAGTGTCCCTCTTGAGACATTTTTACTTAAAGAAGGAGCAGAGACAAGAACACAAAGGTGGAATTTGTAATACTGATTAAATTTTGTGTTAAATGAGGAGACATAATAAAGAGGAACAAGAAAGTAAATTGAGTTGAAGATTTGTGCCCTTTTCATCGCTGCGCTCCTTCAGCGAGAAATGCGAGCTTCGCGTCTCTAATTTTCCCTCATTTTCTCTCTGTGTCCTTTCAAGGACCGTCTCTGGGTATTTGGGTAATTGGATAAGTTTGGTCGGGACGACAAGACAAAAGGCGTCGACGAAGGCCTAAAAGTGAAACTCGCGCGATCGCCATGGCGATGTTCGAATAAACAGGCGCACGTCAGCGGGCTCATCCGGCCTTGTCTGTCCCGCGGGCCGTCCCTAACCTACCCGCCTGCGGTTGTGGAATCGATGGATCAAGGTTGAAGTTCAGGCCAGAGTGCGCGCGGAGAGTCGCAAGTGGGCAGAAGAGCTGCAGTGAATGTGTGATTCGAGAGTGGGCGGCAGGTGGATTGACCCCCAATTCGCGGAAATGACTGACTCCGTGACCGACTCTGTGGAGAGTGACGAGGAGTTTTTCATTGAGGTAAAGCACGGGAATCCACACATGAGCCACACACGTGTCCTTGGGTGACCTTCGCCCATCCCTCGAAAGAATCCTCCCCACCCCCGTGAAACTTTCACTGAAATGCACATTTTTGGCCTCTGGCCGGGGTGTGAGTATGTGGCTGTTGTGTGCCACCATTCGGGGGGCGAATTTTGACGCTATCCACTTTCCGGCCCGAGTCACGAGAGTCAGTTGCAGTGCTGCGAGCCATAAATTCGGATGCCGCGCTCAGAAATATTCCACCCTCTCCAGAGTACTAATTTCACGTCTTCTTCCTCTTTTGTGCGCCATGAACACTCCCAAATGGATTCCGAAGCACAATCAGGACACTGTGAAGCTTTTCGAGAACACCAGGCAGCTCGAGAGGGACTTCAAGGTGCTGTCCAAGAAGTTTGCCACGGACATCAATGTGGATCTTCCGGATTATTATGTAAGTGCAAGCATTGATTTCACATTTATATTCGCGCGGAGCTCTCAAAGTGGATTTAGTGCTGTGTGACAACATGGATTTGGGCCAAGTGGAATGCTAATACTTCTTGCCAACAGTGCTTCAGGCATAATTTTACATTTCCGCCGTGCATTTTTCTCCCAAACAGTCTTTCCGGTTGCTCACAAGTCACGTAGTTTGCATAAAGTCTTGACGGACCTCATAAGGAGTTAATAGAGTATAAAAGAAAATTGCAAACATGCAGAAATTCTAATTAAACAATCTATGAAGAGGGGTAAATTGTTTCGGTCAACTTAAATGCATTTCTGCTTTCATTAATCAAGCCAAATGTTTAATCCAGAAAACACTCAAGACAATTTTTTCCCTTAAATTTAATTCATTTCCATTTATTTGGGCGGGGTTCTTTTTTTTGCCGAGTGCCTCAAATTATTTAAAATATGTTCCCTAAATATTCTAACTCTAAAGTCGCTCTTATTGTATTATTGAATACAAAATTCATGAAGTTTATCAACCCATCGCGAATTTTAATGTAATTAATATGTTAAGATGATGAGAAATTAGCATAATTTTGCAAGTCATTTTAAGCCGGAGGCTTTCAAGAGTGATTTATGTCATGTATTTTGTATCGCAGGAAGCTTTCTCTGGCTTACTGAAAATGTGCCAAGATTTATGAGCACTTTGCAATCAATTCGCGGTAGTTTAAAAGTCATTAAGGGCGCACCTTGTGATTTTCTTGAGCATTATAAGGAGCTCCGCAAAAGTGCAGTGTGGTCGGAAATTAAGTTTCAATCACTTAGCGCCCAGGCGCATCCCTTGTCCTTGCCCTGAAGAGGCACGGCAAAGTGGGTCAGCGGGGATTGCATGCAAAACGCGAGTCCTCGACCGAGTTCAATGATATCAGCGCGAATTTTTGGGGGGTTTCTCTTCGGTAGGAATTCGAGGAGCTGCTCAACCAGTCGCGGCGCTGCTTTGACCTCAGCAGTCAGTATCAGATAAGATTACTGAGGCTCACCGCCACGTCGGCGGATAAGAACTTCGAGCGCAGTCCGTACAAGATTCTGCAATGCCGGAAGGCGACGATTGTGCGGGCGACGCTGAAGAGGCGCCACTTCCAGCTCATCTTCATCGTGCAGCACATGATCAGGCTGATGCTGGGCGAGTCACATCACACGGACGTGATCCTGGACGGGGCGCTGCTGCTGTGCACTCTGCACAACGACACCACTGAGCAACTGGCCCAGAGCGCCAAACAGAACGAGGGTGCGGCCGTGTGCAGCAACACCTTCGCCGGGCTCATGTCGCAGCCCAGGAAGATCGACATGGGCGCCATTCTGCAGACACTGTCCAAGCGACGCAGTGAGCAGTGCTGCCTCGCTCTCATCGGATGCCTCCTGGCCACTTGCCGCGTGGAGATGAGTGTGCCCAGCGCTGAGTCAGACACGTCGAGTGTGGAGATCCTGAGGGCGCTGACCAGCCACTTGCAGTCGCCTCTCGGTGGCGCCAATTCGCCGAGCAGGAGAGCCGCCACGATCCCGCCCAGCGACTCTGAGGATCCCTCGGGGAAGTTCTTCGACAATCTGGCTCTGGAGATGCAGCAGAGCCACGCACAGCTGGAGCCGGAGGGGAATCTGCTGCTGGAGAGGCTGATTGGCGATGAGGAGAACTTCCAGGCAAGCATTCTACTCAAGTGCCTCAAGCTCTGCCCTTCTGCATTTGGTAAGTGCCAATAGAATTCGAATTAAGCACATAATATTATCTCATTTTTACAATGATAACAAGTATTACATTACATGTAGGAAAATGCGCTTATGATGACGAAATCTGGCAAAGAAAAGAGGGGTTACTGTTTATCATCTTATTTAGAATATTTAAACATATGGAAATACATTTATTGCAGAATTGTGTACATGATTATACATATATGTTTTTGTGTAATACAGTAAATTTAATTGCATCCAACATGGTTCACTTGATTTTAGTCACTTTTGAGACTTTTAGAAAGCTTTTGCTCTATTTTTTTTTTATCATGTAAATGAATTACATCAAAGAATACAAAATTGTACAATAAGAAAATGCTGCTTTTAATATCTGCACAAACATAACTAAGTTTACATCAAACATTTCGAATGCTTTCAGCACGATAGGATTTTGCGTTTCTTGCATTAACATTAGCATAAATTTCTGATCTTTCAAATTCATTTCGTACCAATTTGTCATGTAAATTTGGCGAAAGATGCTCTCAGTTTTAGAGAAAATTATTTCACCGCAGAAACAAACTGCAGCAAGTTGATAGAGTATTCCTGGACAGGACATGAAGAAAATATATGCAGATCCGCCGTGTCCAAGGAGGAAAAATGTAGACAAGAATAGGATAAAACTGGATGTAATTTGAGCTATGATTGCGTAGTAGAAAATGTTGATAAACATTTGAATTTTCCCCACTGTTTCACGATAAAACAAATCAATGGAGATTAAGAATTGATTTAAGTTTCTATCACTTCTCAATCCCTCCAGCTCGAGTCTCTTGATCATGTCGTGAAGAATATTCAAAGCTGCAGATGAATAGAATACAGTTGATAAGAAGAGATAATCTGCGAAACTGACCTCGACAATAATGATTGTGAAAATAACGATCTCGTTAAGATAGAAAGCGTGTTTTAAGGCATGTTCTTCAAACTGAAGTCCAGGAATAGTTGCGAAAATTTCGCCGTAGAACATAAAATAGGCGGTGTTGGAATAAATTGCAATAGAGTAGATTGATATTAATATTCTGCAAAGTACATTGATTGGATTAGTCAATTTTATTTATACTCTATATTCAATGCTTGAATACCTGAGAAGTATTTGTGATACGGAAAAGGTCCATTTCAAGTGAACTTCAGCTGAAGCTGCGATCGATTCGTTTTCGTGAACCTTGTGCAATGTTCGAATCCACTCGAAGATGCTTTTGAGCTCTTTCTCTTGCAGAAGAAAGCAGAAAATCCTGACTGATAGCTGCAGACAAGCGATGAATGTACCTGCACTTAAGATCCGTTGCATATATCTTGCATTTGGGATGAAAAAGGCAGCGAAAGTTGATACACAAAAATAAAGACTAACAGCACAAGTCACAGATTTTGATACATTCAATGCTCTAAGGCCAAGCATTATGTTATGCTCAAAACTTAGGTACTCTTTGTAACAATCAATGAACTTAGGCATGTTCGATACTTGCGTCTTCAGTGTCAAAAGGAAACTTTGTAACTAATCCGACGTTTCGCCACTTTCCTTGAAGATTCCTTGAAAATTAATTATTGAAGAAAATGTATCTAGCTAATTGTTGCAAATTATGTTCCTATAATTAATCAATATTTGCATCCAATATTCATTGAAGAATAGGAGACACTTGCGTAATAGAGTATATTTCTTCGCATTTTCGCACTCAACTTGGTAGACTTCTCGGCGCCTTATGTCTTTCCATCCCTCTTCACGAATTTTCTATACTTTGTATTGAGCTGGGTGAAGCCCGCTCTATTTCAATAGATTAGAACTGGTCTCAAGACCTATCCTACGAATTATTACTTAAGTACCTAGATCGAGACCTAGATCCTTCCAGACCTCAAATTTTAAGGACCAAATTTCAAAACCCTAAACGAAACATTCTCAAATTCTCCGAATTGAAAGATAATCTCTAAATGTCTTGCAGACAAGCAATCTTCCAAGGAAGACATGGTGAAGTGGATCAACCGCGGCACGCGGAATCTCTGGACGCAAGTGGGCAGCACGCTGGAACACGTGGTTCTCTGGTGGAGCAGTGCTCCTCTTGCTTGTCAGCCGCCCAGCCATACGAAATACCTGCGCGACTGGTTGCTCATGATCCAGCCCGACGACGCCCCGGAGCCCATTCTGTCCACGCTGCGCGGCCTCGGCGAGACGCTGACCATGTACGTGACCACCACCACGTGGGACAGACAGTTCCGGCTGGCGCTCGTGTCCTCAATGCTGCCCATCGACTTCTCCTTCGACCACTGCCCCGAATTCCTGCCTCAGAACGCCATCGCGGTGGCCCAGCGCACAGCGGGCAGCGTGGCTGGGAGTCTCTGGTGCGATGTGCTCTCCACACTGACCACTTTCAGCAACAGCTGCGACCAGGGCACGATTCCCAACGAACTGCCGCTGGTAGAGCAAATCCCCATCCTGCACAGGCTGGATCACTCCATCCACTCGATGCGTCTCTGGGCGGCCGAGAAGGCCAAGGCGTTGTGCGCCGACTGGAATATGAAGATGTTCTTCCGCGTGGTACACCGAGACGTCGGCTCCTGTCTGGAGCATCTCAGGGATCTCAGGGTGCCACAGCTCGTGCCGCCCGATCCGCTCGAAGTGCACATCCAAGTGTGCGTGTCACTGCGCGCCAAACTCGTGTCCGAGATCAAGATTAACATTGAGAAGCTGAAACAAACGGCCGCGCAGTGCATCGTCGTGCTCTCTTCCGTGTGCTCCACGACGAGTCTGGCCACGCTGAGTCTCTGCTTCCCGCCAGTGAAGTTCTGGCAGACGGATGTGCTGCTGGAGAAGGCCAGCGAGTACGTGTCGTCATTCCTGGGTGAGTCTCTTTATCTCTCTTCTAGTCATTGAAGTCTCTTTCCTGACTACTCCTCTTGGTCCCGTTCTCGAAGACCAAATCTACCTGCCCATCGTGGAGGCGACCAAGGACATGGAGATCCTGGGCCTCACGCTCAAGATCATCTGCGAGGCGTGGCTGGATCACATCTACACGCGGCGCGTCAAGTTCAGCCGGTGCGGCGCCCTGAATCTACTCAAGGACTTCGACGGCGTGGCGGAGTGGATCAGGGCGTCCACGGCGGTGCCGGTGGAGCACGTGGAGGCGCTGGCGAAACACGAGGTGTTGAGGATGTGCGAGGGCGTGGGGCGAATTTTGCTGCGGAAGCCCGAGGAGGTGATCTCCATGCTCCCGGGGCCGCAATACCTCCGGCCGGATCCCGAGGAGATGGACGAGAAGCCTCCTCTGCCGCCAGAGATGTTCGTGCCCAATCAGATTCGCTGGCTGGAGCTTCGCGCGAAGAATCGCCGCACCCTCAACTACTTCCTCTGCATCTGCTCAGGTGGCGAGAGTTACTAAAGACCCCTTTGGCTTCGTCTCACAAGATCGCCTTTATTCAATTTCTCTCTCCCTCTTAAAGCTACGAGACAAAAAAAATAGGATCAATAAAAAGATCATTCGCAGCGACGGCGGGGCGTGCGCCGCACGAGATCTCCGGAAGGTGAGAGAGTGTGCTCCTTTGCTTCATTAAAGTCTAAAAACGGCTACAGTAAAATTCCTACGACTTCCTGGCTCTACATATACATCATTTATACAGATTAACAAAACAGGTACATCGACACACGATCTCTCCCTCGCCTCCGCGGCGTCTCTGCGGGCGGAGGAAAAGCCCCCTCGCGGCCGCCCTTCCGTCGTCCACGAGTGAGAAGATCGCCGAAAGATTATTCAGTCTCTTTCGCCTCCTCCCCCTCCCTGCCCCGCCCCGGAGATACTAGTAGTTTTAGGAGTCATCAGCGTGTCGCGGCACAAACACATTGCGCTGTGAGTGATGATTGGTTCTGGCCAATTCCTTGCGGAAGTACTCGATCGTCTTCTCGAGGCCCAACTTCAGCGGGACCTGAAAAATGCCCATCAGTCACCCGAGAATCAATCGAAAAGAGGCTCGACAACTCACTCTGGGTTCCCAGTTGAGGTACTTCTTGGCCCTGGTGATGTCAGGCTTCCGGCGCTGCGGATCGTCCTCCACGGCTGCCATCTGCTTGATCACACTCTTCCCACCCACGAGATCGTGAATAATCTCCGCAAACTCCTCTATCGTGTGCTCCACCGGATTCCCAATGTTCACTGGCTGACTGTAGTTTGAGTGCATCAGTGCCACCAGGCCATCCACGAGGTCCGTGACGTACTGAAAGGACCTCGTCTGCTTCCCATTCCCGTAGATCTGCAAAGAGGTGCAAGTAAGTGAGAAGGTCCCTGAGCTCCGCCCATTCGGATTCCACGCCCACTAGAATATTTCTCATATGAAAGTATCTGGTTAAACTTTGCAAAGAAAGTGCTTTTTATTAAGTAGCACAATAAATATATAGATGAAACTGTTTCTGCTTTTACTACGTTACGATCTGTTTCTCATTTCCTTTGTTTTACGGTGTTAAAACGGTTAAAACATTTTAAATATTCTTAGAAATATCTGAATTGGTATAAAGAATTAATGAATGTCCAGAAACTCACTGTAATTGACTCGTTCTGCAGCGCCTGGAGAATAAAATTGGACACCACACGGCCGTCGTTCATGTGCATCCGTGGACCGTAGGTGTTGAAGATCCTGGCCACGCGCACCTTCACGTTCTCCTGCTTGGCGTACGCGTAGCTCAGCGTCTCCGAGACGCGCTTGCCCTCGTCATAGCACGCGCGCGGCCCGATGGGATTCACGTGGCCCCAGTAAGTCTCCGGCTGCGGATGCACGTCCGGATCGCCGTAAACCTCGGACGTGCTGGCGATCAGCACTTTGGCACCGACACGCTTCGCCAAGCCCAACACATTTATGGTTCCTGCGGAAGATTGAGTCGTTTCAGTGTGTATCTCACGAGTGCGTAACAACGCCGACGGTCTGATAAGGAAGTATTGTGAAAGTGAGGCGACAAATTGCTTGTAAATCAAACTGAATCTCACGCTGTGATTCTTTATCAGTGGAGGAATGTCGTTAGTCCACTTCGGGACTTGTTTCACTGTTCAACCCTGTGTTGAGTAGGTAAATTGGCTTTCTTGGACTACTGTCAGCGCGCAGATAAGATAATGGGTGATGGAACTGACGAAATGTTTACCGCACATGTTGGTGAATTTGGGCCAGGAGACTCCCGGACACTCACCCATCGTGTTGGTCTTAATGGTCTTCACGGGATTGTACATGTAGTGAGGCGGCGAGGCGGGACTGGCGAGATGATAAATCTCGTCCACTTCGATAAACAGCGGATTCACGATGTCATGGTGGATGAGCTCGAAGTTCTCGTGACCGAACCAGTGCTCCACGTTCCGCTTGCGCCCGGTGAAGAAATTGTCCACCACGATCACCTCGTGCCCCTCCATCATGAGCAGATCCACCAGATGCGACCCCACGAAGCCCGCGCCGCCAGTTACGAGGATTCGCCGGCGATTCTTGTAGTTCAGATACTTCACGTCCGGATATTTGATGGGGATGCGCGTCTCCAGATCGAGGATCTTTCGCTCCAGCTGCGCCACACGCCGTCTCGTGGCCTCCAGCTGGCGCGTCAGTGAATCCGCTGTCTCCTGGGCGTGCGGCTCCGACAGAACCTCCACCACAGCATCCCCCGGCGTGGCGCTACCCTTCTTCACACTCACAGTGCTGGCCCACGACCTGTACAGGCCGACCACTGCAACGGAGCATGGATTAGAGGAATGTCCAGCTGCCCAGAGGGCAGTTTTGTTAGGTTAACCGAGAACTCACTCAGAATTATGATGATTCCTATGAGTAGACACTGTCTCATTTTGCGACGCGTTAATACCATGATTCTGCTCTTAACTCCACATATTTATCCAATTATACCTCTACTTTTCATGCCCAAATTTTCCATTTTGCGATTCTTCGTCTTTCTTCCAAAACACTCGCACCAATCGCAGAGCCTCTGACGTTGCGCGGCACTTTCAGAACTCCGCGGTTATTGCAAGTCATCGTGGTCTCGCAGATTGGAAATCTTATCACTTAATTGGTTTAAGATAGATAGATAGATTCACTAGTTTCGTGACAGATTCCATTGGTTTGGGATCATTTCTCATTTTTGCTAATATTTCTATTTTTTGAAAATCAATTCATGATTCTTAAAATAGAAAAACTTTTAAATTACCGGCATTGTCACGAATGTCAAGATTTATTTGAAAATACTTCAATGAAGTTTGCGTTGTTTGTCAGAAAAGCCTCGAGAAAAGCTGAAAGGTGAAGCTGGCCGAGAAAATCCCAGCGCTCAAGAGTTGAGACTGCATTACCTCAATGCCTTCTGCTTTAATTCCAGTATCTCTAGTGCGCGCGCGCGACTGTTCATAACCAAAAATAATTGAAAAATTTATTTTAAAAAATTCGCCGGTCGAAAAGACATTAGAATAAAATTAAAAAGATATCTTTATTCATTAGAGTTACAGAATTCATAATTATTACGCTTTATAATTCATCAAAGTGTTTTTTTTCTCCTTCTTTACTTAGAGGTACAGATTTTGTACAAATACATTTTTATGGATTTTCTTTCGGTTTTAAACTTTTTTTTAGAGGATTTTTTATCATAGTTTTTTATATTCTATTCATTCAGTGTATAATTATTTTCCTTTTATGGGTTTAATATACGTTAATGCAAAAGGTCAAAAGTCTCTATAGTCAATAAAAGTCGGGAGCTGAAGGGCGCGCGCGTAAAACTGTCTGCATTATCATGTCCAAGTCAAAAGTGCCCTCCTTGCGGATGGTATTTCACTATTTACACAAATTCAATATGAGATTAAAGTGTTCAGCGCACTGCTTCTCATCCCATCTCAACAATTTCTACTTTGTATTGCGCAAATATGATGAATAGGGTGATAGATTTTTGCAAGCATAATTCCTAATGTTAATCATTGCATTCTTCTTCTCCGCCTCTTTCTCTCGCCCTAATTACATTTCCCTTGTTTTCTGCACGGAAAATGAGTGTGTTATGAAAAGAACATTTTCTCTCGAGGCTGTAATATAAATAATAATTAAAATTTATCTAAATAATTCATTCGCCTTAGAAGAAGAGAAAGAATATCAAGCTATGTTCATCTGACGTGTTCCATTTCGAGTCCACCTAATCGCTGAGGGGCGCCGCGAGGCAGCCGAGCAGCGATTAGGTGGACTCGCAGCGTCGGAAAGAGAATACATTTAATAATAGTTTCATTGTGTCGAGAGTTCTTCTGCTCGTTTATTGTTAAATTTATTGTGTGAGTCAAAGAATTCTTGAGAGGAAATTCTCTCAAATGTTTTATTTTTCTCTTTTTTCCGCAATATTTTATCAAAAATAAGGTAAATTCGTGTTTTTTCGCTATTATCTTTTTTGCTTTTCTTTCCACTCTTGTTTTTTTTTCTTCTTCTTTACTTGTCTAAACTTACCACAGTTTATTAAATATTTCTTTTTATAGTCAGACTACTTCTTTTTTTTAAACTCTTGTAAAAGCAAATCTCTTTAAATAATTGTCCTTACAAATGTCTTCTTGCTTTTCTTCTTTACAAATAAACAGAAAAAATAGGCTTGAATACAATTATTTCCTCTTTGTTAAGTTTTCTTTCTCTCTTTACTCTTATTTGTATAATTCTTAGTCGAGACAAATTTATCAAGTACGAATAGGAAAAAAAAAAAGAATTGTATATAAACTTAAGAGCAGAAACAGCAACAAACTACAAAAACTATTCTTTACTTTTCACCTCGCTTGTGTTGGACTTACTAAATATTACAAATATCTCTTTAATTATATTAAACTCTCAATATTTTCATCAAATTTTCCCCTAACTTTTCTCACTCTGTGATTTTCTACGTGCTTTTCAGCTATGTTAGATTCTCCTCTTGATATTTTAATCTTCACACTCGCATTGAAAATGTTGAATCGCGCATTGAATTCGCACTTGCTTTCTTTTCTCTATCTCTTTTTCTTCACCTCTAAAACACTTTGCAAGAAAACTTTGAATTATTCTGTGTGGAGCTCGCAAAATCGCATCCTTTTCTCTCACTCTCTCTCCCTTTTATCGCATTTACAAATTCTCATTTATCTCTGTGTAGCAGTTTCTGTTGAAGTTTCATGTGATTATGCTGATATTTATTACCATTCAAACCTCTTCGGCTCTCACTGAATAACTTGTGTGGAAATTTATCGTGGCTGCGCATCGCAAAAAGAATCGCTTTCTCATATCATTTGGGGGATTAAATCTCACGCTCATCTACCATTAATTTATCTCTTATTACTGCGGTCACCTCAGCCGGAGAGACCGCTTGCATCTCTGCACCGTCGACCTAGTCGTCCTGCTTCTCCATCTTCTCCTCACGTGGACGCGCACTCCCGAAAATTGATGCCGCCTGTTTCGTCTCTGCCAAGGAGTTTATCGGCTCCTTCACCGTGCGCGGATTCAGCTTGAGCCGCGGCCTGCCATCGTCATCTACAATAGTTGTCAAATAAGAACACCTTTTAGCTTTCGTCTTCTCTCAAAAGCACCACCAAATTCATGTGCATCGTTCATCATTTGTGAATTTCACAACATTTTTTCATAACAATTTCATTTCTCTTGCCAAAGTTCTGATGCCCTAAGCTTGAGTTTTAGTGTCGACGATCGTTTTCTTCATTCTTTTCTATAGGGCAGAAAAGAAATGCCATTAATGGAATTCAATCAGAAGCGTTTTACATCCAAATGATTAGTAAAAATGCTTAAATTCGTCTTTATTTCATGTTAAAGAGCTGGAACTTCACATCAACAGTAACGTTGCAATACGATTTGATGTCTGAATTCCCAGTTTTACATTAACTAAGGAAATGCAATGCTTATCTTCTTTGCCAACATTTCTCCATTGCCCTTGTAAATGCCTTCATTCACAGAGTGATGCGACGAGTCATTGAAAACCGATCAGAGTTGAGAACTCAGCCGAGATTAGCTTCCGGAACGGAATGCAAACTCTTCGGCTAAGGGAAGGAAGTCATTAAGTGTGTACTCACTGATTGGCATGGGTTTCAAGTCTTCGTGCCGCTTCTCGAACTCGCGGTCATGGCCACTGGATCCGCCGCCACCGCCGCCGCCGTGACCGCGCCTGTAGTTTCCATACCGGTCATCTCGGCCTCCGCCGCCGCCGCCGCCGCCGCCGCCGCCGCCACCGAAGCCCCCGTCGCGCCCGCGCTCGCCATAACCGCGTCCACCCTCGCGATTCCAGTCGTCGCGGCCGCCTTCCTCAGAGAAGTTGCCGTACCGCCCGCGATTCGGCCCGCGATCTGCAACGGAGTCTAATTATAGCCTCGCAGCTTGGTTAAAAAGATTGCACAACGATTTCTGGCAGTGTGGACAAACTCACCGCTAAATTGGCGGCCACCCGGGCCGCCGCCGCCACCTCCGCCGCCGCGACGATCGAAGTCATTGCGGCCGCCAAAGCCTCCGTCATTGAATCCGCGCCCGCCATCTCGGCTGCCGCTCTTGAATCCTCCTCCGCCACCACCGCCGCCTCCGCCCCCGCCCCCGCCGCTCTGGCGCGGCGGACCGCGACCCTTGAAGCCGCCGCGGTCGAACTTCTTCTGCTCGGCGACATCGATCCGCAGCAACTGCGTGGAGTCCTCCAGCTGAATGCGCCCGTCCAGCTCTAGCGCCCGCTCGAGATTGTCCAGCGTCTCGAACTCCACATAGCAGAAGCCCTTGAAGTGGTCCGTCTCCTTGTCCTTCACCAGCCGCACATTCTTCACGTCGAAGTTCTGGAAGATCTTCGTCACGTCGCCCTGCACGAGTCCCTGCGGCAGGTTGCCCACAAAGGCGAGATACGGTGGCTCCGTGGGCAGGGGTTTCTTGCGATCCCCGTAGCCCCTGAAAAGAGAAAAGCCCCGTCAATGCGCCAATCTTATCGGCCACTTCCGGAGACGCTCAGCGGACAACGTGTCCGTCACGGTGCATCACATCACGCCCATTTGCGCACTCTCCGCCCTTCCGGGCACATCCCTGCCACGCTGCCCCCGCGGAGGTTGCTGTCCGGCAGCCACCCGCAGATGTACACACGTGGAAAAGGCGTGATTTTGGAGGATTTTGGCAAGGGGAAAATTACCTCTGATTATCATAGCCACCTCTACCGGCCATTGTGCCGAACTACACCTGCGTGCCCACTTCTAGTCTCTTTTCCACCCCTCAGCGTCCACCTGCACACAGTCTTTTACTTGCACACGTGAAGAAAAGTGTGACGCTTCACGAAAGCACACAATTTAGCCACAAAATCACACGCAAAACGTGAAAATAGAGCGAAATTTCACGGGACTTCCACACAAACGTCAATTCGCATCCCCCGCCTATAAAAGGCTGCCATGTTGTCGGCCAGTCGGCCAAATGGGCATTTTATGGCACATCGTCGATATTCCCCTAAATACCGGTACTTTTCTGGATCTCTTCATCACGAAATATTACTTACTGATTCATACGTCGATGATGTCTCACTAGTGGAAATAACTGTTAAAGTTTGCTCAGAATCCTGCAATAAAAAAATATTGTCGCGTGTATTTATTCTTGCCGATATATCGTTTGATGTAACGGTGAATCGGGAATATCGGCGGAACGGGAGAGTTGCCGAAGGAGTGGTAGCCCTGCGGTTTGTCAGTTTCATTTTTTCATGGTGTCTGCGAGCCGTTGTGTAGTGTTGTGAGTGAAAATTTGTGGAAATCCCGTGAAAAACCGCCTGGATTAGCAGAAATTTCACACGAGAGGTGAGTTGAGTGGTCAGAGGACTCTCGCAGTGTGCAAGGAGTGTGGAAAATTAATGGGAAATGTGTTAAAATCGAGTGGTAATGTGGAGACTGGAGGAGGCCTTGGAATTTGGAATGCGCCACGCTTGTAGTTGTGTCGCGTTGCCTGCCAAAGAGTGGTATTTTCACCCCAATCCAACTGCTTCGCCTGTCCAAAATCACCCCCCGGGGAGGCTCCACACCCTCAGCGACAGCTCCCCAGTGGAATTCAGGCGGAATTCGGCGAATTTGTGGGCAATCTGAGCGGATTTCTCCGCGTTGGACGGGAAGATTGCGAGTGTGTGCGTGGATTGAGTCACTTTCTGGACAAGAGCGCGATGGTGGGGCCCACTCGCCGTCGCGGCTCTTCATGGCACGATTCTCGCGGGCAGTTTTTGCCTCGCGCGCCACCCGGACGGAAGTCACATTGCGCGTCTCGCGGTTCCCAAAAGTGCATCCCTCGTGAGTGGTGCTTTCCATGCTCTCTTCTCGTGAGCGCAAGAGTGTCTCGCCTTGAGATTCTTCCATAAAGCCACAAACCACATCCAAGTGATCTTGTGCGGTGTGCAAAGAGAGAAAAGAGACTCTGTGAGAAAATGTGAGTCACTGATCAATGATTTTATGAATTAATTTCACTCCATGTCGGGCAGGAAGCTGATGGGCAGATTTCCTCTTACTCACATTCTCCGTCTTCAGCATTTTCCGGGCTTCTGACGCTCAATCCGCACACGTGAGCCAGAAAATGCACTCGACTGTCTCGCTCTGGCTGGAATAGTGACAAACTGGCGAGTGCATTTGTTTTATTATTTGTTTACTTTGTCACTTCCATAAGATTTTTGGTGTGCAAATAGATCAAATGCGAAATTTCACACATTCCTATTTACACTAACGAAACAATATAGTATTAAAGTTTTGACGAAAGTGTGCCAAAACTTCCGACAAGGCCTAAGTTTTTGTGCTTCACTTCAAATATGAATGGATTTGTCACATTCGGCATGTTTCTTAGCCCAAAGGATTAACAATCTTATTGGCTTCTGATCGGAACATTGATGACAGAGAGTCTCACATTGAACTAGAACGAACTTGTTATTCAAATCCGGAATAAAGATGCTCACAGAAAGTCTCTTTCTTTTTCCTGTTTCTCCCGATTTTCTTAATATGTTCACTTGATGCAGATGATAACAACAAATTTGCCGATTTGCTGATCATCGATTTATTTGATCAGCTAACTGATTATTAAAGTTTCCTACAAAGATGTGAAATGAAACACCAACAATCAAGTTGACTTCCAATGAATTGCTAAATCTATTCACTAATTGGTTAACAACTGACGAGTGAACTTTCTGAGAAAGAGATCTTGTGAGAAACTCAGTGAAAGACATTTTTTACATTTCATTTGGAGGGATTTTTCCAGATTATATTTCCTCTTGTGAGTGAGAATTGAGAATGTTTTGTCTCTGAGGGAGATTATTTTATCTATTTTTAGAGTATATTCCTCTTAAATCTCAAGTCTTTGCGAGCTCTTGTGGAATTTTTTTTAGGTTTGTCTCTCTTTCCCTCCAGTTTGTTGTTCTAAATATATCAAACAATTTCTGTGAATTTGATTGGCACCCGAATGATTGTGTGACTATTTTGGCAGGGAAATTGATTGACCCTCTTTCGCTATATCGATTGCACTGTGCAAATACTTTACTTTCCCTTAAATGGCTGCGCCTTTGGAATCTGTGCGATGAGGCATTGAATCTCTGCGTCCCTGACTTGCGAACAGGTGATGAAGGCAGTCCGAATTGCCGGGCAGAAAGGAAGAACGAGAGAGAGAGAGAGGCCATAAAGATGAGGCATTTTTGCACGCCAAAGATGAATGCGATGCACCTGTTTTCAGGCTCTCCGTGTCATTCATCGCCGTGCGGAGGCAAATGAGAGAGTTTTGTCGAGCGAAAGATTCTAAATCACCTCCCAAAAGTGGGAGGGTTTTTCATATTATATTTCCTCTCATAATTACAGCTCTTCTTCTCCCTTTTTTGCTCATGTTGAACGCACAACTTCTTGTGTGATGTCAATGCAGAATGAAATGTTGAATATATCTGAAAAGAGCACCTTTCTCCACTGCCTTCCGTTCGCATATTGAAGAGAGACTCATTTAAATCATTCTCCAATGGATGCAACATTTTGTTGCTCCCGTGAATGATGATTAGTGTCTCTCAACTGTGTCATTTCTTCTACAATCGCACCATCCAATCGCAACTGCCACTAATCAATTATTGCACGAGTCATTTCTCTGCATATTTCGCCAGTGAGTCACAGTTTAAAGTTCACTGAAGGGTTTGAAAACGTTGTCAATGGCTTGGAGTGTAAATAAAATGACGCCTGAGTGTGGAGGTAATTTTGAGAAATGGTCATAAATACGAAATTTACCTATTCTGAGTCTGCTGCCTCTCCAATAGCGACTCCATTGGCAGAAGTGAAATCACATTAGGTAGAGTTTACAACAGGAACGTGCTTTCAATTGGATTTTATGAGAACAAAATGCTCATTTAAAATTTATGGTAAAGAATACTCATTTGTAATGAACACACACTTTGAATGAAGTGCAAAAATGCAAATATTACGACTATTCATTCATTCAGTTGTCACTGTTTATAGTATTCTGAACATGTCAATTTACCATTTTTATATATTCATATCATATGAGCAGGTAAAGAACTGTCGTGTGTCAGAACCTTATTGGCCTCAAGAAGTCAAGTCTTGCTTAAGGTCTACTTGACTTGTTCCAGTGTAGAATGGCTGGTGCGCCTGCGACCTGCCTCTCTTGGGCGTTCAGTGAGTTGAATGAATGAGGAGGTTTGTGTATTTAAAATTCAATTGAACGCTTTTCAAACTAGATAAGACTGTGTGTGGAGAGAAAAAAATCATTGTCACTCTCTTTCCACATTCAACTTATGACTTCTCCATCTTTCCAACACACAGAATGCATTTTTTTTACACCACGCCGTGTCCCTTCATTATGAATATGGAGAAAAATATGATAAAATGCGAGAAAGTGGTCTTATTAGGAAGGTCTTTTGGCGTTAAGTGAGTTCAAAAACTGGCTAAAATTTGCTCCGCGCGGAGGTGAAAGATGAAAGAGAGTGAGAGGGAGAGAGAGAGCAAGAATGGTGATGGATGAAAAAAAGAGTCTTTTGCGGTAGAGTTAAAATTACACCGGAGAGATTATTCAATTTAGTATTTAGTGAAAATTGAGGGTACTTAGTGTATGTAGTTAAATTCTTTGAGACGCCTTTTTTTGCCTCACTTGGCACGATTTGCTGCGTGTCTCTGTGCGCAATATGTTGTGAGATGGAAAGATTTTGTATTCAGATGAGAAATTAACTGAAGCACACTCTCTTGAATTTGTACCTTTCCGGGTGTGATTCGGATGTGTGGATGTGATTCTCTGTTGTGTATGGGGCCTCTAATGAAGTTCTTTTTGCCAAAAAGAGGTCTGTTGATGATGGACTGCCAAAGGCACGGAGGGGAAAAAGTGTGTTTTGTGTATTTTTGCTAATTTGCAACGCTATTAATTCGCAATTTGATTATTTTTCGCCATATTCCACCTCTTTTTTTCCACTGACACACTACTTGATGCTCCTTTTCTTAGGCCTGCGGTCGAGATTTGCTCACACTGTGGCCACATATCTCTGATGATGATGGGTTTGTGTGGTGTGAATGGGAGTAAGAGGGAGACTTTGGTCAAGTAGAGTGGAGTGAAATTCGCGATTTGACCAGTTGGGTATTTCGTGTGAAGAAGAAGATGAGTGAAAGAGACGCTTTTGTCGAGAGATTTGAGTCAATTTGGTGCAAATTGCGTGAAAAATTGTGCGATTTCCCATATAATAGACACCTCTCTGCGGGTCTTCCTTGTCGTCTCAACACTTCCTTGGCTCTTTGTCGTGTCACCAGGTGTAAAATGAGATTAATTATCCAGCATGTTAGCTGTGTGATCTGTTTTTTTTCTCACATCACCATGTGAGCTTTACAATTCATCACGAATTATGTCACACATTGTAAATAGATTGTTAAAATAAAATCATTTGGATGTGGAATTGTAAATGCATAAGGGAATTCCGCTCTCGAGCAATGATTACATCTCTCTCTCTCGCTCTCTCTCAAATTCTCAAGAGTTTGTGCGTTCGTGTGTGTGTGTGTGTGTGTTGATGATGAATTTTGAAAGGGATTGAGGAATTTTTCCTTCTTTCACCTCATTTCATTACAAGTCCCTTGCTTAATTGATTGTTGTTGATTTTTTAAAAGGCGCCCAAAGAGCATGTCAATAATAATTTTTTGACTAACGCCATGTAAGAGTTTTCCAACTCTCCTGTCTGTCAAATTCGTGTTTAACTTTCGTCACCATGGCGAACATCATTGCGACGAGAAGTGCCTTGCGATATTATGCAATAGAGTGGCCAAATAACGCAGGTGAAATACAACTGACAAATATTTTATCTAAAATTTAGTACCGTGAGGAAAAAAGATCGTACAAGTAAATTATCTGTGAGTTGATAATCGAGATGATTGAAGTAATTTCCTCTCGAATTTTTATATGTGTATTTTACAATCAGTTCTGCATTTCTTGGCCTCGATGGTCTCTTTTCGCTCTCTTCCTCTTAACATTGGGTGTCGAGTGTGCGTATGTTTGCTTTTCATTGATATAACATGGCATTCGTGCGCTGTGTTATCGCAATAATTCCTCAAGTCAACACACATCCACTGATTACGCAGCCTTTACGCGTGTTTATCTTATCTATACCTTTCCAATTGGGCGATGTTTGAGGAACTTGTGTGGGTGGGTTTTCTCAACTGCAAGCCCAGGAAAAAATGTTGATTTTGAAGAGAGAAAGAGAGAAAGAGCGAGAGAAAGAAGGATTGGATGTAAGCTGCCAAAATGTCCATGTCACGATGATTCTAAAATCGCATTCACCTGTATAAGTCCAACAACATTTCCC